GGGGGGGGAAACATCGTGGCGGTTTAGTCTTTTCAGGGCTGAAGGATGTATGCGTTGGCAAGTGGAATCATGATGCAGCCGGCAACATACCTTGTTCAAAAGCGACGCACTCGCGACCCCAAACAAGGGTAGGCGGAGTTTTGCGCGCGCGCGCAAAAACGGCACTTGAAAACAGGGAATCAAACAGCCGTGACGGAGGAGCTATTCTGCAGTCTCCGACCGTAGAAAATCGGATGCGCGCCTATTGACAGGTCATGGTGTTAGATAGCTGTCAGAGAAGGGCAAAGGCAAGGATTGACGCGTGGTGATTGGGCCATCATGGGGCGGGGAGTCGGGGTTGCAACTGAAACGCGACAAGAAAACATAACAATGCATAAGCCATAGCAGAAGCTCACAGGGACCGGGGATGATAGGATGAGTCGCAGAGGGTCTTGCGTGCAGTACTTAAGAGTACATGCGACACTAAATCTAATGGTTTGATTTGCTTTTGAGGGTGGGTAACGCCAGTCATAACTTTTGAGGGGGAGGAGTAGCTGGAGGGTGGGCAGTAGGGAATCACAGCGCTGTCGCGGTTTGCGGGCCGCGGCCAGAGAGAGAGCCAAGAACAACAACAGGCGGGCTTGCCTCGTGGTTTGAAAAGGTTAATTACCTTTATCAAGGGTTATTCTCCGCAGGTGGCAGAAAAGCCTCCAATGCAGAGCAACACAGAAAGGCGACTCGTTGTAATGATTTGACGAGGGCTTTCAGTCACGAGGGAAGGAACCTGTGATGATTCGCGGGGCGATGGCAACGCGACGAAGCTCTGCCAACGAGAGTAAAGGCGGACAGGCAAAAGGGAAGGTCCGTTTCTTTCACCGCACGGTAGGCTGCCGCTGATGTCAGTCCGGCCCGGGTTGATCCGCGACCGAAGCGGCAAAACAAAATGGGAAATGATAAAAACAAAATGACGGAGGGGTATATGGGTATATGGAAAACAGAAGGGTGTATGCATAAGAATAAACCACAGAAATAGAGCGAATAGAATAAACGGGAAATTAAGAATAAAATCAAAAAGTGGAGTGGTTCGGAGAACAAAGCAAAGAACTCAAAAGGAATAATAAAAAAGACCAAAAATAGACTAGAATCAGTGGAGAGGGCTGTAGCTTATGGTCATAGCTACTAGATGTTGGGACAGCCAGAAAGCAGATGCACCAGACAAACAATGGAAGTAACAGACAACTGATGGAGCGGGGGTGGGAAAGTGGAAGAGAGTGAGTGAGAACCTCCAATGAATTGTGAAGATCCGGCCTCGGTACAACAAAGAATACAAACGATTGGGCGCGCGTCAAAATAAAGTATGCAATCACAAAATAGGAAAAAATACAAAGTTGAGCAAGGGGCAGCAGAAAGCAGCAGTAGGTAGTAGATAGTATAAGATGGCTAAAAACGTACCTTAGATGATGATTCGACCACAACCGTGGTAATGACAGAAAGGGAGGATGGAAAATGATCAATCACGAGAGTGAAGCGGATGGGGTGGGAAGGAAGGGAAAGGCGGGCAGTGATTGGGTTGGACAAGAGCAGACGGGTTAATCTGAAGCCAGCCCAAGCAAGCAGCGAGTAGGAAAAAAACAAATTGGGAGGAAACCAATGGGCTCTGCGCAGCCAGGACAGTCCGACGTTGTTGACTGGAGGGCACGCAAGGACTGGAGAGGTTGGATGACCAACGAGAGGGAGCAGAGAGAGAAAGCCGCAGCGAGAAGAAGGGGCGAGCGATGGGGCATTTGTACCGGACGCGCTCAGAGGGTAGCTGAGTGGCTCGGCAGCTCGTTAGCGGACAAGGCGGCGAGGATTCAGACCAACAAAGGCCACGACCATACTGTCCGGTATCGACCCCAGGGTTCGCTCCACTTAGCGTCTGCGCTCTTTGCCCTATTGGGTATGGCGTGTATGGTACTCCCGTCTTGTATGGTCATTGTATCATCCGTCTTGTATGGTATCTTTCCACATCTTCATTTTTTTTTTTTGAGTACCAGCCTTTTTTTTCCAAGGTGAGATGATGATGGGATGGTGGATGGCCGGGAAACTTTTGGGGTCGAGGACACACCACACAACTCTCTTACAGTCTTACTTAGTTCTTCTCTCTCTGTCTCTCCGTGCCGCCGGGCCCAGCTTGCTCAATCTCGGTTCTTCACTCTCTATCACAAAACCAACCTCCACTATTCCCTCAAACAACTCCCCCCCAATCCCCTCCTCCTTCCCTCTCTTTCTCTCTCTCTCTTTCTCCAATTTCCCAACCCGTTTGGGGGAGATTGACAATGGGTTGAGTAAGAGTATCACATCTCACCCTCAATTCTCACCCGTGTCCTTAAATTACATCTAAACCCCGAAAATAAAAATAAAATAAAAAATAAAAAATAAAAAATAAATATAATTTAAAAATATAATCATTTCTTATCTAAGATAACCACCCATCATAACTACTTACGATGCAAAGCATCCGGCCATCCCGAATTCGTGATGTTCATCATGTGCAACCCAAATCTGGCGAATCGCCCTCGGGAATAAAACCTGTATGACCCAAGGTCAGCTCGACCAGCCACCCCCCATTGGTCCAGCTGGGCTTTCTTTGGTTTTGTTTTGCGAATCATGCTTTTACATTAACCAGATGGCTTATGTGACTGGCTTCGATTTGCAATCGCTGTCTTTCATCATTTCTTCTATTCTTACTTTTTCTCCTACTTGCGTTGTTGTTCCCCCCACTCTGGACGGGAAAAGCAGTAAGAAAGGCTGCTCTTCTCACGCAGATTTTTGTGCTCGGCCTTACGGAGAAGAAAGCGAAAGAATAAGGTGAAACGGCTCAATGCGCAACAAGCGCAGATGCCACCTTGAGACGCGAAGCATTAAGAAAAACAAAACAGGGAACGGGCTGAATGAAGTGGACAGGTAGGATTGGAAGTAATAATAATATAAAATATAATAAAATAAATAAATAAAAAAAGTTTAAGATGAAATTTAAAATTAAAAGAAAAAAGAAAAGAAAAGGAAGGAAGACAAGCGCCGTGCTATCACACTGACTGACACTTTACTAATGCACAATGCAGTTTCTTACCATGGGATCACATTGTTGTTTCTACGCAGGAAGCGCGGCTCGATTCTTGCTTTTCTTACGTACGCGTTGAATACCCCCAAACGTCAGCGGAGTCAATCGAAGCCACGGCCAGCCTCGGTTATATGACCAATCTAGGTAAGACTCCCTGGGAATCTCCATTTCCCTTGTGGCAGGTAGATAGCGGGCAAATATCAGCCGGTACGAAATGAGCGACATTGATGTCTTAGGCTGAGCACAGTAATTGTTGATGCTTTTCTGCATAACGTGTAGATGGAGTAAAGTCACAGTGGCCAGTCTGCTAATATTGCAGAAGAAGATTAGCCACCTATACTTCATTTCCCGAGATTGCGACCAGTGTGGACTAGTAACTTAAGTATATATACTTTTAGCGGGACTAAATAAAGCGTCAACTAATGTAGTAGGATGACTAGATATATATATTCATAATCGTTTCCGACATCTATCACTACTTACTACCATTGTGCATATATATGGCTACTAATTACTACTGACACTCTGCTGTTTACTATAAATGTCGAACTAATACAAAACTTGGAAATTGTGGAAGCGACACTATTACAACCCTTCGTAGTGTTTCTGGGGTCAAGTAGTCAGTATATTCAGTTGTCGCCGGCTGAGGTCAAGTGACTTACAGAGACCTCTCATCAATTATTAGCGTTATTAGATTTACACAGTGCAAATGGTATATTACCCAGATGTACGAGTAGCCTACCGCAGATTGAATACTGCGGATTAAGCCGCCTGTTTTTCTTTTTTTGGGTGGTAGTGAACTGGTATCCATGTCCAGTATATTCAAGGTGAATTCGAGGGACTAAGCCATTGAGTCTGCTTAGATTGACGAAAGAAAGGCAGGCGAAATGGTATTTGACCGTCACAGTAGATTAGATCGAATGAAATTACCATGGTATTATTTAAGTCATAAATTGCATGTTGCACAAGAAAAGCCTTATAGACGCTACTAAGACCAAGGGCCTTGCACGTGTCGTAGCGATGACGAAAGTCTCTCTTTTCTTCTCCCGAGATACGGAATTCTTATCCATCCCACAGTCATAATGGCTGTCAAGAAGTACGTACAGATCTAAGCGAAAGGAGGATCTATAGAGTAGTTCACTATCAGAATGGGTTCCCTTCTTGAAGACTGACCGGCACGATGGCAAAGAAGATTGGGCGTCGATCTGTTCCACTCCACGTGTTGAAGCTTGACCGCTTGGGTCTTCGGATGGAGACTCATCAGTCTCACAATTTATCTGTGCACTTTCATGATCCTACATCAACTGAACCATCACAATAGACCTTATGGAATTCTTTTAAAGCCAGAGGAGCAGGTTCCCTCAGAATGGCAGGTTTAATAGCAGCAACAATAACCTCCAATTGTCTTGTTTTGCTTCTCTTGCTCTCTCACCTGAATGGACTGGGCGGAAGGCGGCAAGTACCGGCGTATCTAAATACAGCCCATCGCGTATGCGGACCGTACAAACATACGTGAACGGAAACGCGATTACGGCATGTATATGGAACGTCCGTAATTTGGGTCGGTTGAACTCTCTCAGCACTGACTGTCATGGGGAAGCTCGAGCCATCTGACGTCAAAGTCAACTAGCCTTTCCCCGCCACACCGCTCCTCGTCGACAATTCAGTATGAATTCAGAAATTCTTTTCTTTTCTATCCCCTCCGGCAGGCTCGTTGTTATGTGCAATGTTCTACAGGAATGCGTCGGCGATCTGATCTAGAAGGATATCCTCGTCTCTGTCGCTCAGAGATGTTGTTTTAGCCTGATCTATACCTTCTTAAATGACCAATTACGTATTTTTGTGTCAATTCTCTCTCGGTTTTTCCGTAAGATTGTAGTTGTATCGGAAGGCAGTGCGGTCCGTGGAAGTACCATGTCACAGCCTAAGGCACTAACAGGCGCCGAGGCTTTTGTGAAGGTCCCACTAACCATTCCACCGGGAACCTCTATCTACATATCCATCTACGAATGAACTCGCTTGTCTCCCCTCGATAATGGGGCATCCTTATGGTAACTTATATGTCTTCCGCGTGATGAACACGCTTCAAGCAATATATCCTCCCATCAATTGTTATGTGCTACAAGCTAACCTCTCTCAGTGAACAACTAGGCGGCTGCCTTCTGATGTGTACATCGTCCAACCTGGTAAGCGTTGCTTTCGAGCTCCTGCTCCTACGGAGTAAGTATAGCTCGTTTGTCTCATCTCTTCTGGCCTCCTAATATACTGTCCAACTTATGTGACTGTATGGCTTGCAGTCAAAGAACGCATGAAGACCGTTATCGACCGATTCTCTTCGTGGCTGGAAATTGCCTTCCACAGGATTTCTATTGCAACCCCATGCGAGTGAACCCAGTGTTGCACTAAGTGCACCAGGAATATGTATGATCCTTAATCCAGACTTTTCTAGCAGTATCATTCAACCCGGAGGCGCTTGATGTGACAGCTAACGATCTCAAGTGACATAGACTCGGTCAATCACTACTACAAGCTTACTGATCCGTACATGAAACTCATTCTCCTGGCAGCCAAGAGAATCTTGCCACTTTGGTTCTAGGGTATGTGGGAGTGTCCAGAAGCTTGAGAGACCTAGGGTAGCATTCGGGGCCCCTATACTCTCGTATGCGCCATGATCAACTATGGAGGAGCAGATTAACCAACACAACAACAGGGGTGGGTTGCAAGCGCACTTCATCCATGACAATACAAACGGTTTGATTGGAAAAACAAGCCAAGAAGGTATGGTTATCGACTCTTACCGAAAAATTGCTGTCATAATGATCACGGGGCATACCTGTGCTCCGCCAGCAGCTAAAGGGCATTACACCCTTTTGAAATGTCCTGCGACCATGCTCTCACAAACGGTCTGTGAATGTCATTTACCTCCGTGGGATACATATTCTCCAAGACAATCATGTGCAGATCTCATGATATGGCTCGCTCGGCTGTCCTCCGAGGTATAAGAGCATTCTCAGCATTAACCGGTGACTGATCAATCGAATAAAGAACCGAAGATGGGACCAAGGAGAGGCAGATACTTCACGGTCTTTGGTTGCGTCGGGGTTGTAAGTATCAAAGTCCGTCGCAAAGCGCGGGGCTTTACGATAGCTGTTGTCCCCTGACCTTACGTTCTGTGCCGTCCCATCCATAAGATCAGCGGCTACGCAGTGGACGACGTGGCTTACGGAGCTTGCCTAGACCAGTTGACGCTATCTGCGGACTGAATACCGGTTACAGGTCCTCGAATGAAACCAATTTTACGCCAACCCAGGTTGTCTCATGTATGCAGTGGAGGCCTCAGAAGCACGGCCTGTGAACACTCAAAGGGCCCCTTACACATTGCTATCATCAGACCGATGTCATAACATCACACAGCGAATAGCCAGGTTAAACAGCGGTAGCCCTGGCCTTTGCAAGGGGCAAAGGAATGGACAGGAAGATCTCGTCAAGTGCGAGCACCCAATAAGACATCCGCACGCCCTCTCGCTCCTCAATAGGGCAATTTCTCAATGTGACGGATGCTGCTACTGCGCCTCGTTAATTGGCTACCGTGGCCTTGATTCAAACCAGGCCATGCAGTCTCGGTCCTTTTGGGGCGTATTCCTGCGTTACGATCTGTCACCACCAGCTCTTCTGGGAACCCCATTAGGCAGCCTGGAAATTGATAGCAATCTGTTTTTCAGATGAAACCCAGTGCGCCAATTTCTTGTCACATGGACGGCCACCTCCTTAAGCGCTGTATTTCGTGATCTTCTCTGAGCTGGCGTTCGGATTTCATGACACTGTTGTCGGAAACCCCGAAATTACAGATTGCTCTAATTCACTCACTAAACAGATTCCGTGGTGACACTTTAATCACTCACCAATCTCGATTACCTGCTGATAACAGGGCAGGCTCCCACCTTTTTGCGTATTGCTCGGTAAGATTCGATAGGTATACGCTCTTTGCGTCCCATGCACAACAGGTATGACGGACAAAGTACCCACGGCTTGGAGCACACGAATTCGTCGCACATTATAGGCTTGACATCAAGCCAGTAACGAGTAATAAACGACACACTAATGTTGAAGTCGAAAGAGAGCGGGAGAGAGTCCGTCGCTACTCCTATTGCTGAGCCCAGCCGGCAGATAATATAAGAGAAGAAACCATATCAACGATGTAACAAGGAATATTCCAAAACAGACGCTCCGGCCTGGGATAACTTTATCTCATTCAAGAAAAGACTTTAACGGCACTTTTCCTGCGGGACAAGCGAAAGTCTTTTTTAATGTACACTGGCAGTAGTAAGACCGTGGTGGTCCCATCCCCCAAACCCTCCCAGTTGGGCACTTAGGTACCAATGTACCTACCTTCCTACCTATGAGATACATATTCTATGGCCTATGTACACCCGTTAACAAAGAACTGGCACTGATTGGGTACCAACATTTCTTTCGTCATAAGTTGATTGACACCGACACTTTCCGCTGGCTACATGGCCATGTCTTACAGGTCCATCTTCCGGTCCACCGCAGACTGCCAGTTGTTCGTGCAGTTCTCGACCAAAATCTACCCACCACGATCACCACCCAATATATCAGGCTATCCCGTGGTCCGGTCCTCGCTATAAATTGCTCAGCAGTATCAAAATACCTTTCTAAGAGGGTTTGTGGCAGACTATTATCGGCGATAGCAACAATCAACGAAATACTACAAAACCTCGGCGAGAGAGAAAGGCTAACACTCAATCGTCTAGGTTCTCCGACAGGCGGACTTCATACAAAACCGTGGCCTCACGCGTGACATCCCGAGACAAACGCAAACGCATTCGAACGAAACCAAGCTAAAGTCAAATCCTATTCCTCCAAAATGGGCGTCGATTTTCCTTGCCAGATACAGTGCGATTAGAGATGTGGCAGTGCTAGGGAATCAACTGGGAATTTCATGGCCGCCTGTGCCATACTACTAAGCGATGTCAGCAGGGTTCCGGGTAGCTGCTCCTCGTGTATGCAGATAGGCCGATTGGGCTCCCATCCACCCTTGGATTTTCAGCCGTGGAAAGTTTATACCGATTAATAATACATGGGTGGTGCCCGAAGAACTTTCGATAATGCGGGGTCATTTGAAACATGGGCTATGCAAACGCGCCTGGTCGGGATGGATATTAGAACTACTGTGTGGGTGAGAGGGAAGGAATTTGGATGGGTTAATCAAATGGAGAAGAAGTTGTTTTGGTTTAGGAGCTGGACTGGTCTAGAGGCTTCTATGTAGGAGGCAAATGATCGCTCAATAATATCCTTGTCTCGTCGTGTGGGAATGGTGGGCAGACAAAGAAAAATGTGGCTTTTCTCGAGCTCATATTCTTATCTATATGACAGCGGATGTGTACCATGGCTCTGGACGAGGGGAGGCAGACTGTGCTGGAGAGCGGAATAGGCTATAGCCCGGTGCTATGGACACCGGCACCCGCATGTAACCCCGTACTTATATAATCTGTAGCGAAGGAGGACGATAGCCGGCAGAGATGTTCCAGCGTTAATGTTGGATCTATCAACCCTTATTTAAGAAGTAGTACTAGACTACCTTACTAACCTATGGCCTTGCTAATTAGTGGATGGAAACCCTGGAACCGGGCGAAGAAGCTTGCTGCAGAACAAAGACCGGGGGACCTATTGCAGAGCCACTGCTTCTTGAATCTCAAGATCGATCAGATACTTTATGTCCTCTAAAGCGAATCAGGAGCTTGAGCAGGCCGATGGAGAAAAGTGTGCCTGCATAACAGTGCAGGGTGAATGAGGACCGAGAGAGAGCATCCACTCAGTGGCAGGAAAGGGACAATGAAGAGGCTTGATGAGTCCGGAGTAAATACCGGGGCTCCTGATTGGCAGACCCGGGACACGGGACTGCTTACGTGATCCGCCTCGAACCCGCCCTTTCGATCCCTCATGTGGCTTTTCCCCGTGCTTGGGACAAGGAGAGAGCGAGAGCGACCGAGTCGGCCTATCTTCCGCCTCCTCATTTTCAATCCCTTCACCTTCTGCTCGACCCAGACGATCCTGGCAACCTCTTCTAGCGGTCTGGTTGCGCTACAGACGACCGTCAACTCCCACCGCTCCCGTTATCATCGTGATTCCCCCCCGTTAGAACGCGCCGGATTGTCCGCCCGCAGAACCACCCCCCCGATATACATGACGTCTTTGTTGACATCCGTTTCAGACCGTCAATTCGCCAGTAACACTTTACTACAATAACTCAACTAGCATTGATCCAACTGCCGCCAACAAGGAACACATCAGCTTGCACTATCCGATAGAGCGGCGCTCCTCGTAGCGTTCGCGACTCGCGTTTCCCGCTGGTGTCGGTTCACCCCCTTGCGATCCTTCTTTTAAACACGCGGAACCAGGCGATCGGACCCAGGTGTATGGGGAGGAAGCAAACATGGCTGGTGGAGGAAATATCAAGGTGGTGGTGAGAGTGCGGCCTTTCAACAGCAGAGGTGAGTGACTTGTGGCATTGGGAATGCGACCAAGCCCCCCCCCCCCCTCCTAGACTGGACTGACCCCGGTGTCTTCTTCCCGCATTCTAGAAATCGACCGTGGTGCAAAATGTATTGTTCAAATGAAAGACAACCAAACCGTCCTTTCCACTCCACCGGGCGCCGATGATAAAGCCCGCAAGGCTGGTGGAGGGAAAGGCGGGGATGGAGGACCAAAATCATTCGCCTTCGACAGATCGTATTGGTCTTTCGACAAAAACGCCCCGAATTTTGCGAGCCAGGACAACCTCTTTCTCGACTTGGGTGTACCGCTATTAGACAATGCCTTCCAGGGTTACAACAACTGTATCTTCGCCTACGGTCAGACGGGTTCCGGAAAATCGTATTCCATGATGGGTTACGGCAAGGAGTACGGTGTGATTCCGAGAATTTGCCAGGATATGTTCGAGCGCATTCGCACAATCCAGCAAGACAAGAACCTCGGCTGTACGGTGGAAGTCTCGTATCTTGAAATCTACAATGAGAGAGTCCGTGATTTGCTCAACCCCTCGAATAAGGGCAACCTTAAAGTCCGTGAGCATCCGTCGACTGGTCCCTACGTCGAGGATCTGGCCAAGCTTGTAGTGCGCTCTTTTGAGGAGATTGAGAACTTGATGGACGAGGGTAACAAGGCTAGAACGGTTGCTGCCACAAACATGAACGAGACCTCCAGTCGTTCCCACGCTGTGTTTACGTTGACCCTCACACAGAAGCGCCATGATGCGGAAACGTCTATGGATACGGAGAAGGTGTCGCGCATTAGTTTGGTCGATCTTGCAGGTTCGGAAAGAGCAAATTCTACTGGCGCGACCGGTGCGAGACTGAAAGAGGGTGCGGAAATTAACCGTTCGCTGTCGACCCTTGGTCGTGTCATTGCCGCTCTTGCTGACGTGGCGGCTGGCAAAAAGAAGAACGCATCAATGGTTCCGTATCGTGATTCTATATTGACATGGTTGTTGAAGGACTCGTTGGGAGGTAACTCCATGACAGCAATGATTGCTGCGATTTCACCCGCCGACATCAACTTCGAGGAGACTCTCAGTACTCTCCGTTATGCAGACTCGGCGAAGCGAATCAAGAACCATGCCGTTGTGAATGAAGACCCCAACGCACGAATGATCAGAGAGTTAAAGGAGGAGTTGGCCCAACTCCGGTCGAAACTTGGGGGTGGTGCCGCAGGTCCTGGAGCAGGCGGCGCTGCTGGCGCTATACCAGCAGAAGAATATTACCCTCCAGATACTCCTCTAGAGAAGCAACTCGTCTCCATACAACAGCCGGATGGTTCAGTTACGAAAGTCAGCAAGGCAGAAATCGTCGAACAGCTGAACCAGAGCGAGAAGCTTTACAAGGATCTGAATCAAACTTGGGAGGAGAAGTTGGCAAAGACTGAAGAGATTCACAAAGAGCGAGAGTCTGCTCTGGAGGAACTTGGTATCAGTATCGAGAAAGGTTTCATTGGATTGAGCACGCCGAAGAAGATGCCACATTTGGTCAATCTGAGCGACGACCCGCTGCTCGCCGAGTGTCTCGTTTACAACATCAAACCGGGAACCACCATAGTCGGAAACATGGACCAGGGCAGCCATGTCGAAATAAGATTGAACGGTTCGAAAATCTTGGACGATCACTGTAGGTTTGAGAACGTGGACAATGTTGTTACCATTATTCCCACGGAAGGCGCAGCAGTCATGGTGAATGGACTGCGGATCGATAAACCGAAGCGGCTCAAGAGTGGATTCCGCATTATCCTGGGTGATTTTCATATCTTCCGTTTCAACCATCCCCAGGAAGCGCGTGCTGAACGAGTTGAACAGAGCTTGCTGCGTCATTCCGTTACTACAAGTCAACTGGGCTCGCCGGCACCGAACAAAACCCATGATCGAACCCTGAGTAAAACAGGCTCGGAGGTGGACGGCGATTCGAGCAGAGCGGATTCCCCGATGCCCTCCCAGCGTGGTAGGGAATCCGATTGGTTTTATGCTCGCCGTGAAGCTGTCAGTGCGGTGCTGGGGCCGGATCAAATCTCCCATATGCCTGACGATGAGCTGGACGCCTTGTTCGAGGATGTACAGAAAGTGCGGGCAACTCGTCGCGGACTAATGGAGAACGAGGAAGACTCCGATTCGCTCAGTTCGTTCCCTGTGCGGGATAAGTACATGTCCAATGGAACGATCGATAATTTCTCGTTGGACACTGCCATCACAATGCCGGGAACTCCGCATCCGAACGACGAAAATGACGGCCAGAATGGGGGCGAGGCTACTCTGCAATCGGTGCGTCAGGATATGCAGCGCCAGTTGGACCGACAGAAAGAAGAGTATCAGGACAAGCTGAGGAATGCTGAGGCCTCTTCCACCCAGGGAGTCGATGACCTACGCTCCGAAAAGGCTCGAATGGAGGAAGCCCTGCGAACTGCCAAGGAAGAATTCGAAGAACAACTGAAAAAGCAGAAGGAAGCTTTTGAGTCTCACATGAAGGACCTAGGCCAACCGGTACCCAGAATCTATGAGAATGGTTTTGCCAAGTTGGACGACAGGGAGCTTGAAGTCGCCAGGACCGTCTTCCGCCACTGGTCTCAGCAAAACTACGTTCGCATGGCCGAGAAAGTGCTCCAGCATGCGTCTTTGTTGAAGGAGGCCCAAGTGATGAGCCACATAATGGACAAGAATGTGGTATTCCAGTTTGCGATCATTGACCACGGGCATAACATGGCCTCGTCCTACGACCTTGTACTGAATGGCATTTCCGGCGACGAGGACGTTGTTCTAGATGAAGCCAAGAAACCTTGTGTCGCAGTTCGTGTGATTGACTTCAAGCAATGTGTCATCCACCTATGGTCTATCGAGAAGCTCCAACGCCGTGTTCAGGCTATGCGACAACTGCACCAGTATATCGACCGGCCAGACTACATCCAACATTTCAAGCTTGAAAACCCCTTCTCAGAGCCGTGTTCACCTCAATATTCGCTGGTTGGTGACGCTGATATCCCTCTCACGGCGGTCTTTGAGACCCGAGTCCAAGACGTTTCAGTTGAAGTTACCTCGCCATATACACAAAATGTCATAGGCATCATTAGGCTGTCCTTGGAACCCTCTTCGGCTCAGGCGCCTTCGTCTACTCTCAAGTTCAACGTCGTGATGCGTGATATGATTGGGTTCGCTGAATGGGAAGGGTCGGATGTCCACGCGCAATTGTTTGTACCCGGAATTTCTGACGAAGGGGGAGCTACGACCACTCAAATGATCACCGGCTTCGATGAATCACCTGTACGGTTCGAGAGCGTTCATAGTATGAGTTTGCCGCTGTCAAGTCCACGGACGGCAGCGCTAAAGATCTGTGTCTACGCCAAGGTGACCCAGATGCATCTGGACAAGCTCCTTAGTTGGGATGACATGCGAGACTCTGCCGAGCTGGCTCCCAAGAAACGAAAAACACCGCGTATTGCAGAGACTGAGTTTTATTCCGAAGAAAGACATGATGTTTTCGCCCGGGCGCAGGTGCTCGAATTAGCGGAGTCCGGAGAATATCTCCCGGTTGAGGTTGTCCAGAGCAACAGCCTCGATGCAGGTACTTACCAGCTCCATCAGGGATTGCAGCGACGGATCCTGGTGAACCTAACTTACAGCTCGACTGAAAGCCTGCCGTGGGATAATATTACCAATATCCGCGTGGGTTCAGTGCGATTGCTAGATCCCTGGGGCAAGATCCCTGACCAGGATTTGCAGACACCAGACGTTGCGCTGAAGTTCGTTCAGGAGCCAAACGTGAAGGAAAACGCGGATGGGACATCAAATATCACCATCATAGGCCAATGGGACTCCAGCTTACACGGGTCCCTCTTGCTTGATCGAGTCACTGCAGATAAGTATCGTGTCCAAGTGACTCTGCGATGGGATTTGTTGTCTTCCCGTCTGCAGGATCCCGTTCCTTTTGAGATAGATCTGACCCTCCAGATTCAAGGCCGAACGTATGTTCGACCTCAATCCATGTTCAAACAATTCTTCAATTCAACGCGTATTGTGCACTCCACAGTTCGCATGTTCTCCCTAGTCGTCCGCCCGGTGTCCGCCAAACGTGCGGCTGATCTCTGGCGGATGAATACACAAAACGACTATGTGAAGGGCGAAGAGCTCCTGGTCACCTGGGCTCCGCGCAAAGTGTCGCTTGTCCGGGATTATATAGCCGCCCGCAAACGAAGGCGACGTGTCGCGGAGTTGAATGCAGCTAAAGGGGCTTTGAGTGCCAATAGCCTTGTTGCATCACCTTCACGCAGCGGACGGTCAACTCCCCTGCGTAGCCAGGAGCGTGCCGACCGCAGGGCTAAATTGCTTCAGAAATACGTCGACCTCTGGGGGAAGAAGACCGATCCAATCGAGGCAATTCTGGTCCGAAGCAACACCGAGCCCCCTGCAGGAGGGGCGGCTTTTGCCTCGCGGGCGAAGCAGTCATCTTCAAGCGATGATGGAAGTTCAGTTCAGGACGAGGCATCATTGAAGCCGCGATTTGTTGCCAGCGTCCAAGCTCTTCCGAAGAACGATTCATCTCTGAAGTCGGGCTATCTTTTGACTCCTGATGATACCAACAGCCACTGGGTGCGGCGTTTTGTTGAGCTTCGTCGTCCATATCTCCATATCTATTCTGTTCCCGACGGTGATGAGATTAACGCTATCAACCTGCGCAATTCCCGGGTTGACCATGCACCCGACTTCGCACGGCTCCTCGATGGCCCAGGAGCAGCCGGATCTGACCGGGGAACGTCGCCACGGGGTCGTCCGAATGTCTTTGCAGTGTACGGGGCACAGAATACGTTCCTGTTTGCGGCCCGAACCGAGGCCCAGAAAGTGGAATGGATTCTGAAGATCGATGAAAGCTATTTCAGCAGCCCCGGTGCCAGAGCAATGGCAAACCACAATGCATAACTTCATGCTACCTGCGCAGCAGTGACCCAGCAAGCGCCGACTTTCTCACCTGATGAACAGGTCTCATGGAGATCCGTGATGTGACGCTACCCCGACCAACCAACCCTTTGTTTCCGCCCTTGCATATAGTACCCTCTCGGTGGCCGTTAGCTTTTGATTTTTAACCACACATTTTAGATTCTACGTTTATTTCTTTCTATCGCGATTCCGATTGGCAGGCCTGGTGTTCCTTCGTTGAGCCATGATATACATCATTCATCCCTTTCCACTCCACACCCGTTCTTGATTGATTTTGAGATACCCCTGAATAAATTTGCCTCTTACGGCCTCTATCAACTCCCATGTACATACTTTTTTTCTGGAAAAAATTTTCAACTATAGATACAGATACACACACCAGCCTGCATGCATGCTATGATGCAAGAAAGGGAGGACCCGGCGTTGTCCGCAGGCGGGCAGTAGGTCAGTTGTTTGTTGATGATTGCTCTTAAGAGTGAGTGAGTTAATTGAGAAATATATACAATTGTATTCTGTTTAGAACAGTAATAGCACAGACTTCATACTAGCAGTAGTACTTGTTTGGTAGTAGCATCCCAATGAATGTGATACCAATGCAAGTTCTATCCCACTTCGGCTTCCGTGTCAAAGGATAAGCAAAATGACTACTCTTCCAGATCTCGCACTTGACAATAGAATTGACATCTCCCAAACGAACGTGATGGTATATAGCACAAAACCCCAACCCCAAACACACAAAACCAGACCTAAGACACCAAAAACGCCACCCACTAAACCAGCCACACCATATAATACTATATAAAAACTAAACAAACTCAACCTCAACCCCCTGAATCCTCACCTCCGCCGCATACATACACCTCCTACTATCCCCCTGGGCACAAAACCCATGAAACAGCATGCGATCCCCACAGCCACAAACCGTGCCACCCCCAGGCGAGACCAACCCATAATCCCCCGACTTAACCAACTGCTTGCCAGTCTTCGTATACGGGCCCGTAATCTCCGGCGCCGTCGCCCACCGCACATCATATTTCTCATCCGTATAGCAATGCGTCGAGTAAAACAGAAAGTACGTATCGCCATGGAGAATCAAATTCGGCGCTTCGACTAACGGTCCATCGCTATCATCGCGGTCTAGGATCTGCACTGCGTCGCCGACGGGCGTGAACCCATCGGTATCAACTTTCTGTAAAAGGATGGGGGTGGGTTTCAGTGGTGCAATCCCGTTGTTGCAGTCCCCGCCGTTGCCGATGCTGTTGCCGTCCACTTTGAAGACTACGTAGCGGGTGCCGTCTTTGTCGAGGAAGCCGGACGCGTCGATGCTTCCGCCTTGGTCGAGTCGGCAGGAGAGAGGGGTCGGGTTGGGGATGTAGGGACCGCTGGGGTCCGTGGTGGTGGAGATGGCGGTGCCGATGCAGTGGTGGCGGAGGTCGGATTGGGCTTCGCCGCTGTAGTAGAGGATGTATTTGCCGTCGTTCTGTGTGGTTTGTTAGTGTGTGATGGAGGAGGGGATGAGGGATGGGGGTGATTACGCGGCGGACTACGTCTGGGGCCCAGTGGTCGATTTGCGTCTCCCAGCCTGCTAGTGTGGGGAGGGCTTCTTTATCTAGGAGGGTCCATGTTTTGAAGTCGCTGGATTTGGCTACTTGTACCGTGCGGTTGTTGCCGTTCGTGCCGAAGGCGTACCAGGTGCCGTCGTCGGCTTGGACGAAGCCTGGGTCGGGGAAGTCTGTGTCTAGGGCTAGCCAGGGTCCCGCTGTGGCTCGGATGTCGATGGGGGAGGATAGTACGGTTGTGAGTAGGGGGAGGGTTAGGGCCCAGAGGGTTGGTAGATGATGGGTCCACAGCATGGTGTCTTAGTTAGGGTAGGTAGGTATTGAGGAATGGATATGTAGTAGTGGTAGTGTTTCTGTAAGGAGGGTGCAGACCCGGTTGGGGGTTGCTTCTGTTATATCCAGGTGCGATGGATGAGATGTATATGCAATGCTACTATATACTGGGATGCTTCGCCGTTACTTTATATCTGAGCGTCGACAGCAGGGCAGTAAGCAGGCTCCACCCGTGCTGATGACCGCTTGCAATGATCGATGAGGTGCTATTCCCCATTCTGCACAGAAGCATCGATCATTTGATGCCCAGCGTTGCGGGAGAAATCTGGTCTGCTGGTCTGGGGGAGGGGATACATGGCCCAGCTGGAATTGGCCTAGGGCAGGTGCTAGCATGGACTTGAGATGCGTCTATATGCATAGTTGGAATTTAGTGGATCTTCCAGGTAAGCTAGCGGACAATATTGTATTGAGACTTGGCGTCAGGACTGATGTGGCAAGTGAATGCTCTTAGACTTCTATGCAAGTGCCGCAAGGCTGCCTCTGGATTCACCAGCCAATAGATGTCATTGAACTTGCCCCCGGTCACTAGGACAGAGCATTTAGAATTCGAGAGATGACTCGCTTTGACAGGCAGTCCATAGTGACATGTTCACCCAACCGGGCGAATGCGATATATCGGTTGGCATTGGATGTGACGGAAACAGTAGTAGCTTGGCCAGTTGCCTCGGTGCAGCAGCAACAATTGGGCCGTCGATAATTCTACTAGCTTCATTAGTCTTGATTTGATCATCTGGGGTTGGACCCACTTCTCGGAGTAATTATGCTCAGATAAACCGTGATTAACCTAGTCGATTTTTTCAGGAACATTGGTCGAAGAGTCGGATGAGGCGGAGACGCAAGGGCAGCACTGATCATCAAGGGGTGAGAGTATGATCATGCCACCGACCTTGGAGTAGACGGTTGTGCCTCGAGCAGGCTGACACAATTTTCCGTGGATTTCGTAAACCGACTGCATAATTCTCCCTGGCCTGGTCTTACAGCATGATGCATGGCTGCGGCCCCTCATCACCATGACTCAATTTTTCTGTTCCTGGGAGGGACGTGGAGTCAGCTATTGGCTTCAGCCGCTCCCGAAGTTATTCCCATAGATCGAAATTTTGGGACACGGCATCCCAAACCTTGTACAAGATCTCTTTCATGACCGATCACTCAAGGTCAAAATCCATGTCCGACGGCGTTTAGCACAGGTGCAATTTCTGTCTTCATGTCAACCGGTCAATTGGTGTAGTATCACACCTTTCCCTATCTCTCTTCTCCAATTTACTCTCAAATGCATGGCACATGGGAGTTGTTTGGTGATGCATGACCCATCATCTCTCCCGTTCGCTCACCTACCTCATGCCGAGTAACCCATCGAGTGGACTTGCCCAGAAGACACCAGACACATGGCAGGAGAACTGACTGCCGTATGAGTTATCTGGTGCCCTTTGTTGGTTGTCCGCCAAGCCTGGGTAGGTTTCTTAGCCGGGAGGGCATACATCGGGTGCTCTTTCAAGTCCCAACCTTAACGGCCTGGCTGGTCTCAACGTAGCACCCCCAACTTTCATCCTTCACATGCAACGTGTAGGAACCTCGTCAAGCCAAGGGCTTAGCGATGCCATGTACTGCTCTGTACTGGGCTTTCCAGAAGTCACAGATACGATGGCAACCGCGCTGCGCCTCACCCCTTGCCTAAGGAAGGTGATGCCTTCGACCGCTTACTCCGGCAAAAGGCACCCTAATAATGCTCCCCAAGATTATCAATGATCTGCCTCATTTAGGGCAATAGTTTCTTTCCATGATTTCCATGATGTACAAGGCAATCAACTTAGTCGGTGAACAGTCGACGGTCGGCATTTCCACTGATTGGTCCATGGCTTGAGCCTCTTGGGCCCTTGAGACCCGATGTACAGGGAGATCTGCAGGGCTACCTCGTGTTCCCATCAGGTGAACAAGTGGGCCTCGTGAGATCCTACCTTTTTACCGAGTCCTAGAAATCTCTCCTCGACTTACCCCGCACGTATTACCCGATTGAAGGAATTTATCACGAAACGGCTCTTGGGCAGATTCTCGTGGCCGTCTCAGATCCCGGGAGGGGCGTGATAGTAGGAAACTATATCCCTCACTAACTCTTCATGGAAGCGTGGGGTAGCCCGATCAGTGCTAGTAAGGGTCTTTCTTCATGTACGATGACTTCAAGAGATCGACATCGGGTGGTGTGCAACTTACTCGGGATTATGAAGGGCCAGTGAGAGGTGAGATCCTGCGGGTAGTCTCGGATACGAAGACGCCAGTCGTGCTTGAGATACCTCCTCGAACCGGAGTTGCCGTGAAATTTGATGCAGGAGAAGGGTCGGGCAGATGGATTCCATTGAGGGCTTTGTTGGGTTGACATGCGGAATGATGCCATAGGATGAGGTGAAGAAGGTGAAGAAGGAAGAAGAATGGAGTTGTAATGGTCAGCTGCGCCTAGTCCCTTTTCAGCTACAGAGGGAGTCTTTGCAGATTCGCCCACAATAATCCAGCTCCTTGTACAATGATAGCACATTTGACACAAATTGTCATTTTTGTCATTATCAATCATCCATGTTTTCTCATATAACTCATAAACGCTAAGAATCACAATATTTACACCCGTCAACGCCATAACATGCACATAGAACAGAAATCTAGAACCCTGTAAGGACCCAACTTTCAAATGGAACACCACGAGGATCTCTCCTGCCATTCTCCTGCGTATACAAGACGGGCTCGAACTCGCACGATGCAGCATACTGTCGAACCAATTGCCTCCAGTAGCACGACTCCGCAGCAGGTGTCAAATACCGATCCCGAAACGTCTTCACCGAATTCTCCGCAATGCGTTGCGCCGTCTCCGGATGATCGATAAGAAACTCCATCTTCTGATCAAGGTCCGAAAAGTCGCGCTCGACCTCGACGTAATTCGCCTCCGGCCCAGACGCAATGAGCGCAGCATGATGTGCCTCGCGCCAGACCAGCTTATGCGAGACCACCACGGAGCGACAATTCAGTAGATACTTTCCGCGGCCTGAGAAGCTGCGTCCTTCTGCATGGGCCAGGAACATATATTGGCAGTAATCCTCCATTGGGAGGAGATTGAACCGGACATCATTTTCATCGTCCCAGTCAATCACCCGGATGCTTGCCCAGCTCCTGCCTTGCGCTGCCTTCAACAGCTTTCCCCGGACTTCGGGGTTCGTAGCAACACTACCTCTCCAGGCGAGCTGCTTTTTCTTATCCGGGAAGGGTAGACCTGGAATGAACTTTCCATCCAGGGTTACTTCGCCATCGTCAACGGCAGCAATGCGGCGCCGAATATCCTTGTAGGGGCCGATCTTGACTTCCGGCCATGACCAATATCCGAAGTCGGGCATTAACCAGACATTCACCTGCTCGTCCCGTTTGGAATAAGACCAGACTGGCCCCTCCTGAATGCTATAATCCTCCGTCGTCAGGACGAATTCAATGTCTGGTAGACTACCTCTGTCTGGGAACGAGGCAAGTGCACGATGAAGCGCATGAAGCGTGGATTTTCCGCGCGTGAAAGTTGCGGGCATCGCGCCAAAATCTACTACATACAGCTATATCGCATCAATGGCATTGTTAGAAGAGAAGAGATTTCAACCATCGTAGATGATTCAGATGCCAACACACACCTCACCATGATGAATGATGCCCCGCACCATTCCATCCTCCACTTGCAGACTATCCACCTCCTTGAACGTAATCCGATGGCCCTCCCTCAGTGATGCAGACTTGTCCAGCTCAACAAACAGCTTCGGAAACGCCAGTCGACATTGCTCGTCCGAAAGCCCATGGTTGTCGCCATCGCGCTCGACCATAAACTCCCATGCTGTGGCGTTACCTGCTTCGGGTAATGAGGTCTGCAAGCATGTCTGTGGGGTTGGTTTGAGGGACGTCTTCAGAGCATATTTGGCGACGTCATTGGAGTATTGTGCGCCGAAGATAAGGAATGTTGTTAAGATGAGGGAGAGAACGGCCCCAGTGGCTATAAAGCGGAAGCTTGTCAACTGATTTTGTAGTAATTGCATTACTGCATAACTGTAGGTACCGCGAATTGGGTACCTCTATCTTGATCAGTGCATGTACTGTCGTCGATGGTAGTTCAACTTCGTTATCGGGCGGGATATCGAGGTGATCGTGAATCAACCGTCGCCATGGCAACGGAACGACTATAATATCAGTTCCAACCTGTACTTTGCCTGGAAAACTCCAGTCTGCGTATTACTTTACTAAATACTTTGTTGTTGTTTCTATCGGATAGATAGTGAAAACCAGCCTATCAACATCCTATGTGTTAGCTTTATAGGTGCGAAGGCGGGGTTTGGGGTCGCGATCTTGCGAACGGCAATAACTGTCGTTCCGATGGCGGATATGTCTATTTAACTAGTATACTCAGTACCTGGAGATTGTGCAGAAGATGAGACGTCCGTTGGGGGCTTGAACTTGGATATTACAATCCCAGATGTCTATGTAGACTCTACCGGATCCATGCATATCACTCACATTAGTATAGAGCTTTCATTAAGAGTAGGGTATCTCTACTATCTATAATCATCATCATAACCCTCAAATCTGGACAAAACCACAGAGGGAACATAAGAAATCTATACCTTCCCCTCCTCAGCCTTCTCCTTCCTCTCCTTCCTTGTCTTCTCCGTCCGCTCCAACCACCCCCCAATCCCAGCAATCGCAGCCTCCGGATCATCCTTATAATTCAACAGATACCCTTGCACCTCCGCAGCAGTGAACTCCCCAGCCGGAATACCAGCTGCGAATTCCTTCGCCAACCGGACAATCTTGTCCGATACAGGAGGCCTGTCTTCCATTCCATCACCAATATTCGTCTTCTTAACTCCATTGCCTTTACCGTCGTGGCTGGTAATAGCGTTCTTCCTCCTGTTCGGAGAAACAGAGCGCAAATCACCCTCAAGCGTGGAATAAATGGACGAGAACAATTCCCGGATGTCTTGGGAGTGAGCATACCCAAACTTGATGGTCATGTCCACGCGGCCGGGACGGAGGAGCGCAGCATCAAGCTTCTCTGGATGGTTCGTAGTCATGATGAGGATGCGGCCTTCGCTTGCGGCGACGCCATCAATTACGTTCAGTAGGCCGGAGAGGGTGATCCCCTTGTTATCGGGGGTCTCCTCGGAGGGCTTCTTGTCTGTGGACGAGCCAGCGGGTGTGTTGGCAGCAGCGTTGGGCGTAGCGGCAGGGTTGGCATTGGCGTTGTTGGGGTCGCTCTTGTTCTTGTCGTCTTGGGTGCTGTTGGCCGCACGCTTGGAGGTCATTCCAGCGCAGTCGATATCTTCCAGGAGGACGATGCAGCGGCGAGGGAGGTCTTGGAACAGAGACATCAAGTCGTCTTCGTCCAAGCTCTTGGAGCTCAGGTTCAGCAGGTATAGAGGGAGGCCTAGAAGTCCTGATGCTGCAAAGCAGAGACTGGTCTTTCCGGTTCCGGGAGGGCCGTGGAGGAGGTACCCCCGACGGTAGGGGATACCTCTGTTGGAGTACCATCTCCTCGTGCGGGGGTGGAGGTATTCCTTGATGTCTTTGATGAAAGACTGCTTCTGGTCCTGGTCTAGCACGACAGTGGAGAGAGGCCTGGGGTGGCGTGCCATGCAGCGTACCCAGTCAGTGTATCCGCCATTCTTCTGGCCGCGGTAAATAACTGTGCTGTTTCCGTCTCTGGCTACCCATGCCCTTTGGGCTTCGGCCAGGAGTTCCTTCAGGATAGCGGGGTTACGACCGAAACATGAGATGAATAGTCGCTCAGGCACGTATCGCATGTAGGAGATGGTGTTGTTGTTTTCCTCTTTCGCACGAGTGAAGGTAAGAAGGCGACCACGGAACCAGAAGTAATGGCTTCCTTCGGCTGGGGTAAAGCGGAGGCGCTTGAACTTGTCTCGTGCGACGGTCTTGGCCCAGTAGTCGTCAAAGTCGGAGACGACATTGCCGTTCTCGTCGTATTCATCTTCGTCATCCCCGTCACCCTCGTCGTCAGAGTCGTAGTATCGTGCGCCGCTGGAGATCTTGGTGCTGGCTACGAATTGAGTGGACTTTTTCGTAGAAGGGTGTTGTGCCATCCAGAACATCAGGTAGTTGTACACTTCATCCTCGAGGCGGATCTCAGCAGTTGAGACACAATAGTTGGTAAGCAGCTCATGTGAGCGGAAGAACACATATCGCAGTGAAGCAACAAAAGCCACAGCCGTCAAAATCATGGGAATATATTGGGAGAGGTCAATGTGTAAATATGATATTAGAAACCGGGATATGAAGGAGTACCCCGGAATGAACATATCCAGCATCGCGCTGTCGGAAGGATTCATATACTGTGAGGAAGATGTTGCGTTCATGATTGGAGTGTTGTTGATGGTGTTGCTGAGAAAGGCGCTTGAAGCCATGATGAGGGTTTCGTAACCGTAGGGTATTGATATACTATATAAAATTCCAGTAATGCTAACAATGCCGTGGGCGCGGAGTTGACCTTGAAAATAAATGATCTTTAGCGGCAAATAACAACAATATGCAATTATCCGGCAGCTCTATTAGAGAAAAATGGAAATTAACGCTGAAGGAAAGTTGCAATCAATTGGCATGGAAGGCTCCTATTGTCGAGAATGAGCTCTTCTTTTATAGTTCTATCCCGGCCATAATGCGCCAGGCAGGAAGGCTGACAAGCCGTGGCATCGTGGGGTTGGTAGGCATCCATCTGCGCCGAGCGGTAGGAGCAGGATCTAGAGCGAGCCTCTGACCCATCGTGTAGGCCAATGTGTAACTGACGAACGGCGCCCAACGAAGGAAGTGACTGGCGCAGTGGAATGCGCAGCTGACGGGGAGCCACTTGAGTCATCGTCCGAAGCAGGCGGGCGCCAATCCCGGCAACTCAGCCGGCGATCGTGTGGATCCTTTCACTTCAGCCGCATCCCCATCTTCATCGGGGACATCTCCCTGCGAACCAATAATGCCATTTTTTGTATTCAATCCTAGTCTGTAAAATCCAAATGTGGGTATCTTGATTATGACGTATTATGGGTTATGGCTCCCCGTCCTAAGAAAAAGCCGCGCCTCGCAAAAACAACCAACAGTAAGAGCATCAGAAAACCAACAAGCAAAGAAAACAATGTCACAGCCACTCGTTCTATGTCTATGATCACGATCCGGTGAAATTGTCTTTCACGGTATCGAATATGTCGGTCGCCCACTCCTTCGCTTCCTGGAGTTTGTCCCAAAGGGTCCCCCACCAGGTAGGACCCTTCTCATCCTCGCTTTCCGGGTCAGGCTCGGGCTCAGCTTCAGGCGCCGTTTCCGTCGGGGACGCAGAAGAGGTAATCTCTGCCGACGGCATCATCGTTGGCGTCATAGTGGCGGTCGTGCTAGAAACTGGAGGGTCTGGAACACTGGCCAGCGTGGGCGTGTCTTCGTCAGAGTGAAGGCCTATCGTCTTAAGAGGCAGACGCATGGTCCCATTGTTCGGGTGCGCGGTGATCCCGAGTGAGTCGCAGATAATGTTGTACACATTGATGTTTTCTACCTTGGTTAGCTCAAATTCAACTCCGCGCAACAAAGGGTCGGGGATGACTCACGAAATGCTTCCAACCGACTGTTTGGTTCATGGGGGAATGCGGGTCCCCTGGCGATGAAAATTGCCCGCATCAAGGGGTGCTCGTGGTCATATCCATGAATGCCTCTGGGGTGGTAGACCTCCCCATTCTCCAAGGCCTTCTGGGCATCAAAGTCGGTACGCTCGACGACTGCCCACCCTGTCTTTGGAATTACCCACAGAGGGGCGATGCGATCGTTGTTTTGAAAGTGATAGCGTTCAGGCATGCCCTCACGTGTGTAGATCTCGACCGCATGCGAATAGTTCGCGGCCACGCTCTCCAGCTGATCTTGGAGGATTTGCAAATCCTCTGGCCGTTTGGGACGCAGCCCGCGTAGCGGCCAGCCGTCGATGCGCTGGACTAGATCAAGATCGACCAGGTCCTCCAACTGAACCAATCGCTCGGTCGCGGTTGTCGCCATGCCATGGTCGGAGACAACCACGATGTTCACGACTTCCGTTAAATTGCGTGCTTCGATACCCGAGAATAGGCTGCCAAGCATGTCGTCCACCTTAGCGATTGTGTTGCGAGTTTCAGTGCTGTTTGGGCCATAGTTATGTCCATCTGCATCAACATTCGGAACATAGGCAGCGATAAACTGAGGCCTTTGGGGCGCAATGTCTGACTCCGCTTCTACTCCCGGCATATCCAACAATCCCAAGATGCGTTCCACTTTCGAGGAAAGCATTTCGGACCCGTTGTATTCGTCTAGGTAGGTTGGATCTACGCCTCCGATATGTGCCTCGGAGCCCGGCCACATATGAACAGCGGTCCGCACGCCCTGATTCTCGGCCGTCATCCAGAGGGGCTCTGCGTTCCACCATTTCGGCTGCATGCTGACGGACGGGTGGGTATAGTAGAACTCTTCCTGCAGCTCCGGGTCCCAGAAGGTATTTCCAACGATTCCGTGGCTCTCGGGATATAGTCCCGTAACAAGTGTAAAATGATTCGGGAAGGTCACGCTCGGGAAACTGGGTAGCATGTACTGCGGCGAGACGCCATTTGCAATGAATGAGCGGAGGGTTGGGGTCAAGCCACGAGTGAGAAAGTCCGCTCGGAAACCATCGAGAGAGATCAAGATCGTCGTGGGGGCGAATAACGCAGTGCCATTAGATAGAAGTTGCCTCGAGGTATGAGGGGCTCGATACTTTATAGATGCTTTATATGCGCCCAGTAAGAAGATGAGGAGAAGGATAAAGATGGCGGAGAATACGAGGGCGAGTCTGCGCCATGGAACGCGCCGTGGCTGGTTACCATAAATCAGTACCGGAGCTCCCGCACAACCCATGAGAGGTTATTGTGTGACATCCATACCTGCATGAAAGCATATTCTTTGACGCGTGTGTCGAAGTCGGACGAAGATGCGCTCAGGAGAGAGTGCTCATCGTCCCGGTGACCCTCTTCCATCTCGAACATTATCTCTCCGGATCCACGCGCCTTCTTACGACGCTCTTTGCGGGCCTCTCTTCGGGCCTGTTGGCGTTGTCGCCTGCGTTCCTGCTTTCCGATTCGAACACTACTACTGCTGGGGCTGAAGATGCGGCGAAGGCCATGAGTTGGACCGGTTCGGGTGAGCAGTTTCTCTGTTTCTTCTTCCTCTTCCAGTACTGTGCGATCGTGCTCAGCAAGCTCTAATGTAGTGCGTGACCTCCGAAGAAACTCGTCGTCCTCCGAGTCAGAGTCCTGCTCTGACGGGGAACGTAGCGACTCGGCATCTTCGTCATAGTCGCCGGGAGACAGCAGGGCGGAAGTGGGAATGTTGCGTCGGAGAGGCATGGGTGACGAATGGTGGCATGAGGCCGGAGTGCAGATGCACGGAGGAGGGACCGACCGACCTTGGAGCCGGTATGGCGACACGTATGAAGTGTTGGTAAGGGAAATAGTAAGGGTCTTGGGGGGATGATAAAGGATGGCGGAATCATGGATTAATTGACCTCGAGGGGGCGGCGATCGGCGGATCTCCGGGCCGGTGCCGAATGAGAACCACTGGTCCAGTTCATGTCTGTCCTTCCCCCACACCATGGATACGCTCGACCTTGTAGAACTATCAACACTTACCATTCTGAATTGACGGAGGATTTCGTCCAATTAGGAACCTTGATCTATATTATATCTTGACCACCTCCTATCCATCTGATTTGAGGGATGTTTACATGTCGTCTACTCCTCGCCGCTCTGCCAAAGGGTTCCTGTGAATAGTGATCAGTGGCCTCCATACTTGAAGCTTCACATAGAAGTCATCCTTCAAGGCATTGGCATCTGTCTTGAAAACAACTGGACAACTTGAGTACTAAAGCCATCATGTCTGAACTATGCCTCTCCACCCCTGATGGGATGACAGCTTGCACTTGAGAACCAGACAAAGAACAAAACTACAAAGGAGCTATCGAGCATTCAGAGAGACAGACAAACAATGGAAGGCTAGCTAGCACAGGCAGGAGCCTTGAACTAATAGGATGTTGTTGAAGAGACTTTAGCGCCTGTCTGTCGCTAAATCCTAGCATTGGTAGTACTGAAAGCTGCAGTCGCGATGTTCCTAACATTCGACAACCTGCACTTTGAATGACTAACATGACTAACGAAAGACGACCGAGTCACTAGTTGAGATACACCAGAAGCCGCTAGGTTGAGCTACTGATCGATCGACATTTAGGTGTGAAACTTCCCGTGGCACATTGCTTGCGAAACATGCCACAGTCGAGACTGCAACGTGGTGAGGCTGACGTAGCAGCATCCTGGGGATGCTTCCGTCTATTCAGAGGTTGCTGCATCCTCATTGCACTTCCTAAATGCGTTCAAAGATACTATTCTCTTCGTAGGGCTAGAGATCGTCGAGGAATGGATCAACATTCCTCAGGCTGGCCGATTCCGGCCACTCGACTTCCATTTTAGGAAGCCCTGGGGTGGCAGCTCCAAGTCACATGACACTGGCAAGAGCCCCAGTTGGATCTGCTACCAGCAGGAGTAGTTTATCTAGATCCGGGCATCTGTCAATGCTTTGGGTTGCAGCTGTGCTATTTTGAGATTCAATCTGTTTGATCTAGTCCGGAAGCAGTGCCTAGCTTCCCACGTTCGTTCCCACACTACGGCATCCGGATCCCTAAACCTCTTGCGATTCGTGGATAACACCATGAAGAAGCACTTGTCCCGGAGTTTAAACCGACTGTCAAGCAAAGATGGTAGTACCGGAACGGTACATCAAGGAAAGCTATAAAGAACCTCAAGATCCAGCTCGATCCGTCTGCGTTGTCATGCTTCATTCTCTACCTTCCAATCCTTCTTCTTGCCGCTCAGTTTTGCTGCTTGTACCGCGATAGATCTCTTTCTTCTTCTTTCTCTCCCAAGTCTCTTCCATTCACAATGCGTTACTCAACCCACGTTGTGACCGCTCTGGCCTTCGCTGCCGGCACTGCCCACGCAGCCCAGTCCGCTAGTGACGACGGCAAAGTGACAACAGTGGCCGCCCAAAGTACTGTCGAAGCCACCGCCGTCGTCACCGCGGAGCCCAGCAGTGCTGCAACTGAATCTGCTGTCCAGCACCCCCCTCCCATTGCCGCATCCAGTGCTCCAGCTTCTGCCTCCTCCGAGACCAGCGTCCCAGTCATCAAGTCCAGCGCTACCGAGTCTCAGCCCGCTGCCACTGAATCCAGCGCTCCAGTAGCCACCAACACCGAGCCCGCCGCTGTTGGATCCAGCGCCCCGGCTACCCAGGGGATTGGCACCGCCGCTCAAACGAGCGTCCCGCTCATCAAGACCTCCGGAGGGGAGACACAGGCCGCTCAAACGAGCGCTCCTGCTGCTGCCAGCGTCCCACCAGTACCGATCGAATCGAACCCCGCCGTGACCAGTGCTCCTCCTGCCAGCATTCCCCCGGCCGCCAGTGGCAACGCCAGCACCACTTCATCGCAGCGGTTCTCCAACTCGACCACCTCTTCAGGGTCCTTTTCTACCGGCACCTCTGGAGGCAGTGGTGGTGGCGGCGGCGCTGCTACTGTCCCTGCTGCACCCACCTCCACGGGATTCATCTCGTCCAGCTCCGGTGCCAAGATGGTTCTTCCCGGCCTTGCTCTAGTCGGAAGCATCGCCATGGGCTTGCTTGTCTTGGCTTAGTTGACACTGCTGCTGTCTTCTCTTCTGATTTTTCTTTCGATATCATGCATCACTAGACTGTTTGATGGCAAGACGACTGCCCCCGAGAATCAATACAGAAAAAGAAATGAAATACAGCGAAGTGGGCAGGTTTTTTTCACCTTATAAAAGACTAATAACCATTGACGAGAAGTGGATCGCTTTGCTCACTTATGATACATCTGTTTCTGGCTTGCTTGTTAATTCCAGGTGTTTGTCCTTCACAATACAAATAATATATACTATGCTCTTGTTGAATTCCGATATTGTACTCTGGATGAGAGAATACCAGAATATCCCTTCGTTGGAATTGGATTTCTAGAGGAGGAGGTATATACGGCGTTTTATCATGTTTTTCATTTCTTACTTCGGGTTTCTGGAGTACTCAGGTTTCATGGATTGTGTATTAGACTTCGGTGAAATTCATATATTCATTCAAGCCAATAGGAACATGCATTCAGCTAGGTCGTAATTCTCAAGAGAATAAATATGGAAAAAAATAAAATAAAAAACAATAAAAAAGAAACTATTTCATCTATTTTGTTCGTACCTCTGCATCTATATTATACTGCATGCATGCATCTTATCATCCTCGAGTCATTACTCCCCATAACCCATACAACCATGCGTTATATGCAATCATCATTCAGAAAACAATCTCAAAAGTCAACAAATCATTTAATCCTTTTTTTTCCTTCCATCCTTCCATCCTACGAACTCGATACCCAATTCGCCCACTTACAAGAACACCCGCCACTCCCACCATCAACACCCCCATAATCCCCCGTGGCATCCGTCGACGAATTCCCATATAGGTCAAAAATCCCCGGGGCCGGATTCACCAGCGTGCCACCGTACGATCGATCCTCGAGCTGCAACTTGACTTCCGTCGAGTTGATCTGCTCGCCGCTCTCCATGCCATAACAATAGACCATTTTCTTCATCGCGTCCCCGCCATGGCGGTCTAGAGTTATGGTGACGGGGTAAGGGAAGGATCCGGGGCGGGTCCAGTCATTTGCGGAGGAAGGCGTGGTCGTTGCTGTAGCACTTGCGGTTGCTGTGGATGCTGATGCTGTGGACGTGGAGGTTGAGTTCTGCAGGAGGGTATCGTTGGAGCGGGTCCAGATTTGGACGAGGAAGCGGGTTTGTGACCATGTGCAGCGGACGCGGGCGTCGGATTCGTTGGATCCGCCGTTTTGGTCATTGGGGTTTGTGTCGGTTGTGTTGCCGTCGAGGGGGCCGAGGGAGGAGAGGAAGATGGAGCGGTCGAAGTAGGTGTAGAAGCCGTAGTGTTCTGTGTTGAGACCGCGGTTGTAGAGACGGACGGGTTGGGAAGAGGGTAGTGGGTATAGGTCTGCGGCGGCGGCGGTTCCGTCGGAGTCTTCGTCTGGGGATGGGATTATTGTTGCGAGATTGGGGAAGGAGCTGTCGGAGGATCTTCGCGCCAGGCGAAGGGTGGATGTCGATGTTAGGGTGCTGGCGGAGAGGAAGGTCATGTAGAAAGGGGTTTCTTCGCCAGCGTAGGGGACGGTGTTGTTGTCTGTTGTATTGCCGAGGAAGGTCTGGTCTTTCATGCTTGGTGGGGATGGAGATGGGCTGTAGGGGTTGTCGGAGCTCCGTGAGGAGAGGGTCTTGCTGGATCTTGTGGCAATCGTGGTGCTGTTAGGGTAGGTACCGTTGCGGAATTGAATTTCCACACGGAAGTTCGGCTCGTTGGCGGCGTAGGGCTCGTTGGCGGATTGTTCCTCTGGTGGTAGAGCACAGCTCCAGAGCGTGGATGGAGTTATGCATCCTGATTGCTGGACCTGAGGCTTTGGACCGGCAATCGTTGCGATACCGGTGGGCATCGGCGGGTAGCCGGTGAGATTGAGCCACTGTGATTCCACTGGAGTTGAGTCGCCTTTTCCTGTCAAGGTCATGACTAGGAGGAGGATGATTGCTATGATGATGAGGAAGGATGTGAGGATAGCCAGGTACCACCGACGTTTGACCTTCTTCTCCTTCTTGTCTTTCCTACCGAAACAGCCGTTCTTGTGAGACCGATCACCACCGCAACAGCAACAGCAGAACAACAACCCAAACTTCTTTTTCTTTTTCTTCTTGTCTTCTGTCTCTAACGGTTTCCGTCGTATCTCGATTATCTCTCTCTCTGTGGTGGTATGTGACACTTCCTCTCGTGAGAGTGGATGAGGCTCCATGCGATGTATAGAGGAGCTAGTGTAGTGAGAAGTATATGTAGGCACTGGGGTAGATGAGCTGTTGTGATTGGATGTGTATGCAGGCACTGGAGCAGTATGCATGTCGGATAACGGGATTGACCCAGCCCTCTCGGTGGCTTGCTGAAGGCCAGGAGACGTAGGGTTAGGAGGCTGCGGTTCAGCCTGCTGTTCCTGAGGGAATGATGGATGCTGGTGTCCATTGGGTGCTATGAGAATTGGCGATGGGACAGTAGCGGGATGGACATGGATAGCCTGAGCTGGAGGCGCTGGTTGCGCAACCGGTTGGGGAGCTTGCACTATTATGGGTTGAATGGCTGGCTGGGGTGCTGGCTGAGGAGCTGGTTGGACCACTGGTTGAATGATTGGCTGAAAGACCGGCCAAGATGTTTTCCTTTCATATTGACTGTCTGGAGGCGGTGCTAATTCTCCTGTCTCTCCTCCGGCATGCGGCGTTGGAAATGTTTCTTGAGGCAACCCCCGCGACACATCATCAGAAATGGGCTGATTTGGGGTGTTTCCAGGAGGCCCTCCAGCCGAAGGGTGCTCACTCGGAGGATGTTCGCTGGGAGGATGCTCACTGGGAGGGAGCTGACTAGGAGGATGCTCAATTGGGGGATGCTCGCTCGGGGGATACTCGCTCAGAGGACGCAGGGTTGGAGGAGGTTGGATTGTCGGATGCTCAGACAGAGGTATCCCCCTTGAGCCGGCTTTCCCAACTGGGTAATCGTCTTGACGATTGTCAAGAGTGGCCTCTACTCCCTTATCCATTACACTCGGTTCATACACAGTGCGTGTCTCTGAGGTAGTGGGACCCCCTGTTGAGCCAGTGCCTTTATCTTGTGGCATGTCTCCCACGTCGATCAGGAGACCCCTACTGTCTGAGGAGCCCACAGCTGTACCCTCGGTATAGCCGGGAATCTTGTCTTTGGGTGTTATAGAGCAGACATGGTTGACGCATTCAAAGTACGGCCGTCCACTGAACAATTCATGTGCACAAGCTTGGTAGTACTCAGCCGCAGAGCCCTGGATTGGCCTTCCTGGGAACATAAAGGATGTGGCATCTCGTTCTCGTTCGACAGGTTGGTCTTGATCACTCAGTCTTTTCTCGTCAAAGGGATTCAGACCAGCGTCTGGCCAATCGGGTGTCAATTCCTTATGGTGAGGTATTATGGCTTCTGGCGTGTCGGGCGAAAAGCTGGATACTTCCTTTTCCCACCACTCATCACTCGATGCCCTTGACTCCGTTGCGATACTGGGAATTGGTGGTCTAGCAGTCTCAGTTGGGGTAGTGGGACCCATGGCTGTGCTGTAGCGACTCAGCAACGGTGAGAGCAAGTAGGTCCACCAACCTTGGGATTGATGCCTGTTTGTTTCAGTGTTGATGCTTAATCTATCTGGAATCTTTTTGGGATTCCCGCTGGAATATGACCGAGACCGGCTCTCCCGTCGCACATCATCTTCTTCAAACAGAGTGCCAGTTGAGAGCGAGCGCTGTCTCCCTGTTGCAAATACAGATTGGCTTCGTGTCGATTCAGTGTTCATGTTCGTGCTCGGATTCTCATTCTGCTCCAAGAAGGCAAGATTCGGGATAGCAGGCACAGGCGGAATGTTAATGTCACTGTCATTGTCATCGGGGTACGGCGTTGGCTGAGAGTAAATGCTAGATGCTATCCTAGGACGAGGATGAGTCGTGTCAAGGCCGGTCCAGAATGTGTCTTCCTTTGCCGGAGTCACAATTATAGACGGGGTCAGTGCCGCTCGTTGGGCATGTCCAGTGTTTACTGTTAGCCCTCTTCCTTGAGTGCTTAGTGATTCATCGGATGGCATGCTTAGTCCAATCATAATCGGCCGATCGGATGGCGACAGATCGTCATTTCCCTTCTTTTTTCGCCTGATGTTGAAGTAAGACAGTCGTTTGCTGTCAAATACGGACGGTTTCACGGACGATTGGTCATAGTCCTGACCAGGAACTTTCTTCAATATCCCTTTGAGAGTATGTGCGTTCCTTTCCTGTTCTCGCACTTCAGAGAGGGCTTTTAGGTCATTCAAATCCATTAAGGTTGGCACTGATCCATCTTCAGGTGTCTTTGACGTAGAATGAGAGAAGTCCATAACCAAACTCAACCCAACAGGCCGTTCTGAGCTTTTTCCCGTGTAGAGTCCAAGATTGCTTAGGTCCTCTTGGTTCGGATCCATCTGATAAGAGACCCCCGTCCCATCCACTGCTTCCTGTGACTGTGTGTGCTTATCATAGCTTCCTTCGCGTATAAAAGGGTTATTCCTGCGTGTTGTCTTATTCAGAAAAGCAAAAGGTCGATTTCTTTCCATGTCATGATCCTCTGGAGATGATGGCACCGGGCTCGGAATCTCCTCTGTGATAGGAGACGACAAAGGGAAAGTCGGAGCTGCAGGAATTCGTAGTCCTGCCGTCGAATTCTGCATCTCGGGGGCCGTATGGCCTGCGAGGCCCAAAAACTGCCTTATACTAGACCAGATCATCAGTTCGCTGGATTCAGTAACACAGCATTTCAGGGGGTTGGAGTAGGCCAAGTTACCGTAGACGGACTGGTGTAGCAGATGAAAATCGTTTCGGTATAGATCAAGCAAACCAGCTGCGTGATTGCGAAGCTTTTCCTTGACAAATCGACAGTCTTTGATCGTGCAAGTGCAAAACAAAGGACGCTTGGGTTGGTATTGTGGTGATCAAAGCATCCAGGTGAGACAATCGCAAACCAGATGAAACAATGACCTTCAGAGCACAAAGCAGCTTCAACACAACAACACAACAACGCCGGCTGTTATTCACACATTCCACTCTTATGGAGAAAAGGATACAAAGAGCACAAAGAAAAGCGAATAGGTCCGAACCCGTAATCTAGGTGGACAATTCAAACACGACCGGCTGGAGCGGGAGAAGTAGCACATGGACAAGCAAGGCAACAGAGAGAAGAGGAGAAGCGATGGAAGAATCATGACACGACCGGCTGATGCCAGGAAGAAGTCCAAGCACCCGGTGGGTGCTAGGAATGAATGGGACAGAGCTCATGCATATCATGCAACAGCCATCCTTGACCTGGACACTTTGCGGACCCGCATGGTCCTGGCTACTATTTGTGCCGAGTGCCAAATCCTCCGGCCTCAGACCGTCGAGCCGGACGGGTCGACACCATTGGTCACGGTTGCTTGGATCGACTCTGCAAGATGATGTTTGGCAGGTAGCTCCAGGGGTGGATTGGCTCCTGAAGAAGCCGTGGGAGCTCTATAGCCGCCGATGGGGGGCACGCGGCGCTAACAGAAGCATATCTACGACGCCGGTGAGGTTGCAGAACATCGCCGGGCACCAATCAGCAACCACGACGCCAGGGACAAAAATAGCCTGCATTAACACGGCAGTCCACCGAATGCCCCCCCAAAGCCAAATAGCTCTGACCTCCTAACTAACAATATCAACAATCAACGGCGGTTTGAAGCTACAATGTCATGAGACTCTCCGCTTAGTCGACTCAATCCGGATATTACCAGGACGGAAACTGAGGTGAAATAGGTTCTCGATCGACATCCATGTCGATCGGTACCAACCGATGCTTCGACATTTGATTTCCAGGTATCTGTAGAGCAAAATACACATAATAAACAAACCATGGGGATATCAAAACAATGCCACACATACACACACACTCCTTTTTCCAAACAATTGTTGTTCGTGTTTCCTTTTTGACCTTCTTCCGTGCATTCACGGTACCTTTAACAAACACCGACAATACATGATGAAGGGCGAATAAACACAGATCCCACGCCCTCAAGTTTCCATTTCTTGGGGAGGAGTAAAGAGGAGAGTAAAAACGGGTAGGGGTGAAATGACTTTGGGGAGGTGGAAGCCACCTTGACCCCGAGATGTTATGTAACGGGACATGACCAGGGGAGTAATGCGGGAGAGGTGAGAAATATAGAAACAGGATGAGGTATCCGTTCCGCGCCATAGGCTAGCCAAGAATCGCTTTCATGCCCACCAGAATGATGGGTAGGATGATGAAATAGTCAAGCAGATGGACGCTCGAAAGGACGATAGCCACCCAAAACAAATCTACAAGCCAGAGAAAGAGAAGTCGGATATCACGTCTAGAGCGGGGGGTGATGTGGACCGTGTCAAGTAAAACAACCGTCACCGATGCATTCATCGTGGGCTATATCATGGGTGAAACGATCGGTGGCCCTCAATTAGCTACCGCCGTTCGTCGGTGTATTGCACGCCTTGCATTGGAGCCACAGTCCCGTTCATGAGAGGAGGAAGCGTTCGCGGTTGCTCTTGCGGCATCGCGGTTCCAGGAGCATAACCGGAAAACATAGCGCCATGCACTTGCCCATTTGGCTGTGGCGCTGTTATGGGATGATGCTCGAAGATCGACGGCTGTCGAGATTGGCCGTTGGCTTGCTGCTGACTGAGTTGCGCGCGCATCTCGTCAAGTTCGCTCCTCAACACGTCATTTTCTCTGCGAGTAGTAGTAACCATCTTCTCAAGGTGTGAGATGTATTCAATAGCTACAAGTATGTTAGCACAAGAAACAACAACTAGGGCTGTGGTTGTGATGGTTTAAATTACCTCTTGTGAGGGTCTCCCATTTACTCGATTTATTGTTCTGACTTTGTGGGAGGCGGACACGCAAAGCTTCGAAGCAATCCTTCATCTCACTGCGGCGCTTTCGCTCCGCCAACTTGTGTGTTACTCTCAGCTCGGGGGTCCTGCTGTAAGGTGTACTACCGCTATGTGCGTCTGCTTCTCCAATGAGGCCACGGACTTGTTTGTGCTGTAAGGAATGGTGATGCACATTTTGAGGAAGTTCTGAAGAAATGTCAGGAACGGTAGTTCGTATATCTTAGGGACCTAGAAAGACATACCATGCTGTCCACGAGGCAACCGTGCATCAGAAAAGACGCTACTGGCAAGCGACTCAGCTGTACTTCCTTTGCGGGAGAATTGATTGGTTGACTTCTCGGTGGTAGAAGAGACAGAGTTGGATCGCGCAACGTCGGGATCGGGGAAAGCGTATGCAAGACCAGCGGTAGGTGCCTCCGCATTGTAGATCTCGGAGCGAGGGTTCGATGAGATGGCAGGTGCAGTGCGACCAGCTGCAAATCCGCGATGTTCGCTAGCCCGCGGGCCAAGTGGGGAGAGTGGTTGGCCCCCAGAGTATCGAGGGCCACGATAGGAATTGTTCATATTCACGTCCATGGAGATACCGCGCTCTCGTTGAAGACCCGATACAATCGACGTTTGCGAAGCATTCGTGCTATGGTAGGGAGATGCGGGGTTAATAGCAAGCGAGCTGATTCCTTGGTTCATCCTGCTATCCACACTGCTCCGTCGAGACTCAGGGGGCTCCACCATACTGCCTCGTTGAGAAGGCGCATCGTAGTTCTGGTTGATCGAAGGTAGGGTGGTGTTCGGCTGAGTCGAGCCGAAATTCGGAGAAGGCTGCGCTCCCGCAGATGAAGGCGTGTGGGTGTTAGAGTGGTCGTTGGGGTAAGGGGACCGATCCGAGACGTAAGATGCGCGATTGGGAGAAGGTTGGGAGGTGAGGAAGGAGAGAGAGGGATAGTTGCCTGTCGCATTTGTCGTGGTTGAGTAGGTAGACGACCCTAGGGGACAATCAGCCTCCGCAGGTGGGAATGAATAGGACGAAGCCTTACTGGTACTCTGAGGCATGGACCAATTCCCCGAATCACGCTCTATCGTATTTAAAGAGGCATTTCCCGGTGACTTCTCGGCCTGGGTAGGCATGCCACCGGCCATACTTGCTGTCAAGGTCGAGATAGACGGGAGAGTCTGAGTAGACGACACTGGAGGGGTTTGCGGTCCCGTGGTAGCGGGCTCCCAAGGTCGATGAGCAAGAGTAGTCTCCATGACAATCTGTTGACTGGTGTACCAGCACTCTAGAAAAGTACAAAGGAAATGGATCTCAGGGGGGAAAAGGCGTTAGAAGAGGCGATATCGCAAGGAGTGTTCTGAAGTGTTTCGAGAGCAGATGGTGTATAAGTCAGGGTCTCTCCGCTATCTCATGTTCGGATATCGGCACAACACGTAGTAAGACAGTGAACGTTTCAACGTTGACCGGCAGACCGATTTATGTAGTATAAATTTAACCAATTGTATGTGTTCCAATGGCGAATCCGTGGGGTGCGCGCAAGTATGACTATCCGAAAACTGAGGTAACAGACTGGCGCGTTGATGGGATCTCGATGGGGGGGCAAATCGCTAATCCAACTGATTCTGAAAGACCTCCGATTCTGGTGGAAATAAAAGCAAAGTGACAGAATCCAGCAGAGTGATAGAGTTATGTCTCCACTTGACAGTCAACACCGGGGCGTATAACTCAGAGGGTGGTATGCGTCAACGAACCGTCTTCGCACGGTATTGGCGAATCGGCAGACACGGAGTCAGAGGCAAAGGCGAAAAATGCTATGCGAAAATCGTGAAGGGCGCAGTGACGTCCAGGTCGCAAAGGTATGCCCGGAAGAGGGAAAATGGAAAAACTGCCGGAGAGGAGAGGAGGGCGGGAGGAGCCGTCGTGGTGAAAGCGAGCGGAAGACGGAGAGTGAGAAGGATAGGAAAGACAGGCGGATGGGAAAGAGGTGTTAAGTGACGATTAACTGGGATCGGCGAAGGAGAGAAGGTGTATGATGAAAATCGACTTTTTTTTTTCCCCCAACAAAAAAATTAAGTAGAGGAAGAGTAGGAGAAGGAAAAAGGGAACACTAAATGTTAAGTAAAGGAACAAATCGTGTCAGCTTCGGCCACATGGGGGGCTGACGGAAATTATGTACGGGAGGGCCAATGGTTCCGGGGCATGGGTTTGCGGTGCAGGACTGGATGGAGCTTACCAGATGGCGAAGGTGCAAAACGCTCGGGCGGCGCAGCGGAACGTGGCACGAGATTAAAACGACGAACAATTGGGCAGGAAGCTGTGTTAGGGCAAGGTCCCCGACCGATGGCCAGCAGAACCTTAACGTGACCGGCTAGAACGAAGGCTTGCGGGGAATGAGAGTAGTAGGAGTAGTAGTAGTGGTGGTGGTAGTAAGTAGTAAGTAGTAAGAGGGAGGGGAGGGAGGGGGGTGGGTGGGAGAGAGGGGGGGCAAATGATGAGCCGGCAAAAAATGAGAGGAGCAGAGAGAAAAGAGAAGAAGGACTAGAAGGGCACTTGACTGAGGAAGGCAAGTCGTGGGACGGGCGGGCTGAGAAGTAAGAAAATCGGAACAGAAGGGGGGAGGCAGAGGAGGGGGGGGGCCGCGGTTTGAAGAATGGATGAGAGCGGGTAACAGTAGTAGTGAAAAATAATAATAAAAAAAAAAGAGTGGTGAGTAGTAAAGTAGTAGTAGTAGTAAAAGTAAGCCAGCCCGTCAGTTAACTGCAAGCTCTTTCTGCTTTTCCCTCCTCAACTAACACCAGATAGGTGAAAGCAGTAATAATAATAGTAGTAACCAGTCAACGCCGTCTCTTCTCGTCTAGTTCGCAGGAACCAGACGGTGGCACTGGTGTCTCGTCGGTTTGGAACCTTGATGGATCGGGCGGGAAAATGTTAAGGGAGATGGGAACTTTGCTCTTAGTTGCGGGAGCTATTCGGACTAGTTTGGAGAAAGTTGGAGCGGGTCTGGATGAGAGACCCAAAAGAGTCTTGTAAAGAAAAATGGAATAGTAAGAGAATGTATGTGTCGTTTTCTTCTAAGCAAGAAGGGAAGGAAAGTCAGATATTGAGATCAGTTCGGATTTTGACGGTGGAAAAGGCCGATTATGGGATGGTCCAGGAAAAACCAAGGCTCTCAAGAGAGAGGGGGGAAGAGGAGAAGATTAGAAGAATAAGCACTGCCAAAGATGTTCCCTCCTCACCTTGGGGTAAAAGAGTCAGAATGGAGTAAAAGAACAAGCAGTCTGTAGGTAATAGTACCGGGCGGCCCTGAAGCGCAAGGCAAAGGTACCGATGCTGCATAGCAAGCAAATAGAAAATGACGAGATCGAGTGACAGATGCAGTTTACCTAACGCCAAAATAGAATTAAATTAAGGGCTGGATGAGAAAATAATAATAAAAAATGAAATAAAATAAAAAATAATGATAATTCTCATGTAAAGCAAAAATCGAGGTGAGACTCGGCGACTGAAGGACAATCCAGAAAGGGGAAAGAGAAATTGTTTTTCTTTACTATATTTTTTTTAATACTATTCCCGAAAGAAAAAAAGCAAATAAATAAAATAAAATAGAATAAGAAGGTTAAGAACAAAGTGGTGCCGCCGCCAACTTCCAATTCATCCCTTCCTTCCTTCCTGCAGCCTCCCTGGTAGTAGTACATGTAATAGGAGTGGGAGAAAGGGCAATAAATCTATCGATGCTGATTCAACACTTGCATCCAAGATCTCTTTTCAAAATCATTTCGATCTTCTTTACAATATGCCTATTGCCTGTTTACTTTAATTCTATTGTCAAAGTAGATGATAATAGCATACATTTCATGGCTGGCTGTATTGAAAAGAAGATAACTCTTTTGGTCTTGTCTCTTTCATCCTTCCTCTCAGCCACATGAGACAACCACTTCTATACGAAAGCAAAAATTCCTCGATGGGTATAAGAGACATGACAAGTACAGTCCTGTATGAAAGTAAGAGAGACATGAGCGAAAAAAAGGTCGCTTGGCGCTGCGTACTTGAACCGTACGTGGTCAGCAGTGGCTGCCAGCAATTGGACAGGAATTGAAGTCATCAAAACAGGATCAGCCACTAAAGACGACCATTTTCTCCGTGGCTCAAACATAGTACAGACTATTCAATTTTTCCATATGACAGATAGCTTCAGAGGCGCACCGCAAGTTCGGGGACACAAAGAGAGAAAAGCCGGCTAACATAGGTCATAAGTAGAAGGGGAGGCCGCCCGGAAAGCAGCCAAGCATTAGAAAAGGGAGGGAAATGAAATAGTAAAAACAGATAATAAGTGGTCGAGTAAATGGAATAAAAAATTAAATTTAATTTACAAGAAAGGAATGGGAGCAAATTAGTCATACTAATACTGCGACTAACTAACTAACCCGACTAAATAAAAATAGTTAATACGACATCCTAATGCGATTGAGTCCACCGCCACGAGGCGGCCATTTCGCTGAGGGTCCAGCTGCTCCTCATTCCGTGGGTTGCAGTTCTGCCACATTTTTAGGAGGCGGCCGAAGAATGGTCGATTATTATCATCAGACTTTTTTCATCATGGCTTTTATTTTCTTTTCGTGTCTCCAAAACTCTGACTCTGACGGCGAAGGTCCAGCCCAGTCATATTATCAGTCGGCTAGCGATCAGTGTAAGTGTAAATGTCAGGTACCAAACTTGAAGTTGCTTAGTCCTCCACTAGCGATTTAGCGCATCGGATAGCTCTGCTGGAGTCGAGTAGAAGGAAATCTGCTTCTCTTTCCCTTTTGTCGGCAGGATCAGAGCCACGTTTGACAGTTCCCCGGCCATCGCAGGGAATTATTGGTCCTGATGGCGCCTGGTGTCCACCCTTCCACCCATGTCCGTGTATCAATATTGCAGCTTATCAACCGGTCGCTTTTCCCGGGCCCTGGCTCATGATACGTATACGATTAATATCTGGCAAATCACGCCGATGGGGACTTTGTGGTGCGTACTTCTGTCGGTCGTTCATGATCGGACTTGGACATCTCCCGGAAACGAGCAGAGATCCGTCGTTCCTTTTTGGATCCTGGATCGTATCCGCGAAGGAGAGCTCGAATGAGCCTTGTCCGGGTTGGGTAATCATCGTTGAACCTAACTGGGGCAAAGTTGACGCAGATCGGGACCGAGGTTGCCTCACACATCAGACGCCCCATTTATTTTGCTCCCTCCCAGTCCCGTGAGGTATCTCTGGAGTAAAATCTCCTTTCCAAAATACATTCATCCGACTATCGGGGAGAATCTTGGTAATGTTAATGGTCCAGGACGCCTAAGAGCATTTCCTTATTTATACTGTAGGTGCAAGTCTTTTCTTTTTCTTTCATGGGTTATATCTGGATATCTTCGGGTTGGGACTACTACTACTAGTACTATCCGGGTAGGATAATGAAGAAACAAGACTGTCATCGACCGCCCCACTGGTCGAGTCAAGCAGGAGCGCCTAGGCAAGTGGGATCCATAACTTTCCCATCCAGCGGGAAAACTTTGTGTCTTCCTGTTGGTAACGACTCATAACTCATATCTACTGTAGTAGTAGTGAGACGAGATGGCCCAACAGGGACAAACTGCTCTCAAGCTCCACCTGGTTGCTCTCTATCTACCCCCTTGGGCGCTAAGCTAAACCAGGTTGGGGAAAATCGTAGCTCAGACCAGCCGGGAAGTGGGGCCCAGAATGGATGGGGAGTCGATCCCAGCGCGGGTGGACGAATCAGCATTGGGGCCGCTGGCATGGCAAATGCATCCTCCACGCCTGCAAAATGTCCCGTGGGCTGAAGAATTCCCGGCCTTACTTAGTACTCGAACCATGACGGGAGAACACGTTGTTGAACGCCTGTCCCAGGCAAATCCGCGGGGGGGAAGGGCCGCTATCATGCCAGGAATATTAACACAGTACCAGGGGTCTTTGCGGAGCAATGACTTGCAGCTGGGCCATTACATCACGAACCAGAGTCTCTGCATCATTGCTATTCAACGCCTGTCATCCTCATCGGTCGCATGGCCTTGTCATGGCTTACACCTTCAAAACGAAAATTGAAAAATCTTCAGGTGGAATTTTAGTAACTGAGTATCTACACTATTTTTTTATTTTGGAAGGTAAAACGGCGGTTACTCCAAATCCTTGGTCTAAACTGGATTTAGCAGCCGGGTCTCTGACTTTTTGAATCGGATAAGCTTTGTCGTCAATTTTCATGGTTTTCACCTGACTCGCCTTTACTACCGTCTACAACAGCATATGAATCTGCCCACCGGGAGTTCATCCTGCCAGACATTTTGAGCTTGCACTGATTGGGATTGCATATCCGTTCACATCCGATACCTGAGTCCCAAGGTGAGCGTGGACAGATGGCAATGGTGTACTGGATGGGCCATCCCACGAAAGACAGGCGGTGCATCCAGATCATCCGCCTGATCCTTTAAACAAAGCAGAGGCCATCCTCGGTCGGCAACGATCTCGATGCGAACTGCCTTCACGTGGCTGCACTGGACGATCGGCCTCAGGGGTCCCACGACCGGCGAACTGCCGTAAGCGGCGTAAGCGTACCGTATTGGGCTTCCAGTGAAGGCTCCATCCACCCACGGTATCATTCCGTTCGCGCCAGAGCAGTTGGCACTTAGCCTTTTTGCTTGCATCGTCCTCCCTTGCAGACATTGGTCTCAGCTTGAGATCAGGGTGAGGGCGGCAAATGCGACAGATTTCATGCTCGCTTCATCCACAATCTATCTACAGGTGAGGAGGTTCTGAGCTCGAGTGGCCAGGTGCATGGCTCTGCTGTAGACCCCCTTTCAACAAAGCCCCGCGGCGTGTTATGTCACTTTGACCTTCAAAGCCCATAGGAGGAAGCATTATGACCGTCGTCCAAGCTCCTTAGCCACGATTACTAGTCTTACTACGTGGTGCACAAGCCTAAGTGGCTGCAGCTGTTGGTTGGGACATGGTAGCAGGGGGGAAATGGTTGTCGGTAATGGCCAACAATACCTGCCCGCCATCTAGTTCACAGTACCTACCACATGGCCTGATCCCAGCAAAACTATGCCATTGATTGATAGGAAACGAAAGATGTTTCGAAGCAAGGGCAGCAGCAAAATTCAATTTACAATAAGATACAAGAAGAACCGGATATGTCGTCACACGTCGGAGTTATATCATATTCCTGTTCGCTCACAGTGTCAGCGCGAAGTCTAAGTCTAACGCCCAATAAGGCCTAACGCACAACTCATTTGGCTTTCCAGCGCCCGACACATGGCAACCATGGTGGAATGATCGCCGCTAAAGAGGGGGAGGAGGGTTCTGGGCATGCGACGGTTGAGACTGGTTCAGCCACACGACGCCAAGCGTCCATGGTGTCCCCAATACACCTCGGAGGACCTCATCCTGGAAAGCACCAGAAGGGGGCAGTCGGGTCATGAGTGGTGAAGTCAGACAGCATGGTAACAGCCACTGCAACATGGGTCCTGGCTGTCTGTAGCCAAAGAGCGACCACACCCATACACCAATTCTCTTAGATGCAGGGAGGCACCAATAATCAGACACTCAATACTTGGTTTTGCTCATGAGGGATTGGGAAGGCCTGCACGCAGTATGTATTCCCCCCACTCCGGTGGAATGTGACCAGCCGACATGCGCATCAAGGTACATGTGGACAATGTGCAGCATCCGCGAATAGCACCAGCGCTAAAGCACTACGTAAGTAGCATGCACAGTTGTATCTCATGTATGATCTGCTTGGCCTTTTTCTTTCTTTCTTCCTGCCCTTGCCTGCCAAGTGCTGTATGTCGATCGCCCTCCGTGCGTTGTCTGATATGATCCCCTTTTAAGTAATCGCCATGGCCAGTGAGCTGGCTGGACGAGTCAGTCTCCCCGGAGTTGAGGTACTTTGCCAATTCCACCAGCCAGATTTATCCCTTCCTTGTCACCCACACCTTTCTGCAGCATGTCAAACTGCCTTCCACACATGGAACATGAAAGAATGTGGCGCCTATTTTGAGTGCCTGAAGCTTCACCGCAGACCTAGAATTGGTGTCACTCGAAACCCTTGCTGCTTCTGTCTTTATTTTGTGTTTTGTATTTCGACAATACCGCTGTTCTGTATTTTTGGCCCTTTGGGGGTGTTTTATCTCCATGATCAACAAACTGTACTCGACGGGATCTCCACCCCAAGAATCACCACGCTCGATACCAAGTCAATTAGCCGAGAATTAATATCGTCGCCTTTGCTCGCTAAGACGATGGAGGGGACAGGCACTAGTGGGCAATTAATCTGGTTGGCAGGGCGATTTTCAAGCCCCAAACATAACGGTCGATCTTATCACCGGAAGCTCCCACCCATTCTGTTCGAAGGATGAAATGGAACCTGGCCGTAAGGCACTATTTGATGACGGTACAAGAAATGGGTCTGGGGCCATCCATGACAGACACAAGCAGCTGTGAGGACTGAGGAGAACAATACTACGTACGATGATTACCATAACCTTCTTTTCTTCTTCTTACTCTCAAAGTTCACAACCTCCCCAGATTGCCCCATTGCAGATCTGGCAACAGCATTTTGCCGCTAGCGTGACCTGGGAGCAATGAAGCTAGTCTTTGAAGATTGAGCGCCAAGCTGGGGTGTATCAACTAATATCAAGGCCACATCTCTGAATATGTCAAACCCCAACGATGACGGCATGAACTTTCTTCCTACCCCCCTCGACACTCGCCCGATTGTTTCTGTAACCCAAAACAGAGCAGGGGTCAAGCCCGGGTGACACCAGCAACAACGGACTCCTAGATACTTTTCCCATTTAAGACAGGCACCTTTGTCACAGTGCCCATCAGAAGGCAGGCCAATGACAATCCATGCCGCCCAGCAGCTCCGCTTTTGCAGGACGACTAGAAGGCGCACTAAAACGGACGGCTTCAACATCAAGCCAACCGTCAAGGGTTGGAGGGTGGAGGGCGCACGCGAGCGCCAAAGTTAGCACAGCCGGAGTCGGAGGCGGAGTCGGAGTCGGATCTGGACCGGATGGGGACTGGACGAATCCTGGCCCATGCAATGACCCGCTTCAGATGGTTTTGTTATGGTCGTTGCTAGTATCATTACTATCATCATCGTTGTGATGACCGACGCTGTTAATTTGCACTCATTTTCTGGTGTTGTATTAAATATGATCTTATTATTACTATTATTTTGTCTGTCTTTCTTTCTTTCTTTCTTTCTTTCTTTTATTTTTTTCCAGTTGGTCTCTCATCCCTCCATTAGTTCTGACTGGCTTGCTCCCTCCGTCCCTTCCCCTTCTGACCAGTTGTCCCGTGGTTACGAGGACAGCCCAATATATTCATATCCATCATAAGCATTCCGGGCAAAAGACAAGGTCCTTGACTGAACTCTCTTTAACAGGGTCAAATCTGATCGGGGATTAACTGACTGGCCATCTCAACGGCTGATGAGAAATGACACACAGCGCCGCCCAGAGTTTTGATCTGATTAGCCTATACTGACAGACAGTACGGTCCTCCAATTTTCCTCCAATCTCGCTAGTACTGAGAAATACTGCTACTCGATACCTAAGTAGGGACAAAGTACCTACTCTGTACTCTTTCTACCGGTCTAGCGCTCTTCAAGCCTGGCTAGATAGATATTCATCTCCTACCAGTCTACCACTGCCGCTACTTGCCCCCGTCAGCCATATTCGACCCGCTTCCTGCAGCGTGTGCAGTGCTGGGCCGATGTGACAGGACAGGGGTCTTGTCTCCCCCATCGGGTGGAGCCGGACGCCCAACTAATCACCGGGCCTCGTTTAGGTAACACGAAGCCAAAAGAATCCTTGTATCATCGCCCCGGCCACGAGACTAATTCTAACCATCACAACACCATGCATCTCAATTCTGCTAGTTGACAGGGATGCATTGAGCCTGACCGGGGTTGCTCGTGCAGTATTGGGCCATGTGCTTTCATTTACCTGACACCGGCGGCCCCCTTTAGCACCTGCCTGTCCCGGTATAGATCCGGTGGTGTCCCCATCCATCACGGCCAGACTTGGGGCCTTGGACGCGGCCATCTCGTTCGCCTGGAGCATGGGCCATGAAGCGATCTTTCTTCACCCCGGCGCCAACTAATCTCGATTAAGAAGTTCAATCACAGTTCACTCTCCTTCTATCTATCTAGCCCCATGCCTGACGAAAGCCGCCCCTGCAGCTGCTGAATGATGTCCACCCCGATGCTGTCTGCCTCGACTAATCCTAGTACCCTCGGATGGATCCCACCTGCCGCTCGTGGGCTAGACCTTGGGAAAGCTGCACCGTGCTCACTCGATTAGATTAATCCCCCGCTGACATCTCAATCATGATAACAGTAAGCCCGGACGGTTACATTGGTCTTGCTCGAAACCCGTGTCAGGCTGTCAGCACCTAGTGTTGAATATCTCTCCATGCAAGGCTCCTGCTTGCCCCGTCAAACACTTGCCCACTGGTAAGGTGGATTCCTGACAGTTCCCTGTCTATACCGTGGTCTACTATATGCACATCCTTTTGCCACATTTGGACTAGCCATTCTGGCATGGTTCAATGATAGAGTACTGAGTAGAGGCCTAGGCATGACGGTAAGCCAGTCCCAACCGCTGGATCCCAACATGCTCGGGCTGAACCTGCCCCATGGCACACAGCCTGGGCGTCAATGTCCCATGCAGATGACTGGACTCCACGGCTAAAGTGCGTCGTGCATACATTAATATATTAAAAGGCAACACACGCGCCTCAGCACTGGTGTCCCGCCGCCCATGAGGATTATGTCAGCTCAAATTAGCGTCGCGTGTCAGGAAGGGAAAGGACGAGGCAGAAGAATGCCGTGACTACGGACTTCTCCGATCAGCTTCGTCTCCATCTATCATCGAATTCCTTGGTTAAAAAGTAATTTATCCTCACCAATGACACATCTCACTCAATATTGGAAAAGGGTGATAACAGACCGAGGCATCCTTCGAGGGACACCAACTCCCTCCGTATCTAAATGGACACCGGACAATGAACTAGTCGCCACGGCCGTCTTTTTGGGCCGCCGGCGCATCCTTCAGCACTAAGCACAGGAATCGATCGATCCACAGGCCCAATAAGCTCTGCAGTCCGAGGCTAAGTCCCCAACTTGGTTTTCTCGCCTCAATAAGCATGGTTATTGAGCTTACTCTATCTTCGGAGAGACAAACGGAACTTGTCCGGTTGCCTCATTTGCAAGCGAAGGGGTCGAGTTTGAACCACGCCCGCTGAACTTGATACAGCGCTGCCTGCAGTAGAGTATCCACGACTGAGAAGCCATGAGAAGGGCTGAGCTGGATCAAACCACCGATTTGCACCGCGCGGGCAAGAGAGACCAATTAGGACGAAATGTATCAATCATCGCCCGCGCAAAAGCAGGGGGCGGGCTTGACGCCCATGCATACAGGGCACCTGTCACAATCTCCGACCCCAACTCCAGGCTGAGTGGGAGGGGCCGGCGACGCTTTCGAACGTCCAACGCAGACCACACACACACACACACTCAACCCCTCCCTCGCAAAGAAAAAAAAAAATAAAACCGCAGGTTATATTTCCAATCGAACTAATCCTCCCGTCCACAGCCTCACGGATTGTGTCGACAAGTAATCCGATGCGTCCACTTTCACGCACACAGGACCAGGTTCCTGACCTCCGAGTATACGCGGGCCAGAACCACGTGGGGTGGCCCCCAATGCTTCAGCCATTCCAATTCCTTCCCACCCCTTAGCCCTACGGAGCACGGCTTCCAGTGTCTTATTAAGGCAAGTAGGGAGTAGTTATTGCGGAAATGTCACTGATTGGCAGGCTCGGCCTCGTCCATGAACCCCAAACCCGGACTCCGTTGAACATTCCGTTTCAAGCAAGAAAGCACGTCCCACCCCGCAATCCTGCGAGACGTTAACCCTTCCTCATTAACTAGGGAAATGTTGCCAAGATAGGACAAAGTAGGTGAGCCCCAAAAGCCGAAGTTTGACACCCAAAAAACCATGGGCTAAGGTGAGGCTCTCCGGTGATAGGGTCTCAGCTCAGCTGGGATCCGCAGTTTGTGCCTCGAAATAAGGCACAGGCAGGATCTTTGAAACGCCTCCTGGTTACAGCATTCTACCAATCAGGTGTCAATGTTGCTCTACGGGGTCGTATTCAGCACATCCTTTTCAAAGCCCGACGCATGCTAAATTGAATAGTTGGGATTGAATGGGGAATCTTAAATTTGGGAACCGTTCATCACAAATCTGAGGCATAAGTAAGTATAAATCGGCTCGAATTTGAAATTTTTCTCACGAATGATTGGTGGTATACCAGTAAATAGTTACTTCCCAAGTGACAAACGAACTATGCAATATGGCTTGCTCCAAGCAAATGCAAAGTCTAGATTCCAAAAGTCCAATGCCCGGGCTTGGGAATCAGAAACGAAAAGAAAAGAAGGTTTAAATAGCTCCTGTGACGGATGGCCAATCAATCTGCAGCGGACTTGATTCCGCGGGTGATTTGTTAGGAGGAAAAAGTATAAGTGTATAAAGAGGAATAAGCAAGTATACTTTAGTTGGAATAATCAATCAGGGATAGGAAGCAAATTGGGGCAGTGGGAGTGTCTCATGATCGCGACTTATTTGTGATGTGTATCATTAGTAGGTTTAAGGGTTTTTTCTGTATATTTTTGTGCTCAAGGGAATGGATAGCTCGGAGATCGCCCCATCCGATCTTTGAAAAGGAAGATATACACTCCGTATACGAGGTAGCTTCTTATGATTCGAACTGTATTACTTACCTCCATTAATCCTAAGCTCCATCATACATCAAAGATATAGTAAAATGTAGATCGGAAAAGTAGCTACAATTGTAATGGAATACTCACAGACCCACACTATCAAGAAACCCATACAGTAGAATTATAGACTTACTTACTCTTTTTTACAATCACTATGAGGATAAAACACCAAAGAACCCTCCCTACTCAATTCCTGTACAGCACTATATCCAGCCAAGTGACATGAATAATAGCATGAAAACTACACCACCATAATAGTCTACACATACTACAACACATCAAAGAAAAGAAACATACAAATATACACAAGCATCGATCCATCATCAAGTATGCATTATATTAGATACAACTTAAACAATAATACTGCCAGACATGGAACTATCCATCCATCCCCTGCATCAATTTAGTTTCCAAAAATATCATCCACCAACACTACTACCTATCCAACAATATATCAATAACCAATTTACTACTATACTACTGTATACTAAATATATATAGACAGATAGATAAATATACCCTGCGCAAATCACCGCAGGATCGGATCGTCCCTAAGTACCAACCAACAACTTAAATACCCCCACCTACCTACCTACTTACCAAATATTATAATAGTAGTAGTATATGATCAGTCCACAAAACAAATAAATATTGTGTGTGTGCACTACTACTCCACCAGAGCAGTAACTTATGTCGTACTCTCGTAGAAAGTCATCGAATCCTTTTTCTTTCATAAGTATTCCTGAGTGAGTGGGGTGTCGGGCGTTCGTAAGTGTTTTCGAAGGATCGATTGCTGGGGTGGCGGTGCGAAACAACTACTAGGTTTCCTACGTACGAGGATCGTATATTATACAGAATATGTACTTAAGGTTTAGGGATTGCATCCTGATGTGTTTTGGGTATATTTCGTTGCTGCCTATCTACTACTTGTAGTTTCATTGTTGATTGGTTTGGGTGTGTGGGATGCGATGGGTGGCTGTGTGTTTCGGGGCGTTTACTGTAGGCAGAAAGAGTAGATCCTACGTAGGAGATGATTGTATCTATTTTTGTGTGTGAATATTTGGTTGGGGTTCATCATGTTGCGTAGTATGTACAATAGGGGAAAATATACGACATTTTCCTGTTTCAGTTTTTGATTGCCATTCACTCATCCTCTTCTTCAACGTCATCATCATCCACATCCTCGTCGTCTTCATCTTCGTCATCGTTATCCTCGAATTCCACCCCCAGGTTACCCGTGATATCCCAACGGTCGCCCTTGGCAGCCTCGCTGACATACTTGACGAACTTCAGGGTGCCGCTGTCCCGCAACACAATGCTGAGTCGGTTCCATCCGGCGGCAGTGCTGAAGAGAATGCCGTCATCGTCATCGTCGGCGCCTGCGGACCGGTAGATCGCTGCATCGCCCTCATCCTCGTCGTCACCGGCCATGTAGATCTCGTATCCACCCACCGAAGGCTCCTCGGCGTCGCCGTTGGCGACGGCTCCTTCATCCTTCTTCTTCTTCGGCTTGACCGCCTTCTTCTGCTGCTCCTCCGATGAGCCCTCGCCCATCTCCTGATCCTGATCCTGATCCTCCTCCTCCTCGTCGTCCTCCTTCTCCCAGCCCGGAGTGGGCGTCAAGCAAAGCGACAGCTCCAAACGGGGCTGTTCTCCATCATAGCCACTGGCCAGGGTGTAATCCTGGCCTCTGCGGAAGCGACGGGCCAGGTAGTCGTAGCTGGTAATACGGCCCGCACCGGTGATCAGAGCGAGCCACTTGCGGAATGCCCGGGAAGGGAAAAGGTCGTCGAGGAGTTCCTGGATCGGAGATTTCTGGTCCTGGGTCGCGGTGCCATGTTGCTGGAACAGGTAGCGCTGCTTGTGGGGAGGACGGGCGACCGTCCATCCGGTCTGGGCGAGAATCTCGTCGGAGGAACTGGGCAGGCCCTTCTTCTCCTGCTCTTCAATGTAGGTCCGAACACGAGTCGCAAACTTCTCCGAAAGGAATCGTTCCAGACTGAGACACGACTCGTTAGAGAAGGTCTCGGACATTTCCTCGGCGATGTCGGGGGTGAGGTAGGACGGGGCGATGTATTGGATCAGGAAGGCGAGGTCGGATTCTGTGAATTCGGGCGTGGGCTCCTCTTCCACCTTCGCCTTGCCCTTGCCTTTACCTCCTTCCTCGGGTTGTTGCTCGTCCTCGTTCTCGCAGTCGACGGTCTTGGGCTGGGGGAGGTCGTAGATGTCGCCGCGGCCCTGGAGCTGGGCCAGACTACTGCGCTCAGCGAGCTTCTCTTCCAGACCGGCTTCGTAGCCGTCTTCGCCTTCCTGCGGGATGTGGAACCAGCCGCTGATGGCCATGCGCACGCGCTTCTTGGACTTGTCTTCGTTGTCTTTCGGGTGGTAGACTTCTTCGACGTCGTGGAAACTCTCTCCGGGCTGGACGGTGAAGAAGCTGAGCTGGTTGAACGCGGGAGGGATGCTGAGGGAGTAGTCCGGGCTGGGAATCAGGACGTCGTCGCCGTTGGCATCCTTCTTGGTTGTCGTGGGGTACAGACGCAGTGCGCCACCCCATTCGGCCTGCCAGGGTTGGTCGGGGTCGGTGAGGTAGAGAATGTAGGACAGACGTCGGCTTCCGATGACATCGTCGTGGCAGAGCAAGTGGCAGCCCTCGTTGTAGACGTTGATGGCCATGTCGGTTTTTTGTCCGCTCAGCTTTCCAGAGCCGGTGACCTTCGAGAGGAACTCACGGAAGCGGGCAGAGTACATGGCGTCGCGCAGCTTGAGGATGGAGGGCAATTTCGCAAGAGAGGCATCGTCGAGACCGTCCAGGTTGGCCAGGTCGCCGGATTGGAAGATCTTGTAGATATCGGTTTCCTTCTCGGTGAACTGCACCTGGGCCTGGATTTCGTCGCGGACGGCGCGCAAGAGGGAGGGCTCGATGAGGGGGTGGATGACACCATGCTTGTACCTTTGGACTTGGGGTTAGCATCGCTCATGTTATCTGCCAGTCAGGATGTATGATGGGCAGCATACGGAGCAGACTGGGCATATTGCTCGGTATAGTCCTTCAGGACCGACGGCTCGAACAAGCCGTCACGGAAGCGCGCAGCGGCTTCTTCGCTCGACAAAGCGCGCTTCTTGGACTCAGGCTGGTCTTTGCCGCCGAGGGACTCTCTTCCATCAGACTTGCGCTTCATTGTGAGAAAAAGGGAAAGGAATGCGAGATTGAATCGACTCTGGAGAGGGTTCGATCTTAACGGAATGCGGATTTTGCCTTTAATTTTTCGAATAAATTTGGCGGTGAAAAATTTGCAGGCATCAATCAGGCCACCAAATCAGGCCATATGGTTTCCTAAAATAGACACCTTCACTAGAATGAATTCATTTAACTGTTTATTTATTTACTTCCTTATTGTCTGCTGCTGAATAGAAATTCACTGGTTATTCATTGAGAGCTATACAAGAGTAGTCAATACCAATGAGTGTATTGTGGAGAAGCACTTTCCAACCAACAGCCATCAGCATGCCTTTCCCAGCCACCAACAGGCAAAGTGACTGGGGTTGATTGACTCCGCACTGGAGCCCCGATAATCGCCTTCGATAAGCGCATCCAGCACCTTCCATCGCTCTTCTGACTCAAGCATCGCTTCATCCAACATGAACTGTCATTGACTGTCTCATACGAGCAGTATTCTTGACTTGTCACTTTCATCAGACTTGCTTCTTGACCGTCACCGCTATTGCCATCCCTTAAACCTCTCAGTTGCAGGCACAGACGTCATTCCCGTCGATCATCGCATCGATCCAGCCAGCAATCCGTTGGATCAGGGTATCCTTCTGTTCCTACCACGTATCATTCCTCAACAACCCCTCCAGTTCCTGCTCTCTTCAACTTTGCGCAATGCAGCCTTCGCAGGAGAACCAAAGCAACCAGCCTGATCGGCCAGGTACTCCGCCGCGCCCGCCTTACTCGCCCGTGACTCCTGTCTTTGCCCATCTTGTGCCTGTCACGAACGCCGCCGCGGGGAACGGCGCTCCTCACCCTATTGTTCCTCCTGCTGCGTCGCCCTCGCCAACCACAAGAGTACCCCCTTATGGTTCATCAGCGGACTTTACCCCGCCGGCTGCAGCCCCCGTGTTCGCGCCCGAGCCGGCCGCCGTCCCGATCTCGGAGAGCGAGAACCCAGATGCCATTGCTCTGCGATCCGCGATCTCTATCCTTCAGCTCCAGAAGCAGCAAAGCTTGCGGGATATTCAGACGCTAGAAAAGTTCAAGAAGGCCGCAGCAGAGGATCCAGAAGGGTTCGCCCGCGAACTGGCAGCGGGAAATCTGTCGGCGAAGGATACAGGGGCTTTCATCAACTTCACTCATGACAAAGACTCGGAGGACGAGGATGTAGAGAGTCCGAAGAGAGGCGTTTATGCCGGGCTAGGGGCCCTGCCCACGCCGCAGAATGTTGTCCGCATGCCTCCCATCAACTGGAACAAGTACCAGATCGTGGGCGAACCGTTGGATAAGATGCACGAAGAGCAGCGGAAGCGGCCATCTTCTGGCGAACCCAGACGCGACGATAGTGCTCAACGAGCACCAGAGCATGTGTTAGCTTCGCCGTATCGACCTCTAGTAGACAAGCTAGAGAGTCCGGGAAAGGCCAAGGGCACCAACAGAAACAAGAAGACTTGATAATCAGTGATTATTGGAAAAGCTAGTTACAAGAACCGTCCAGTGAACCGTCAAGCTTTGGTACATGAGTGGACATTCATCTTACGATGTAATTCAAAGAGACAGACTCAGAGGGTACGTCAGCCGCCTACTGACATGTGCTGGCAAAACTGATGGTGTGACAGGGAATAGCTACCACAACAGAATCTCATGCGCAAACACCTGAGGTTCACCCATCGCCTTTCGAAGTCTGTCATGAGCTGTCAAAATTCTGTCCCAAGGGGTAGCCTCATTTTCCTGGTTTTCCTTTCCATCATCCATCACTTGCGCGGACTCCTTGGCCGCCTTCTGCAGACCAAGATTCCTCTGGTACATGTTATGGAGCGCCTTCTTTCTCAGATTCTCACGTCCATAGTGCCTCACGATCACATTAGCACGCATGAATCTGCTCATCTCATGGCTCTTCAACCACGCCTGCGCTTTGGGACAATGGCCCTTGGTTTTCCAGAGGATACTTGCGATGACGTCGTAAGAAAGAGGAGGGTTCTTATCAGTGATTCCATTGGGAGGGAACTCCGAGGATGCAGCTTCTTGGTCCACCTACAGTCCGTCAATGATTCGCCCTTCACAACCGATTTCACATCCAGGTCCTATATTACCTCATCACGTTGCCAAACCTCGATCACCTGTGGATAGCTCGGCCGTGGCCCAAATGGCTTAGAGAGCTGTTGTTCCCTCACGGTCCAGTAGTTCTTCCACAGTGCGTTTCCCTGCCGTTCCAGCCACTCATCCTTCTCTCTGCGTCTCTTCTCAATGTAAGCGGCCATGGCGGGATCGACTTTGGAAATGCTGTCAGCCGTGATGGGTCCGGCCCCCGGGACGCTGCCAGCAGTAGTGGGTTGAACTTTAGGCACGCTGTCCGTAATACTAGGATCGACCTCAGGCACTCTGCCAACATCACCCGTGCTGGGATCCAGCTCATCATCCGCCTTGCGTTTTCTACTCTCCATGTTGAAATCAAGCTGTATCTGATTTGAATGAAGATTTAGCAAACTTTGTGATGAAAATCGAAGACGAAGATAAGTTAGAAGAATACCTAGCAAATGTAAAATGCTATAAAGTCAACAGCGAGGACCAACCATAAACATCACTAAACGATGTAGTAGTAGCTGTAAGCGTGATCGCATGACTAAACCGGTCATTAAAAAATCTCTTGTACAAATCTCTCACGTTGCGAGGGCAAGGCCCCATCCCCAGCGCGGTGAATTGAAGTTTCACTAAAGAAGGCAAGCAAGCAAGCGAGCGAGCGAGCGAGTTCAGAATTGCTGTGTTTCTGAAACAAAAGTGCGTGAAGTGAGTGTGGCGGAGTATGCTATCCAGTTCACCTTGAGCTCACTGTGTTGCTTGAGGTTTTGTGATTTATGTTACTGAGAATAGGGTTAGGGAATGGGGGTTTAGTGTTTAGATTATCCTTGGAGTAGATAGAATATCAGAGAATGTTATAAGAACACTACGAGGTGACTATTATTTGTATTGGGTATGCTTTCTTCAATGTATATAGTAACTTGGGAAAAAGGTGATGTGAGACAGCTATGAAGGAATTAAAGGCTCTTTGCCATTCTCTTCCTCTCGATCACGAGTATCAGAAGTCCCTGGTAATATAAGTTCATCTCTTATAGTAGTATTTTCTTAGCTGTTGCCTTTCTAGGGAGCATGTCTCACATCTAGTATTTCTCATCGGCTGTAGTCAGCCTTGTAGATTCAATATAAGTCAACCTGGCAGTAACTCCAGTCTCTAAGAGAATTAGTAAATACCACCATTCCCATCATCCCATCTATACAATGTCTTAGTATGAATCATCATATATCTACGCCACATGCAAAAGTATATCACAACTTCGCCCCCTTCCTCCCCTCCCAAACCTCCACACTTTTCCTCCCAACATCCTCCATCTCGCCCTTCCTCTCCTCCACCCGCTCCCTCCACTCCAGATTCCCCGAATGATCATCCACCACCCCCAACAACCTCCGATACATCTCCTCCTTCATCACCCCATAAATTTCCGTCTTGGGCATCAACACCAACTTCCTCTCCTTCACGAACTTCACCGTCTCCTCCACACCCCCCAGACCATCCACAATCCCCAGCCGCAGCGCCTCCGGCCCAGGGAACCTCTTCGCCTCGAGCACAACATCCCGACACACATTCGGCGTCAACTTCTCCCGGAAGACATGCATCATGGGCGCTTGCAACGGCACCCCGAATTCGAGCTCGTTGATGCATAGAAAGCCCTTACTCGGGTTCTGGATCCGGTAGTCGTGGTACATGGCGAGCATGAAGCCGCCGGCGAAGGCGTGGCCGTTTAGGAGGGAGATGGTGGGCATGGGGTAGCTGTTGATTCCATAGTAAATATATATATTAGTATACGGTTCATGTTTGTTAGTGGTAAAATTAAATGAACATACGTTAACAGTCGACGGAATAACTTCCACAGCCATTTATCCAGAAACCCCTCTGTGGATTGCGCAAGTTCGAGATCTAGTCCATTGCTGTAGAATTTGGGAATCCCGCTGGTGGTGATTAACACACCCTTTTGGTAGCGGTGTTCGATGATGTCGAGGGCCAGGAGAAAGGTGTCGATAAAGGTCGGGGTGAGACGGTTATCTGGGGGTGAGGTGAAGGTGAGGAGGTAGATTGTCGGCTGGTCGGGGGATGGGTTGGTGCAGGTGATGGAGCCGGAAGTGGAAGAGATGGGGAGGGTGAAGAGTGGAGATGTGGTGGACATGGTGGTAGTACAGTAAGCAAGGGCTGTTGCTTGTTACTCGTTTGTGACAGTGTACGTGTGTAACATGAAGCGGGGATGGTAGAGAAGATGGAATGGTGGTCTTGTATACTTTTGAGGGTTATTCGTGATCAGTAATCGTTAAACTGGATTGTTTGCTAAATCCGGGGAAGATGAGAATAAGGAGTGAGTGAATCCCGCGGTATCACATGCGCTTGAAGTATGTTCCCGATTGGATTTATTGCATGTGGATTATGTTCTTGTCAGATTTGTATACTTGTGCTGAGGGGAGTATGTGTATATATTTGCTTTTTTTGGGTAGCTCTCATCTGACCGTGATGATGATCCCATGCAAGTAGTCGTTAGTCATAGTTAGTAGTTAAATTCTAACGGCGTAAGCTCCATCCATCACAGCTGCATCCGTCATCCCCGCATACCCTCATCACCTATCTATTGACCAGTTACTGTGAAGCATCCTTTTAGCAGTCTACCATATATGACATCTTTTATCCCACTGACCGCTTCCATAGTATAGCAACAGCTCTATCGACTGATCCCGCAGTTCCATCACGTACCCTCCAACAAGCAAGATGGGTATATGACAGCTAACGGCCAAAGCAACCGACCACCAGCAGATCCCCCCGCAAAACGAACATGATTTCAAATCCCCTCCAGGGCAGAACAGTACCGCTGAACTCCACAGAATAGAGCACCAAACAATATCTACAACCAATCTACCCAATATACTCAAGAAGGAACTATTCTTCACACCTCCAAAATATTGACATCACATCATCACTGACGTCATCCCCTCACAGCTCTCTTATACTTAGTTACTTACCATCACCACCATCACTACATCCCAACTCCTCCATCCCAACCCTCTACACTCAGACAACAACATCCATTAACTCCAATCCATTATCCAATACCAATCTACAACCCCCAAACCAAGCAAGCATGCAATCATCCCACCACCACCAACAACCCCCCCAACCCCCCAAACAAGCCGCCTACAACCAACCCACCAACCCAGTAACCCACACACCCTCCGAGCAACGCACTTCCCAATCCTCATCCCAGAATCCATCGCAATACGACCACCTCCCCCGGCACCGCGGCGACGCCCTATCCCCCATAACCCGCAACGCAGCCTCCCAGCCCTCCAACTCCAACACCAACCCTAACTCCAGCAAACACCAAGAATCCATGCGCAACGCAGCCTCCACCCTCGACACCGAATACGGAGTCGAGCAGCAGCCCGCAGAAGGGGACATCGCGCGGGCCGTGCAGGGGAAGTCGGCGGATGCGCGGGCCAGAGCACAAGCCGGGGCGCATGCGGGCGCGGTAGGCAGTGCCGAGGGGCCGGGGGCGCCGGGGTACGAGAAGGGGGAGATGGCGGATTTGGATCAGAAGAGGGAGATGCATGATAGGATGTTGGGGGATCGGGTGGGACAGAGTCCGGCGGAGCCGGAGGATGAGGTGAGGAGGAGGAAGTTGAGGCAGGATGAGGAGGTGGATGTGGTGGGGGCGGCGAGTAGGGGGTCTAAGGGGAGGGTTGTTTGATTGTGTTATTATTATTATTATTAGTGTGGGTTTTTTGGTAGATTATAGGGAGGGAATAGGATAGGATAGGATGTATAGGTTGATGGTGTGGAATGGAATGGTATGTAATGGGGTATCAGAAATCGATCAATAGCTATTAGCATACAGACATATAGGTAAGGCGTGGATTAACCATCAGCATCATCGCCCTCGCCGATAGACACCTTCTTCAGTGATAGATCTTGTTTCAGATCGTGAATGCGCTTGGCCAGTTTGCCCTTCAGAATGGCGTTCTGCATCTTCTCCCACTTCGCCGTCTCGGCGCGGATCAATGCCTCCAGTTCGGCGATTTCCTCGCGTTGCTGCTGCATCTGCCGCTGCTGCTCGAGCTGCTCATCATCCAGCTCATCTTCCGGTTCGTCGCCATCGTCGGACCCGTCACTCTCATCACCGGATGATTCTGGCGCTGGTGTGGACGGCTTCGTTGCCATCGGTGTGCCCGCTTGGTATACCCCAGCATCTGATGGTGGCTCGGCTCCAGGTGCCGCGGCCGCAGCGCCTGCCTCGCCTTCGTCGCCGGCAGCCAAGGCAGCCTCCATCTCGGCAGCCAAAGTGTCTTCGAAATCATCGAACAGACCACCGTCTTCCATGCCTTCCTCCATTTCACCCTCGGCATCCTGCTCATCATCGTATTCGTCTTCGTAGTCGTAATCTCCACTCTGGACCAGTCCCTCAGCCCGGTTTAATGCTGTCTTATCAACCAGCTCATAGCGGATAGGTGCCACGGCAGCCTCATCCTGGGCGATCAGATCCTCGACGGCCTTCTCGACCTGCTCGATAGTCCGCGTGCTAATCCGTTCCCGGAAACGGCGCTTTCTCACCCATCGCAACGGTGGTGTGAGACCATGTGGGTATTGCAGTGTCTTGTCGTCTGGGTGTAGGATGTCCGAGGGGAGTGGGTAGTCCATGGCCTCTTGTTCATTGGCAACCGGGCCAAGGATCAGAAGCATCTGGCAGATATCCGCAGATTTGTACCACCCACGCCGGTCCCAACTCTTCATACCTTCGATGATACATGGCAAGTCCACCAGCGCTGCGGCGTATTGATGATCGCGGATCTTGAAGATGGCGCGTCGTCCCTCACGGGTGAGTGGTTTGAAAGAAATCTCCGAACGGTCGAACCGGCGTTCAGCAATGGCGCGTTGTAGATATTCGCAATCCTCTCCGGGCAGCATGCGCAGAATGAATTGTTCTTCGATCGAGGGGTCGATTTCCGTGTCGGATGCCTCCGAGTCGTAGCCAACACCCACTGGTCGGTTGGGGACCAGCCCCTTGTTCTTGATACGGAGCGACTGGACCCCTGGCTTCTTCGACGGGTTTAATTTCAGGCGTTTGGGTCCAGAGGGTTGGGCTGTCGCGACCGTGGTGGATGGTTCCTGCAACGCGGGTCCCTCTGCTGGGCGCTTCTTCGAGGTCTTCTTCTTTTTCTTGAGTTTGTCATCCTCGGGCGGCGCTTCTGGTGCCGGTCTACGGGCGATCTTGAGCGTGAGTTTGCGTTGAGGGGTCTCTGTTGGCGGAGGAGGTGCAGCAGGCTGTCTCTGGGGTGTTTCCTCGGGCGCCTTCTTTTTCCCGAAGGTGAGCTTGAGCGATGGACGGGGTGTGTCCGACATGGCGAGAGGTGACCACCAAGTCGGTGGAGATGCGATGTAGGAGTGAGCGAAATCAGGTCAAAGCAGAGATGGTAGGAGGCTGGCAGATGGATGGGGTGAAGTGAAGCTTGCTGTGTTACAGCGGAGACGAAGACTCGAGGGCGGAGCCAGAAGGCGGAAGACCCCGAAAAGGCAGTAAGAGGCCCATCCATTCAGCCATTGATCCTCTCTTTGCTTCCTATTCATCTCCTAACACTCGACCTCAACAATAGCGACGCAGTGAGCCGCTCATATTCTTAGCTATATAATCCTCGTCTGCGAGCTGGAAAGCTCTTCTTGACGTCTCTATCGTTGTTCTTCATCTACAACCCCTACGCCAACATGTCTGGCTCCAATCTACACAACGCTCTTCTCCGCCCGCCAATAATCCAGATCCTGCGCGCAGCAGGCTTCCATGCGACGCGACCGTCCGTTTTAGACACCCTCGCTGACCTTACCGCCCAATACATCATGATCCTTGCTTCATCTACGACTGCCCATGCTGCAAACGCTCATCCGCATGACCCTGTTCCGGTCCTCGAAGATATCTACCAAGCGCTGCAAGACGCAGGCGCGCTACGACCCCAGCTGCGAGAATGGGAGGAGGACTGGCAGGGAGAAGAAGATATGCGAGGTTTAGAAGGCTTTTTGTCGTGGTTCAGTGGGCCGGCCAACCGGGAGATTCGACGAATTGCTGGATTTGTGCCCAGTGAAGGCGACATGGTCGATGCGGACGCTCTCGAGAAAGAAGACTTTTTGACGGCATTGAAGAAGAAACACAGCAAAACCGGCGAAGAGTCGAGATATGCGGGAACCGTGCTCGGAAAGAGCGCCGACGAGCATCCTATCATCATCGAGGGTGGCGCGCCCAGTCTCCAAGACTGGGGTTCACAGATGCGGTCGCGGGCGCCGTACATGGCTGACAGCGATTCGTCTGGTGTCAGTAGTGCGCCGAGCAACTTGTCCGATGGGGAAGGGATGGATGTGTGATGAGACAGCAGACAGGTCGTTCGAAAACAGACCACTTCACAATACACTGCAACAAGGCTGTCGGTCGTCTGCAGCCCGACAAGCCAGACTCAAGACGCCTAGCTGCAACACAACGCCTACACCGTATCTGGCATTGGGACAGCTGGCCGGCCCAGCTTGATCACAATGACCAGCAGATCGTCCACCAGCTTGGGAATATCAGCATATCACTTGCTATTACTACAGACGGGTTGTCACAATTTAGGGCCAGAGCAGGCTGGATTTATCATTATCCACCGAGTCAGAAAACAGCATCTACGCCTTGAAACATGTGCGAAGAAGGCAATCGGGACGAATGAGGGATGGAAAGCCATCTTGCAAGCGAAATCATGTATCTACAGCATAACAGCGTATAAGCCACATGAGTTAATGAGTTTGGCCGATAGGCCCGAATTGACCCCGACGTGCTTTTCCCGTAGGTTCCAACGCAAACGAGCTTCTTGGCTGCCGCGGAGATCTTCACCTCCTCCAACTCAACTCCAGCTCTCCCCTTCCTACCTACTCCACTCCAGCTTCAACACCCCAATCACCACCACCATCACCATGGTCTACGCCTTCACACTGCCCTCCACCTCCCATCTTTCCTTCCAGACCTTCCTTACCTCCAGCACCCACCCTTCTCTCCCCCAAGCAGCCACCACCGCCCGCCATGCTCTCCGACAAGCTCTCAAAGCACACAAGCGTTTACCCCGCGGTCCGCAACAAGACGCCCACCTGCAGACTCTCCTCACCACCATAACCAGCTACCTCCCTTACCTCCTCGCTCTCTCCAACGGACTCAGCAGCAAACCCGGCGACACATCTCCCACCGAAGAAATTGAAATTACCCTCCGCACCGAGATCACATCCGCCTGGCGCCCGACCCTCACCAACCCCACCACCACGCTCTCCCTCAAACAGCGGCCCACCACCACCCGCATCCAGGGACAGGGTCTCGACTTCGAGATAGCCTTTGTCCTCTCCACCCTCAGCTACGTGCTCAACTCCCTCGCCCGTATCGGCGTCACCCGCACCCTCTACGCATCCACGACCCCGACGCCGGAACAGCGCACCGCCGCCATCCAAACAGCCACCAAACACCTCCTCCAAGCCAGCGCCGTACACTCACTTCTCGCTTCCTCGCCCTCCTTCGCAACCGCAGCCCACTCCATCTGCAATAGCAACAAAAATGGAACCTCTACCCTCCCGGACCTCGACCCCGCCACGCAAGCGGCCCTCTCCTGTCTCGCCCTCGCGGAAGCAACCCTCCTCGCTGTGTTGAAGGACGATTCCTACGTCGCCGCCTGTATTCAGGCGCGCAATCCCAATGACAAGGACTGGATGGTCCGCGCGCCGGAGATCCCTAAGGTCCGCGCGCACCTCTTCGCGAGATTGTGTATCCGGGCTGCGGAGTACGCGGAGCAAGCTGCTGCGGGGCTGGGATCTGTCCGATCGGAGGGGCGGATGGGGATTGATGATGATCTGCTAGGGTATACACGGGTGCTGGGACGGGTTGCGCGGGCGAGAGCCTGCCGCTTCTTCGGGGTGGATGCGGAGTTGTCCGGGAAGATCGGGGAGGGAATTGCATGGTTGAGAGCAGCGAAGGGGGCATTGGGGGTTAGGGGAGCTGGGACAGGTGGAGCGGAAGCGAAGGAGACGAGTACGAAGAGCCGGACCGGGCTGTCGAGGCTGAAGCAGGGTTGGATGGAGCGGCGAGAGGAGAGACGGATGGAGAAGGATGCGGGGAGTCGGGATCGGATAGAGAAGGGCGAGCTAGGACCGGGGGATAATGCAGGTCGGGAGGAGGAGAGTCGAGTGATTGAGATGCTGGAGACGAAGTGGGTGCGAATGAATGATACGGTTGGTGATATCCACGCCATTGGTTTGGAATGATATTGCTAACTGCTAAGCACAGATTAATACCCAGCTGATCCCACCTTCTACGGACCTGCTCGCAAACTTGCCCTCCGGTCGAGATATCCATTCCGCGCCAGCGCCGTACAAGATCCCCTCGCTGGATGAGGAGCAGCTGGTGCGCATGCGTGCGCCGCCGGCGGAGGACGACTTTGGACCGGGGAGTGATGTCGAGGACAGTGATGAAGAGGCGGCCAGTGTAGCGCGTGTGTATACGCCGGGAACAGTACCGGAGCGGAGTGACAGTGCCTATTATTGATCTTGAGCTCTATACAAATACCATACATACCTTAAGGCTTACTCCATACGCAGTACCGATTAAAACAGCAATCCAGACACAGCAATCCGGACACAGCAACCCGTATAAACCATAACAGAGTTATACCCACCCATCTCAAAACATATCATACAATCACAACTCCCCACAACTCAAACCCAAACCCAGACGAAGTCAAATATAAAAGTAGGAAAGAAAAAAACCACAATGCATATATTGTATATCACATAACATAACACAGAAACCAATTCAACCCATCCCATTCCCCAATCCAATGTCAACCCTCAAACCTAAGCAGACTTATTTCCCTCCCCAGCAAAGTAATTCTTCTCCTGGAACAAGTAACCCTTAATCTTGCGCTCGCCCAGCAACTCAAAGTACTTCTCTGTATGCCCCATACCCACATTAGCATATATTCATCCCCATAATCACCATCACCATTCCCCCATCCTTCCAAAAAGAAAAGGAATAGAAGAAAGAAAGAAAGAGGGATAAAGGATAGGTATAAACTCACCCCTCAAAACCCCACACTTCTCCAAATGATTCACACCCTCACGAGCATAACATTTGCCCAATTCCTCTCCGACCAGACGAGACATCATACTGCGGACCCATTGTTCACGGATAATGGCGTCGCGGGCGTTGTGGACAGCAACGTTGTCTTCGAAGTCGACGCCCTCGTAGGTAGGCGGCACCGTGGGCTTTTTGGCCAGGAAGGAGGCGGATTCCGGGGTGGGCATTTTGCAGATTTTCTTATGGTTTGAGACGGAGGTAGGATGGAGGGAGGTAGAGAGGTGAACAGTAAGTAGTCCGGTTATTCGGAGGTCGAGTTGTATCAAGTTCGATTCCGGAGGTCGCGAGAGTTCCAATTGCGGTGGTTTGATTGGTTGGGGGTGTGGGCGGTCGGATGTGCTGCGCTGGTCACGTGCTCTTGTGAATTATTAGTCAGCTGGGTTGTGAGTGGGTGGTTGTGCCACTGCAATTACGGTTGTATACTTGTTTATTTGTGGTTAGGAGTCGGTGGAGAGTACAGTAAAAGGCCATAGATGAGCTACTAAGTCTAGATAACTATCGCTAACACCAAACGCCTCGCCAAATACATCAAATCAGCAAACATCACACCCATCCATACGCCGTCACAGGTCATTATTAGTCCGCATTTTACATGGTCATTTCTCAGACCAGTCATCATCTGCAGTAAACATCAAAGCAAAGCAAATGTCGTATCCAGCAACGACTATTCAACTTGCTGCTCCTCGCCAGGGAAAAGCTTCTCGTAAAGGCCGTTCAACTTGTCCTTCATCCGCTCCCACCATGTCAGGTTCAGCTGATTGCTGATCTCACGGTACTGGTACATCTCGGCCCAGCAGTCGCGTCCATACTGGCACCCGGCCATGTTGACCAGGAAGTCTCTTTCATCTTCCTGGTAGTGAACATTCGGGTCATTCTCGTCTCCACATGCCCCCTGGGGGTACGAGTTGATATATCGCTGGGGAAGGAAGCCAACGTGGCTGCGAACCCACGGCTGTGTCGCATACAGATATTCCATCGCATCCTGCTCCTTGTGCTCCCACTCCATATGTTTCTGTTCATACATGACTGGGTCCCACCACGCGTCCAGCAGGCGGTCGGCCCAGAGGGAGCGCCGAATGAAGAAAGAGCCGAGGTTGAAGCCCCCACAGTCCTGCGACAATAGCATATGTACCGATGATGGATCCCCGTCTCCGGTTGGCGAACGAGACACCTCGTCCAGGTAAGCGTCGTCCGGCGGATGGCTGATATTCAACGGATTGTAGACATTGATGTCCCGGTAGATAATTTCATCCAAGCGGTCGAATATATGGTCCTGTAACGAGTAAGAGTATTCCATGATCCAAGTGCTGAGGTCCAACCACCAAAACCTGCACATGTCAGTGACGATCACGGAAATGAATACGGCAAACATACCATTCAGCATCAGGGTGCTTTCGCATCGTCTCCCGGATAAGGTCCACCTTCTCCCAGCTCTCGCGCCATTCGTGGGAATACCGCTTCTTCGCCAACATGTTGACGGTTTCCAATTCGTAGCCCCATCGCTCAACATAATTCTTCTTGTTCCACACGCTATTGCGCTCGATCGCCCATTCGCGCGCTCCCTTCCACTCCATCACGCCACCCTCTATGTTAGATTCTAGTATGATCACGAACTTGCGCCCACCGCCTAGCGGAGAGCGCCGATATTTCTGAAGAAGAGCTGCAATAAATTAGCCACCGGTGGACATCTGTCCACACGTATGCGATTCACTTACACGCTCCGAAAAATATATAGCCCAGCAAAAGAAAGATCAGCGCCACGAGCAAGCGCGATCGTCTGCGCCGCAGAACTGACCTGCCAAATCCCAAGCGCCAGCCCGTAGCTGGAGAGAGAGGCCGCCCCCGACCAAACTCATCCTTATCGACATAGCCATTCGGAGACCCTGAGCCTAAACGAAAGCGCGGCAAAGTGGCGGAGAGCTGGCGTCTTGAACGCGAGAAGAATCCGCTGTTCTTCGTTGAAAAGGACGGGTAGCCTCGTACCTCGTCGCTCTTCGCTTTGGCGGCGGCCCAGGAGATGCCACTGGCACCTATAGGATTTGGCGACAGGAAGCCATTGTGAGGCGTCGTCGGGCCACTGGGCGAGGTGAGTCCAGGACTAGACCATCCTGCTCCCGCGGGGTGGGGAGAGGGTGATCGTGACAACGACATGAGCGGGGAGTCGGGACCGACAGGGATGCCGGCAGGAAGGGCAATGGCGGGCGAGCACAACGGCCCGCGGAGCAGCCACCGACGGGCGTGATTGGGGAGTTCGTGCTCGGCAGAGGGCCGCGGTGGAGGAGGTCAATGGGATATGTCTTTCTTTGAAACAGGCGCCCGCAACTTGGGAGGGGAAACAAGAGCGCAGCAGAAAGGAAAAGGATGAGGTTTTGGAGCGGAGGTGTAGGAGATACGTTAATGAAGTAACAGATCGCTATCGAACCAGAAAAATCAAAGAGAGCTAGAAATTAAAGTAAAATTACTCTTCGGTTCAGGAGTCACCAGCTCGAAACGACGGAAGAGGAATAGTATGACATGGTCGTTGATAAAAACTGGATCACCAAGTCGCCAAAAAAGGCCGAAACAATAATCCAGGAACAGAGGAACCCATCCGCGAACGGGTCTGTCCGCTTTCGTTTGGGGACTTTTTCTCTTCGAGGGCCACTTGTCAGGTTAACGGTACAGTTCCAAGGGCGCGCTAGGGGGTGCCCCGGAGAACTGGTTGAAGAATGGAAGGAATGGGAGGGATCCAAGGGTCAACAACCCCCATGAGGCAGCGATGAGGGCACAACTCCCTCCTCTCCCTACTCCCCTTATCAAGTAAGACATTCCGCGCGAGGACCATGGATAGAACCCGAGCCATGGCTATTAGGATGACCACCCAATGCGTCGGACATTGTCATCTCGTGTGTGTGAGAGAGAGATTGAGGTGCTCCGAGAGAGCATCATTCGTTGGTGGTGGGGAGGAAGGAGATTAAACTGCAAAAAGCAGATTAATTTAATTAAATCCTAGTAACAGCCCCGCCCCCTCGCTTGAGCTTCTCGCGCAGACGCCGAAACGAACGGTTGGAGCCTGGCAATTTGTTGAGAGGAGCTGCTCATTTCGAAGGTTACTTGCGAGTAAGTAGTGAGTTGGCCACCCTGGCTCGAGAGACGGTTGTCTCACATCCGTCAGACTCCCTAATGCGACAAAAGAAGCATCTAGCAGTGGAACACATTCAAGCTATGTTCCAGGTCGGAGAAGATGGAAGAACTGCTAGAAATCCGAGAGAAGCCAGACTAGCAGGAAGAAACTAATCTCCAAGATCCACATGGAAAAAGAGTGAGACCCACTCGGTCTTTCAACTTTAGCGGTCAGGGTCACATGTGGTGCTGGTGTTGCTTTGGCTTCCTTCGTGGCTTTTCGACGCATTGGGAAACCTCGTGAGTTCATGATTCGTGATCTTTGACAATATCCAAATAATGTGTTTCTTAAACCTGTTTGACCTGGCTGCTTCCGGCGTCGCCTATTCAATGTGAATAGATACCACCTTGTGAACCAGGGAACTGCCCTTCGTATCGTTGCCGAGAGGTACAGGCTTCACGGACCCAGTTGATTCCAGACCCTGAGGGTCGCTGCTAGTCTCTTCGCAGGTAGTTCCTAGATATTATACGAGCTACACTTTATCAACAAATGTATTTTGAGAATGCTAAAGGCCTGCTGTTTTTGGCTGTCAATTTGCAGCCACTGACGCAAACCCTTGTTTCCATACACAACTAGGCACTCAGTCACGTTTCCTAACCTTCAGCTTTACCGTTTTGCAGCATATTGCCCACCGCGCTGCTGTTTGACAAGGACGCTGGAAATGACTATTTTTTGAGGGTTTATTATGAATGGGTGCTCTTTACACAGAAGCTCGTCTCCTTTTAAGCCAGCTGTACATGGCAATTAATGATTGATTTTAAATAGGAGTCATTCTATCTATGTTCAGATCGTTTAGCATAACGAATGACATTATGGTTTCAGAATATCAAAAGTTTTTCATTCTTCGTTGCGAAGTAACCTCATCTGATGGCTTGTTGTTCTTCAAACAGACTACCAGTCAACCAACAACAGTTGCTGTCCTGATAGAGAGACCACTAAATATAGTTGATACAACACTAATCTTACGGACTTAGTCAAAAATTGAAGACGTCCAATTACATGGTGCTGTGATGCGGTCTATTCTCATAGACAATGAACATCCGTTAGAGTACTATGTTCAGCAACTGGCAACTTGGACGAGATAATTAACATCTGAGATTACTTCAAAGACACCTTAGTCAACCTTAACCGGGTTAGGCCAAAAAAGTGATAGATAAGTCACGCTATCTAAGAATTTTCTATCCTTTCCGGTGGATTCTCTTTATAGTAATTCGAAGCCGACAGATCCATTGTGCCTTTGCAAGATTTTGGATATATCAATCCCACTTTCCTTAACTTCATTCCCATCCGCAACGCAGTAGCGAGCAAAAGATGGCTTCCCGGTATTTTGTGCAAGGGATTTTTAAATATCTTCAAGAAAGTATTCCGAGTAGAAATTTAGAGTAGATAAACTTCCGATGAGATCGGGAAATAAATGAACTGCCAAATAGGTTGAGTATAGATGATCTTTTCATCGCCGCATGGCTATATGCCTGTAGCCACTACGACAGCGTGTGTTTATCTTGTGACTCACATAGCTACTTAGTAACCTAAACCAACTGTATAGACAAGGAGAGACCCATAACAGCACTACTAAATATAAGTTTCAGCACAATTCGTCAATTCATTGAACTCAGTCTAATCTTGCAGCTTCACTACATATCATCTGCTAGCCATCTTAGATAGGTATATATATATATTGGAAAATCAGATTAGCTTCCTCCGCAATCCTCAGACTGAGCCACATTGCATTACATTTAAACTACCCCTCGCATATATATTCAACCTTTTTCTTGTTCTCAGCCCACATATGTTCCTGCTGGGCCTTCTCTTCGCAGAGCAATCGACGGAGTTGACGTGCCGACCGAGCAAATATCAAAGTACATACAAACCACAAATCTCTAAGCGAATCCCACTTAAGCCCTTCTCTCCTCATCAATCTCCCTATCCACGGTACCTGTGGAAGAGTACATGCGCTCGCCAATCGCCCTTCGACGATTCATTTCCTCATTGAGTCTCAGCTGCATCTGCAGATCTTGTTCCTCGGCATCACCTCCAGGAGCTGGGAAATGCTCTGGAAGTTCCATCTCACACTGCTCGTGAAGACACTGCACTTGGGCGGTGTTACAACCTTGCGAGTAGAAATGGTGTGAGATGGCTTCTTTCATCTGCTTGATCTGGGCGATGAAACACGAACATTGTGTATGGGCCCATCCTTGGGAGTATAAGAAGTCGTAGAATTTCTTCTCGTAGGGTGTCAGGCTCGACGGGTCGATAGTGTGAGGCTCATTTGCATCCGATATTGCGTTGAGAGCAATGGGGAGAGTTTGGCTAGTACCAGGCAGGGGAGTGTTTTCATCTGCCTCTGACATCGTTTAGCCGCTTTGTGAATTGTAGAGATTGGACTGAAATAGGGTCCAAGTTGGATAGGCTGGCGGAATGATAATTGATGATCAAGACGATGTATATTGAGAAAGGAGGTGGTGGTGTTGCTTTTATCCGCTGAGATATCCTTGCACTTTACCCTTGCACTAATTAGCAAAACGCTTACAGTAACTTACTGGTAGTAATTATACCATACGGAATATGGCCACTTGGATTTAGCAAAGTTGTATTCAGAGGACTATGTGGTGTAATACCGAGTTACTCTGATTGATGCGCCTTAGCTACGTCCTATTCCTCAGTCAAGTTCCCAGATTAGATGACTATTTCCTGCCCAAATCTAGGAACAAACAGTTTCAGTAGTGAGAAGTGAGTGGCTACAGGCATTATTCGTATGTGTGCACTAAGGATAGCAAAGTCAATTTCCTTCAAAGAGTCATTTGAATAAAAAAATTTCAAGCATAGAATATACATACTCGGTGTGAATAACAGCTGGTACGGCGTAATACTCCATTTACACACAAGAAGCAATCCTGAAGAGTAGACGAGCAAAACTAATCACCATATTGCGAGTTAGAACGCTTTTACGGTAACCGCTTCGGTTGCAACTTACACCGAACTGATAAGTCGGAATTTTGGCATCGCTCTCATCGGTACGAAGGTGAACAGTATTAGACTCTCCAACATCTGCCTCTGAAGAGACACAATCCTGCGGCGCTTCTACTGCTGGTCTTGCGGATGCGATGACTGTGGCTGATAGAAATATGGACACTGTCTATTCTGAACCTGTGATTGAACGTAGAATTCATCCTAGCAAGGCGCCATTTCTCAGGAGATGAAACAACTGGTATCAATCCTTGGTGTCTCTTCTATAGCTGCATGGAACGTTACGCATGTAAAAGGTCCTATGTCCGGAGTAGCTGAAAACGTTGGACACAACCTTCCAAGTGGAGTATAGATTATTTGCAGATCAGTGCACCGTCATCGCATTAACCAACATTAGTATCTTCCAAAATCACTGGGTATCGAAAATGTTCGAGATGGGTGAGCTAACGTGCTAAGGCAAGTAGATAGGACGAGGATCGTCGAGCAAGTGTAGACCTATCATATAAGTGCCACATTAACATATGAAGATCTAGTAGTTGATAAAGACAGACTCCTTGAAATCTTGACTGGCAGCTCATGTGTGAACAATGCGTTATGAAACATTGTCCGGACAGGACAGATATTCAAAGCAGAGTGATACACTGGAGAGCAACCGGAACGGGAATGTCTCACAGGAAGCAGATAGTAAGGTCAGATATAGATCGTCACTTGTGGCCTTAGTTTATAGGTACTCGTCTCCTGGATTCGTCGACTCTCACTTAGCTTCAATCCATACGCAACAAGCGGACCTGGCCTCTATACTATGAAACTATCCTCAAAGTATTGGATTGACTGTCCGATCATCTTGTCACTTTTCACATCCCTCAGTCACCACAGGGCCAGTATCGACCTACCTAAGATGGCTAGTGGGCTCACAGTGCTTCTGGCCAAATGCCTGCATGTAAAGCAATATTATAGTGCCACAAGGTAGCACCATGTCCGCACTCGTTACTGCAGTCAGCGTTGCATTCGTTGGTTCAAGCTTTGCCCGATATGCAAAATGAACAGGCCTCTAGGTGCCAGGCCATGATCAGGATCAAACCTTGAGGATAGAAGCAATAATCCATGTAGTGTATGACTAGTACATAGTTACTTGTCTCACCTCATAGCTATACAAAGATTTGACTCGTGTAACCTAGACGTCCACTCAGGTACGTAATTGTAGCGCCGATATAGTACATCCCAGGTCCTGAAAACTAATAAACCTGGTACATGTTTACTGCAGTCAGAGTAACACTGGATAGATTCAGGCTAGGGTTCAACAAGAATAAGAACTGGTGATTCAGTGCATCTGATCAAGACTTTTTTCTCTCTCTCAAGTTACCCTCATTCAGCGTGCTCCCTCACATACGAATCGAATCCACCCAGAAAAAAAAAACGAAATGAGACCCTGGACGAACACCATCGTTGCTCTTCTGTTCATGGGAGCTGCTGGGGCTACCGGTATTGGACCTTGCTATAATCAGTAGGTCCTCTTTTTCTGTCTTCATTCCAGACATCTTGTTTGATCACTTCGAAGTGCACCCTAACTTTGTTGTAGCGCAGATCCTCAACACAATATCGGCAACTACTGTTATTGTCAAAGAAACGGTGTGTCTTTTTTTTTTTTTTTTTTTTTTCTCCCACATCTCTCGCTCTTTACTCTACCATCCCTGGGAGACTCGGCTTAACTTATCTCTTCTATATCACATATCAGGTGTCTGTTACTTCGAGGGCATACATAACTCGTGCGACCCTCCTGGGAATGCTATTCCTGGCGGTTGTCCAAAGAATATGATACGCGGTGGCCTACGCCTGAGAACAGAAGGATGAGATGAAAGGGCCGATTGTATTTCGCCATTGTGCCTCCTAGGGATAAAGTACAGACTGACTAAAATAAAGAATATTTTTAGCCTGACAGAGTTTGAATGTATATAGCAAAGACCTGTCTCAAATACAATTGCTCTTCCTGACTATCAGAGCGCGCGGGTGCTATCTAATTCTAGCCAAAGTAGCAGCAGCCTTTTACTTACTACTTGCCCCTGAGCAAGGAAATAATAATGTACGAAGGTATCGACAGCACTGTGTAGGACCCTGGAAATACGTTCATGTATCTATAGTGGCCCGTCTCAGACGTAGCCTAGGTGAGCCGTAAAAGACAGTGGTATCTATTGATAAATATCCATGCAATTGATGATCGTACATGCGTTGACGAGAGTAGTCTTTTTTCCTTTTTTGTCCCCCTATCTTATCCAGATCATTATGTATATGCACAAACGCCAAAATCAATACTGAGCCACCCCATTTGTTCCCCCAAGACCAAACGATGATGCAACCCCTACATAAGAGATACATACAACTCCAAACCACACCAGGGACATTACACCATACCTCATAGCCATTTCCAACTCAGTCAGCGAACCAAGTGCCACCCTATCGACGCCTACTTCTTCCCATGCGGTATTTTCCGCGCAGGTTGTCGGTTGGCAGCCTTCTCCTTGGGCATCAAGACTTTGCGCACGGTGAAGCCTTTCTCCTCATCGGGACGTGAGCGAGCACTTTCTCCATGGTAAAATTCGCACGCGAACTTCAAATACTTGTTCCGATGCTGATAGACGGTAATGACATCGCCGGTATACAGTTTGCCGAAATGGAAGCCTTCTCCGCCATTGTCGTTCTCAGGCCCACGCCGCAGCTCAGTTCCATTGACCCAGATACACTTTCGGGTTTTGGTCGAGAGAATAGCCATCACGCCGGGGACCGTCATCCAATCGTGTCCAGCGGCAATCTTGGTTTCGATGGCTGGTGCCCAGAAGGTAACTTCCAATGCATACGCAGGTATCCGTGTATCCATTGGCTCGGGATAGCATACGGTTGCTTGGGGGCCGCGACCCCAGGATGTCATCCGAGCTTCCAGCGGAATAGTGAGCTCAAAGATGGACCCGGGGAGAGTGGTCAGCTTTCCAAGGAGGGGGCGTGATTTGCTAAACTGCGTCACGGTATTGATAATTGGGCCTGGAGTCAGATCGGACGCAGGCTGTAGGGAAGGCTCATTGTCTTCCCTCTTCGGCAAGTCAGGAAGTCGCTGTCCGGTTTTGGCATCGATAGTATTCGCCAACTCAATGTCGAACACCTCTTCAGGAGCAGCGTCGGGCTCAGCATGCCCATCGTTGGTCTTTCCCGCTGTCGTTTCGGGACTAGAACGCTCACTGGCAGTATCAGGTATGGGGAGTTCAATCCGCCGGTTGAATTTCGAAGCCTTCGGGGTTTCATCATCGATAGTAGTCTGCGGGGGCGCCTCTGGGGCCTTGTCCTTCGGGACTTCTGCGGCCACGCTAGTTTGCGGCCCCGGCACCTCGGCGTGACGGGGAATGTTGTTCAAGCCAGGGTGCGACGAGTTCATGTTCAGCTGCCCAACAAGGTTCTCAGCTCCCATTAAGCTAGGTGCAGACCCCGCGACGGGGTTTTCCGGCAGGGAGAGGATGGAGTTCAGGCTGTTGCCGTCGCTGATAATCGACTCACCAGTGGAAGAAACGAAGTCATGGAGGCCAAAGTCGTCACCCTCAAATGCATCAACCTTGTCGCCCAACGCGTGAGAACTGCGAAGTATCGATGGCGTAATCTCACCGAAAAGTCGTTTTGGAGTTGACTGGGAAACTGGTTGAAGAGCCGAGAAACTGTCGAAACTGGGCAGCGATGGATAGCGGATTTCCTCCGGCGGATATTCAAGCTTGATTTTCTTGGCCTGGGCCAATTCGTCCTCCTCCTCAGCAGCGACTTCTGCTGCCGGCTTATCATTCAAAGACAGCTGAGATGCGTCTATTTCGTCCTCGAGATCCTCGCCTATGTCAGAAAGCTCATCCGGGACACCCAGAAACAAGTCCTCGTCATCATAATCATCAATGTCCGCAACTCCTGCAATCCACGGGTGCCTGAAACATTCTCGTTCATTCGGGCGAGACTGGGGGTCACGATTTAAAAGTCGAGCGACAAAATCTATTCCATCCTCTGAGACGGCTGCCTTGCGGAGTTCACTATAATCGGCATCCTCAGTCATGATGATTCGCAGCATCTGAGCACCACGATCATCTCCTCGAGGAGCGAAAGGGGGGACACCCGAAAGAAGATGGAAGAGAACGGCTCCAAGCGACCACATGTCAACGGATTGATCGTAAGGGGATGTTTTTGGAGGCCTGATGGTCAGTATAGTTTCGGCAGGGCATATGTTATCAGGAACTTACGGATCACCCAGCCTGCGCCGTTTCCGAACCTCACCACGTCGGTAAGTGTCATACTCGGGGTAGACTTCCGGGGCGCAGTACAGCAATGTTCCACAGAAGGTCCTCAAAAAGGTCTCTTCCTGAACTACTTTTGAAAGACCAAAGTCTGACAATTTCACTCGGAGGGGATCAAGAGACGAAATCAAGATATTGTCTGGCTTGATATCTCGATGCGTGATCTTCCGTTTGTGTAGATAGTGGAGTGCATGCAAAATCTGTCGCGCCATGGTCCTAACCTGGGCCTCTGCGATCCTGCCATGCGACTGCAAGTAAGTGGACAGCTCTCCACCGGGAACATACTCCATGATGATGTATATCCATCTGTCGTGCTCGTGATGGTCGACGTATTGAACAATATTGGGCTTAAAGGCATTGTTATAAGTAGGAGCGTCAGGGATTTCATTTGAGGTTACTCACATGTTTCAGATCTTTCATGATCTGCATTTCATTGTCAACTTTCTTGTCGAGTATGCCATTTTTCATCCAGCGGCGCTTGTCGAGTTCTTTGGCTGCGTATACAGAACCATGCTGCTTTGTGGCGAGTTTGTAGACCGTTGCAAAGGCTCCCTTGCCTATTTGCCCCGTCACGTTGTAAATTGAACCTCCAGACCAGTGCATGCCGTACGTATTAGGTGAAGCGATCTGCAGAGCGGGCGCGGGAGTAGTACGAGCTCTGGGTTGCGCTGCACCTGCTCTTTGCGTCTCGATCTTTTCGAAGTAGCGAAGCATATTTTCAGTGTACTGCATGACAAAACCTTCCCGGGACGGCAGGCGCACAATGAATCTGACTTCCTCCGAAGACTGCCCCTCCCCATTTGGCACCTGAATGACGGAACCATTGACTAGCATGCGGCTCTTCTCACGTTGAATCTTGCGAAGACGGCAATTGTCTACGATCGTTCCATTGGTGGAGGTGTCCTCCAGCATTATGATCCCATCTTGCGTAAGATAGATGCGGAAGTGCGTGTTCGAAATACGTTTCGAGTTAGCATCGGCAATGAGAAGATCGCAGCGAGCCCTGTTCCGTCCGAAGCAAAAGCCCGTGTTTGCGTCATACACATCTGATGACAGTCTAAGAGCGAAGTCCAAAGCTGCGGTATCTGAACATTCATATTCTAGCGCATCCCTTTGTAGGATGTGCTGCGGGGCGTGGCGCGCAGTTGCGGCTACAGCGTCATGGGCTGCAGGTGAATTTGGGTGTAAGATACAAACAATGTCCGTCAGATCATCCTCGTGGAGGGCCGAATTGTTGTAGCCCATGCGGCGAGGGTCCGTGCATGGCTGAGTGGACTCCTGGGTCGCCTCCATCTGCACGGATATTGATGATGACGTCGAGGGCTGACAGGAACAGTGCGACTGCCGGGAAAGGTATGAATATAGTAAAGAAAGACAGAAAAATGCAAAAGCAGACTATTTGACAAGACAAACACTGAAGGGTATATGTGCGGGACTCAAGTAGAGAAATGGGAATAGAACTTTGCGTAGCCAAGGCGATGATCAACAGGACTCCATATCATAGACCTATCGGGGGTATAAGCCTTGCTAGCATTGAAGTTGATTGCTTGTATGCTCGAATAATTCTTGCAGCAATGCAGGAAGGTATGAATGACCTTACCTTGCGAGCAACCAAACAACAGCACCAGCCCGCGCGATGTTCCAACAACTTTAGAGAGCGCACCCCGAGATCACACCCAGCTTATCCAAGGCCTGGTGTATGCGATGATAAACTGGCAAGAAGAGGCCAGTAGATGTACCAAACAAGACTTTATACAGTGTGCCTTCCAGCGATAGGCAGCGAGGTCTCAAAGTATCTCAGTCGTGATGGATAGCTCCAGGCTTGAAAGCCAACCAGATTGGGTCCTAAACTGCTCAGGAATTCGTAGTGTTGGACCATTGAAGCAAGGAGCAAAAAGGGAATCCGTCGAAGGGGTTTTGTGAGGGACACCGGGCGTATTTCTATAGCAGGTTCCTGGTATTAGTCAAGGATGCCCATGTCACAAACAACAGTGCACAGAGAAACGGAAAGTTAGACTCACACAGTTAGCAAAGTCTCCACCAACTATCTACTGCATTGCCAGGCTCAAGAGATGCAATAGAGGGAGCTTGAAAGGTGGAGCCAGGGACGGAGACGAGACAAGAGACTGTTCGACAGGAGTCGTCGTCCGAGAAACATGCAGCAGCAAGGCTGGGGTGATAAACCGCAGCTCTTCAATTTGAAGGTCCAGCAGAGCCCCAGGCACCAACAAGGCAGAACCCCGGATGGCCGCACCTGAGCCAATGAGAGTGCGCCTTGCATAGGCGGGCGGGACACACCGCATCTAACGATTCCGTGGATCCAACGCGTGACACTCGACTTTAGATCGATTTACTTCCTAGTGATTCAGGTCGGTTCTATGCTATATCCTAAATCTACTAGCGCTATTGTTCAACGACTGTCTTATGATTTACTTTAGTCAGAATTACGCTCAAACGTTCTTGCTCAAAGCTGCCTCAAACACCTGCTCGAGTCGAGAGAGGGACTCTTCCGATACCTCTGCAGTCATGTTAGATCAATATGAGAATATAGTTCACATGGCAAAGGGATACTCACGGTAGTGGACGACGATACGACTACCTCCAAGCTTCAAACCCTTTTCACGTCCAATCTCAGCCAGGTCATCAGGCCCCAATCCCGACCCCTCAACGTCCAACCACACCATGTTGGTCTCTACGGGGTGGGATAGCTTGCCTCCACGGCTAGTCCACATATCGGCAACCTTCTTTGCTCTTTTATGAGACCCTAGAAGCTTCCCTTGCTGTCCGTTGGGGTCGGGTCCAAATGTCTCCTCAACTGCGACGCGGGCTGCTGCAGAGATGACTCCAGCTTGACGGACACCACCACCAATGGACTTGCGAAACCATCGAGCTTTCTTGATGAACTCGTTCGAGCCAACGATAATACTTCCAATGGGAGCACCGAGGCCCTTCGAGAAACATAGGCTCACGCTGTCGAATAAAGTAGCGTAGTCAGGCAAACTACCAGCACCGGACACCACTGCTTCCCAAAGTCTCGCACCATCCAGATGGACCTTGATATTATTTTGATGAGCCCATTCAGTGATGCGACGAGCCTCAGAAAGTGGCATAACCAGTCCATCCAACGTGTTCTCAAGACTGATGAGCTTCGTAGGACAGTAGTGGATGTTATCGCTGAGTACCGCATGTTTCTTGATATCCTCCAGAGTAAGGTGGACACCGTTCTTCGGGATAATGGGCATGACCGTGGCGCCCGTAAGGGAGCTTACTCCACCAGCCTCGTAGCAGATGATATGGGACCGGTGATCGCACAGGACAGAATACGGAGGTTCCTTCAGGTGAGTGCGGATGGCAACCTGGTTGCCCATCGTGCCGGACATGACCAAGAGAGCGCTCTCATGTTGAGTACGCTCTGCCACATAAGCTTCAAGATCATTTGTCACTGGGTCTTCACCGAAGACATCGTCAAGAAGTGTGGTCTGGCAGATAGCCTCGAGCATTGCCGGAGTTGGCTTGGTCATTGTATCACCTTACGACACATGATTCTCAGCAAAAGCGCCCATCACATCGGCAGCATTCTTCTGCTATGAGTCATACTCACTTCTCAGGTCAAACTCAGCTGCACCGGCACCCTGCCACGTGCTGGGTCTGCTCCCATTGGAAGCTGTTGATACGCTAGCCATGGCGATCCTGGAACGGTATGCGAATCTTGGAATTGGGAGGGATGGCCTTAGAGGAAACAAGGATCGAAGAGAATAGCGGACCAAGGATCCCATCGAGCCTCAAACTGAAATGATAACAGGGCCAAGGCAAGAAGCAAGTAGGCGGCGGCAACGAATTGGCTGTTATTCTAACGGGCATGCGGGGGACATTCCGAGGGGAAGCAAAAAGTGACTAATCACCGATAGGAACAATGGAGGAGATTCTCCGGAATGATGTGATTCGACAATGAGATGGACCCCGGCGGTGCATGGTTTATACTGGAATCGGCCTAGTTCCGTTTTCACGATTAATTATTGGAGTATATGCGCGTTTCTAGTAGACTTATCACGTCTTGAGCATCACTACGGAGTACAGCTTGATGGATGCGGCTGCGACTATAAACTTAGATGTTAACTAACATGTTGCTCAGCAATTTGCATCATCCTCCAGTTTTGATATTCCTGACGTCTCCGCAAGCAGACCTTACAGTTCCATTCACCCATTTGCAAACTTCAGCAAAGCTTCACGAAGCCATGTTCCACTCCAACATCTTCTGTAGGCGAAGGATCTTAGAGAGACTTCGATCCATCCACTTAATTCGGGGTGCGACGACATACTACGCGCCTATTGTAAAAGAATCATATGAACTATGACAAGGCTAACCAAAAACCCCGCATGTCAAGACTACTTCTAGTTTGTTTTCAGCAGGTGAAAATTTTTATAGTTCATACTCTCCTGGAAATTTAACTTCTCCGATGGGGGATGTCCGAGTAGATTTGTGATCTGACCAAGGCGGGGTCAGAAATAACGAGCAGGAGAGGGATAGAAACAAGGAATCGTAAGAGTCAGGATGTGACAGGTGTGCTGGTAGATATCTGGCAGCCTGCATGTAGTAGTTAGTTTAGCACTAAGAAATAAACAGGCGTTTTAGTACAGAAGTTGATTGGAAGCCTTGTTTAAAGTCTCACCTGCATATCTGGCTGTAACGGGAGAAAAGGCCAGTGCTCTCCTCCATACACTAAGTCATTAATGCAAAAGGCCATGTATTGAGGTGAACCTATTGCATGATCGAGTTGTCAGTCGTTGGAGTCTCTGTACATATGATATAATTGTATATTTGGTAGCAATGTCAAGAGTTTAGACATTGAAGTATTTGAAGCTATAGTTGGCTGCTCAGGAGAAGCCATCTCGGTAAGTAACAATACGTAAAAGATACGCGGAGGGGAGCGGAAGCCGGGCCCAGCCACTGAAGGAGAAACACGGAGGGCCGGGTATGACGACAGTGAAACGCGTGCGGCCCTTATCGATAGCCTAATCGGGAATGGTCGACCCGCCAACGTGTCTCCATTGACGGCTGAGTCAGCAGTCGAGATCCCTCTGGACTTTTGCGGGCAGGTTTGCGCCCTGACTCTGGTTCATCTCGCAACTTCACGCGGGCTCACGGCCATACGCTCTTTCAAGGCCTGGGTTCCAACGTGCTTCCCCCTCATGTCCACCGTTATGGATCTTTCTCGGCTTACCCGCCCGGCAATCCTCTGCCAGTGCTCGCGATGCTCGAGTTCGCTGGCTGCGCTCGAGAACGAGTGGGCTAAACTCTCGAATTCTTACTCCATAGTGGCTGGGTGGCTGAGCGTCGAGCTGCATCGCATCTCCATCTCCTCGGAGAAGAAGCAAATTCCACAATCATCAGAGCTTAGCACCCTACGAGGCCGGATCCTCCAGGAAATATCCTGTAAGCTCTGTCAACAGAAGCTGGGCGTGCTATGTTCTCTAGACAATGGGTAAGTGGGCATCATTCTTGTTCAACGCTTCTCAGCTAACACAGAAATAGCCCGAATATCTTCTGGAAGTTATCGAAGGTGTCGTTTCGAGAAATTGTAACCATGCGCACAGTGGAGCCCGTTTTCAAGGATGGATCGCTCGAACGCATTCTATGTCCGACTCCCCCCTCCCGACAAGACCGAACCCCAGTCCATGCCGGGGCCCTGGTACCCACTACCTCGACGGAGCTAGACCCCTACAACTTGTCTATGGAACAACAGATCCAGCACCAAGGGCTGAGCCTCGATCACATCACAAGTTCCGTCAGCAACCTTCACGATACCATGTCCGAGTTGAAGAACGCATTCACCGCTTTGCGCATCGAATTGAACGGCCCAGGTCGGTTCACATCCGATATGGGCACCCCCGCTAGCAAGGACATGATGATCGCAACGGTATTGAAGGAACTCAGATCCAAAGCCGATGAGATCGAAAGACTGAAGCTCGAAAACGAAGCACTCAAGCTGAAGAACCGTTACGCGGAAGAGCAAACCCTCAAACAAGCACAACCGCCACCGCCACCACCCTTATATGCCGACACAACAATACTCGCAGAAGTAAGAAGCCCAGGCTTACTACAAGGAAGTCGGAAGCGGCCCTGGCCAGACTCATTTCCGAGCGGACGCACCCAACCGATAGGAGATTCGTTCGACGAAGACTCCTCGGACAGCATCGCAGACTTCTCCTTAGAGGACGCAAGTCTACCCCCAGTCAAAATCCCACTGAAGGACTCCACATCCATGTCCACAACAGACAAGACAACCCACGAACCCACACCATCAGGCTCTCCCAAACTGCACATCGAATCAAACTCGCAACGACAACAACAACAGCAGCAACAAACCCCTAACCATGATAACGACCTTAACAACCACCATGACAACAACTCCGCCACATCCCACCGGGAAGCCATAGTAAAACGTCCGCGCCTATCTCAATCAACAGACAAACCCACAACCAGTGGACGAAGACCCGGCCGACCCCCGCGCAAATCATTTAGCCAAACCGCCAAACCCGACATCACCACCACCACTACCACCACCACCACCACCAACAATCAAAGCCCCAAATCTACCCCACTGACCGAGCAAAACGGCAACGCGCACAAAGATTCCCAGTTCGACGAATCCAGTCCCAGCGACACCCGCACCACAAAGGAGAACCGACCCGCTCATTCGCGAAGCCTGCGCAGCAGATCTCGGCCCCCGTCACGGCGCCAATCCGCAGCAGCCAACGCCGACTCACGTTCATTGGAGCCGGAGCAAACTGCACAGAATGGGTATCAGAATGGGGACGACGTACCAGACCACACTGAACAGCGACAACAACAGCAACAGCCAATACCCCCCTTACACACGGGCAAAGAAAACTCGCATGGCGGCGCAAACGGCGTGCACAAGCCCGATTCACGAGAGAAGCGCAAAGCACAGTCCGCAGCGCGAGACATCATGGTACGATTAGCTATGCAGCGTGAAGAAGCAATGGAAACTGAGGATTCGCGATGAGAGCGAGTGATGTGGGATTATTGAAACAAAAAACAAAAAGTCTTCTGTTTTGATACACAAAAGCAAGCAAGCTAGACTGACCCGCTCACTTTAATTTCCCTTTTCTTCCTTCTTTCTATCAATTGTATTATCTATACTCTATCTTTGGGTGATGTGACATCCCTTCTTTTTCTTCTCTCATGTGTTTGTACAAAAAGTGGCACCCTTTTCTCTTTCTTTCTTCTTCTACACAAATATCTATAGGATCACCCCGCCACCTTACTATTTACTAGCTCTTCCATGGCGCCCCCTTTTCGACTCATTTCCCCACTAGGCCGAAATTGCCAGTCTAGCTTTTCTGCACAATGATATCCCCACATTGGGTGTGATCCAGCCCAATTCTTATCCAATCAATCCAAAAATGTCCGATTTGATATGGCTCCAGCATATGTCATGCCTATTTCCTCCGTGATAGAACGTAGATACTAGGCAGTTGAGCAGTAGGCGAGTAGTTTTCGATCAGAAGCACGGCTCGAATACCCATAATCTAGAGTTCAAAGCAGGGGGAATTTCCGTAAGAAGCCCCGAAAGGCATTCGTGACAAGCGAGCCAAACCACCAGGACCTGTATCTTGAACCCGGTCTGCTGCCTGGTCAAAAACACAGTCCCGTACGGAAGAGGAAGAAATAATGGATGAAAGAAAAAAGAAGAAAAGAGGTAAGATGTTAATTACTTCACACACATAAACCCGCAGCCTTCTCTGGCTCGTTCACAGGCCTTCTTGAGCGCCTGCTCCTCAGTATCGGTCCATTTAACGGTCAATTCATCCCACGGTTTGCGGGAGTTGAATTCTTCGCGGAAGGTCTTGTGCATGGCTTGGAGGCGGCTGACTTCGCGAGGGTCTCCGGTGCCGGAGTAGACGAGGAATAACGTGCAAGGGGGGAGGGATTGGTAGATTTGGTGGATGTTGGAGACAGTGCGGGAGACGGTGTCGGCGAGGTTCCGAGTGGCTTCTTTCGTGGGGGAGACGGCGGCGGATGTCGGAGTCGTTTCTTCAGGAGGGGGAACGAGCGTCGTCGACTCGTTCGCGTTGTTGGGGTCGGGCATCCGATTGCACCAGCCGCGATAAACTTCGAGTTCGCGCAATCTGGCCCAAGTGAAGTCAACACCGCCTCCGGGAATGGAGGGGTTGCTGTCGTCGCCGTTGACTACCTTGGAAATGCCATTTACAACGTCGGTGTCGTTGCTGCATCCTATCGATGTAGTCGCCTGCGACCCGAAGCCGCGCTCCGGGTTGCCCCAGTCGACAACAGCTCCGGTGCGGCCTTCGTTGGTGGACGATTTCCCGGAACGCATGGAGCGTGCCAGGCGCTTGAAGATACTCTCGTTCGATGCCTCACTAGTGCCCCAGCGCTCACCCTTTTCGCACTTCTGCTTCACGAGTTCGAGAACAGCGCGCGCATCTTCGATCGAGTCGTGGCCTGTCTGGCCCTTCTGGATTTCTTTTCCGAGATACTTCTGGGTGAGCCATCTCAAACTGCACTTGAGTGGCGGTCCGCGAGGATGGGGGTAGATAAAGGTGGTGTCGACAATAAATGGGTGAGTGAGTTTCAGGGCGTTAAAATCGGAATTCAAGGAGTGGCCGACAATGATGGTACGAGGAGTAAGGAGAGAGAGAAGCTTCTGCTGGATGTCGGCAAGAGTGGTAGTGACGGGATCGAGCAACTCTTTCGTGATACCGGAGAAACGAGTCAAATAATCGATGATAGGTCGCTGGGGTTTCACCAGCTCATCTAGTACAACTTCACCATCCCACCGGACCATGCTGATGCGCGTGAGCTCGGATTGGCCCCCTTCGGTGATACACATCTCGCAATCCAACGCTAGCACATCCCGACCTGCGGTCATGCTGCCTTGCTGGATTTCAGAGTCTGGTACCTGTCCAGCCTCCAAGCTCTCGACGTGAGTATCTACCCACCCATCTTCCTTGGAATGTCCGGCCCGCTTGCGATTCTCCAACAAAGTCGACTTTTCTTGTTCTGTGGCGAGCAGAGCCGGATGAAGCACATAGTCGTTCTCCCGGAGATCTTCCAGAGAGCTAATGAAAGTGGTGATCGGTGTACGCTGGAAGGCGATACTCTTATCCACCTTGGGAGGTTTTACTCCCTTCGTATTACTATCCTTGCCCTTCGGTAGAGCAGATAGAAGTATGGCTTGAAGTGGAGAGTGGATCTTGTTGTACTTGGAATCACCGGGGGCTTTTACGGGCCAGGCGTGAGGGAACATATCCGCTAGCGGCTGTAGGGGTGCCGGAAGGTCACCGCGCGAAAGAGGGCGAGGATTGAACCGATGTGACCGGTCCTCCAGCGGCAGACCTTGCTTCCAGCGCGCAAAGTCCTCCGCTTTTGTATCCACATCCATCGCCTTGTCCGTACCGGCAGGTTCTTCTGTGTCCTTTTCACTGACGGAGTACGCATCCAGAGGAAGTGATCCGTCAAACATGCCCAGTTCCAGACCGGGCACCATCAGCACGACAATCTTCCTAACATGACCGGAGTGCTTGACTGAGATCCACTGCGGCGCGACGCCATCAGCAAAGCAGTAGAGTAGCAGACTCTGGAGATCAGCAATTCGGATGGATGACTGCAATTTGCCTTCGACATAGGTGAGGACTGGGTATTTTGTCTTCTCCCCATCCACGCGCTTCTTCTTCGAAGCTCTTTCCTTGGGCATATCATCCTGCGCCTTCCCAGGTTCTTCCGAGTCGATACCGTTCTGAGACTTTGTCCTGCCCGAGTTCAGGAGCGAGAGTGTCTGAGCAACACCAAAGCTATTCGCATCTGAGCTCTTCTTTACCGGATCTTCGTCATCTGAGCACCCAGCCTCTGTGCGCTTGCGCTTGTTTCCTCCCATGATGTTAGGGTGACGACCGGGGCGGCAAAGAACAAATCAAGACAAAATCGGGGGCTCGGAAGGCCTGCTAGCTGCAGAGGAATCGACCAGAATCACCCAATGTGCTTCCGATATCGCAATGCCAACTCAGACAGTCACAAGCAGGTCTAGGCAAGGATGGGGAATTGGCGTCCAGAAGATCGACAAGAGGTCGCGCGACGCAGAATCCCGCCGACTTTTGAGGCACGTGATGATAATCTATCTGGTTACGATACGATACGGATAGCATGCAGGGCTGGCCGGCCTATCAGCGGAGCAGCCTGTTCCTGCGTTCAGAAGCTGCATGAACAATCACCACCCAATATTGAGTCTACATAGTGGAGTAAAGCACATATAGAGTCAACTGCATTAGCTCGAGAGTGACTGCTCCATAGCGCCCATTGCAGCATCTTGTTGCTGACGCAGCCTCGGAGCCACCCAGGCTCCGTCTTACGCCGAAGATCGCAGAAGCAGAAAGCGGGTATGGACCGTGTATTACAAACGGCCCCGATGGTTCGATCTGATAAGCGGCCAAAAATTCGCCATCGGCCAGCCATCCTCCTCTGCTCCTCTCCATCTTCCACTCCATCTCGGCCACACCGTGGGGCACTTTGTGACTCTTTCCCCTCTACCTCTCGTCTTCTTCCTCCCTTACCCTCCTCCGCTCCCCAAGTTTATCTGCCTTCCATCCAACTCCACTCATCCTTTTTCAAATCTTCTCTCTCCCATCGTCACATCGGACGCCAAGTTTTCCCCGCCGAAACCCCACCTCAGTAACCCAACCGAACTATCACCATGTCCTCCCTCGTCGAAGTCGCCTCTGAGGCCGAATTCCCTAACATCATCTCCTCCATCCCCCCGTCATGCCTGCAGGTTCTCTACTTTCACGCTCCTTGGGCTGCTCCTTGCGCCCAAATGCGCGCCGTCCTCTCCGCCCTCGCCTCTCAGTACCCCGCGACCAACCCTCCCTCCATCGCCTTCCTCAGCGTTAACGCCGAGGAGCTCCCTGATATCTCGGAAGAGTACAATGTCACCGCTGTTCCCTTCGTAGTCCTCGTCCGGGACCACAATATTCTCGAAACCATTAGCGGCAGTGAAGCAATCCAAGTGCGCGATGCCGTTGAGCGCCACGCCGGTGCCGGTGCCGCCGCCTCTGCAGACGGTGCTTCCAAGACCGTCATCCCCCCACCATTGACAGCCGTGCCTCGAGAGAACGTCCCCGCCACCGCTACACAGGCGCCCGCCACGAACGGCAACGCAGCCGCCCCCGCATTGACCCCCGAACAGTCGAAGGAGGCGCTGTTTGCGCGTCTCGCGGAGCTAGTGAAGGCTGCGCCGGTCATGCTGTTCATGAAGGGATCTCCCAGTGCGCCTCAGTGTGGCTTCAGTCGGCAGATTGTGGGTATTCTGCGTGAGCGGAGCGTGAAGTATGGATTCTTCAACATCTTGGCCGATGAGGATGTGAGACAGGGCCTGAAGGAGTTTGCGGATTGGCCTACCTTCCCGCAGTTGTGGGTGGAGGGTGAGTTGGTTGGTGGATTGGATATTGTGAGCCCCCTTCCTCCCCTCACTTTTATGACTTGTATATGCAATACTAACACGATATCTTTGTACAGGTCAAGGAGGAACTCGAGAACGATCCCGATTTCCTGGACCGCTTCTCCGTCAACAAGCCCGCTGCTTAAGCTATAGAACTATAAGTCGAATAATACCACGGCTTTTTCCGTCTTGGATAGCTCTCCCCCTCCCCTTTTCAACATTTCCTATTCACATTTACCTTTTTTTCAAACCCTCGATTGTTAGAGCTTGAGATCTAGCGGCGTCTTGCTCCTCTTCCCCCTGTGTCCATTATTGACAGGCTGAATTACATAGTACTTGTCTGGATGATATCTATACCCATGAGTGAGTGTCATGGGGAATTCTTGTCGTCGTTTATATAAAAACACTAGTACCAAATGAAAAAGACCACTTATGATTATTATACAAATGACCCAGTCAGCCCCGCTTAGTATAAGTAGTTATGTATAGTATTCATGTATCAGACCCTCAGGTCACAGCTGTATGCACATATGATACATCTTCCTCTTCGTATATAATAGCAAGTGGATATCTGCTTCCCCCCTACACCCTCTCACACTCTATACCCCCCAAACGCAACCACTAGTTTAAGAATCAAGGCAATTCATCCGGCTTACCTACCCCCTTCAACAACTTAACATGCTTACTATTCAGCCCCTTACGCTTCAACCTCCACAGATTCGGATACTTATTCGACGAAGTCTTAAACTCGGACAACATCGCATCCTCATCGACATACGCACCAGCGAGCCACCTCTCACCGGTACCAGTCTTGAACCCACGACGCGCATGCGCGACACGACGATTCTCAAAAACGACACATTCACCGGGGTTCAGCTTCAGCTCGAACATATACCGTTCGTCCTCAAGCAGAGAGGCGAACTTGGCAAGTGCCTCATTCTTCTCGCGGAACTTGCGGGGCACAGGAGACCGGACCTTCCTGGGGGCCTGGAAAGGCGGGGAGTAATTAACGTGGGCGAGACGGGATTTGGAGAAGTTGGTTCCTTCGCGGACGCTGTCATCGAAGGTCTGTGTTTCAAAGACGGGCCAAGTGTTCGTGTAGAAGTGGTCCGGGTGGTTGTAGTGGTAGGGGATGTGGTGGTGAAGGAGGCGGGAGTAGTTTGTGTGGTCGTCTTGTTTCATGTCGTATGCGACGCGGAAGGTGTCGACGAAGAGGGATTCGCCGCCCTCGCAGGAGTTCTTGAGGCAGTGGAGGAGTTGGTAGCCGGGCGGGTCGTTCATGTACATCAGGTCCATGTGGAAGCCGAGGAACTGGTCTGTGTAGGCGACGTTGGTGGCTTGGGGGACGCTGCGCACGTCCCAGGTGCGGCCGTAGAAGGTATCGCGGATGGGACCCATGCGGGTGGCGATCTTTTCGACCATTTCGCGTGAGTCTGGGATGTCTTTGATGAAGATGAGGCCGAGTTCGGCCAGGGTGCGCATGGACCAGGCGAAGGAGATGTCGTTGTTGATGAATTGGTCGAAGGTGATCCAGTGCTGCCAGTGTTGCATGCGGCTGTTGTCCCAGTAGGCTCGCCAGCGGTTTTTGCCCGCGGATTCCATTTCCACGGGGGTGAGGATGGGGTGTCGGAGCTGGTGGAGGTCGTAGGTGGACTCGTGTGTTGATTCGGCGGGTGCGCCGCGGAGGTCGTTCTTCCATGTTACGTGCAGCTTTCCATGCTCGATGGTTGGGTTCTCGGAGATAATGTCGGAGGATATGTCGCTCGTGCGGAAGTTGCGTTGCTTGGAGTGAGGGTCCACGCAGGTAGAGCATTTGCAGGAGTCGCGAAGGATGATGTCTAGGATCTCGATGGGCTTTTTGCGGCCTTCTTGGATGATTAGACCCCCGTCTTTGCGTGTGATTGTGTATTTGTTATCCTGGTATTCTACTGTCCCGGCGCTTGACTCCGGAGTCTTTCCCTCGTGCTGTTCACCTGCTTCCAAAGTTGAGGATTGGTTTGACGGCGATGATACAGGCTCATTGCTTCCACTTGCTACTTCATGTGATACACTGGGTTCGGCGGTCGCATTGCTGGCTGCGGAGGCAATACTGCTAACTGTGGGAGCAGCGTCACTTGATGTGGGAGCCACATTGTTGGCGGGAGGGGTAGCATTAGCTGCTGAGCGACGAACAACAGAGGATGAATAGACACGACGGCTGAGAACGGAGGCCGGAGGGAATGAGGCCCGAGGAAGACGAAGGGCGGTTCGCAACAGACGAGACATGGCGGATACTAGCAGCGAGGAGACCTGCTATGGAGAGTCTGAAGGTGCCCGCATCCAAGGACTTCAGGTTTGGGGGGTGAAGGAGAGCTGGGGAAAGAAGTGGGACGCCAGGAGATCCCCCAGATAATAACTTATGGTCTGATGCGACTTTGTTTGTACCGAGGTTTTTCGGATGGCACCTGATTGGGCACTGACTCGCCGCCGCTTTAAAGTACGAGCTAGGCAGTAAGGCAGTCAGGCAGAGACACCAGGCATCACCATCCACCAGGGGATTTGCTTGCCATCCCTTGGGTTGCTTGTTCCAGACGGAGCATAATCGCCCGTCACCAAGTCGATAAAAAGTAGTAATCTTGTAGAAGAACCCTCATTTCTCCGGGTGAAAAGAGAATCAACAAACTATACCCGGAAGTAAATCCGGCAATTTGAAGTCTCCGAGACTCCGTCCGCAGGAAAAGAAAAAGAAAACCAGCCAACAAACGGACACACGTCATACCTCTAGACCGTTAGCATCATTTTTACCCTTTTTTTCTTTGCCCGTCGCCTTTCGACAAGGCGTCCAGCGAAACAACCACCTACACACCACCACCACAAGGAAATTCACATCAATGACAACCTTTATATAACGTGCTATCATCCGCGACCATCAATCCCACCTCAAATACCTACATCTCTATCGCATTTACCATCAACCGTCACATGCATGTCGGCCGGGGGAGAACACCTCAAGGATGAGGTACATAACCACCCCGAATCCCCATGCACCATCTATCCCCTCAACAATCACACACACCCATACACTCCATCCCCTAGCACCATCCATCAACCCTCCCTCCCAATGCGCAAGCTAACCAATCCTTTCCAATCACCCAGGGCACACGACGACAAGTCGTCCTAGCAGGCGGCATAGCCGGCCTCGTATCACGGTACGCCCATCCCCCATCAATCCACAACCACCTAACCCTCACACCCAATTTACTCCAGATTCTGCGTCGCCCCCCTAGACGTAGTCAAAATCCGGCTCCAGCTCCAAATCCACTCGCTCTCCGACCCTCCCTCGCACCACAATGTAACCGGCCCAATCTACAAGGGGACGCTCTCCACCATGCGCGAAATCATCCGTCAAGAGGGTATAACAGGCCTCTGGAAAGGCAACATCCCCGCGGAACTAATGTACGTCTGCTACGGGGTGATCCAATTCAGCGCATACCGCACAACAACGCAAGCGCTAGCCCAACTCGATGCTTATCGACTGCCCCCCTCCGTCGAATCGTTCGTCGCGGGCGCCACCGCGGGCGGTCTCGCCACGGCATCTACATACCCGCTGGATCTGCTGAGGACGCGGTTCGCCGCGCAGGGCACGGAGCGGGTGTACACGTCGCTGATGTCGTCGGTGCGGGATATCGCGCGGAATGAAGGGTACGCGGGGTTCTTTCGCGGGTGTAGTGCGGCTGTGGGGCAGATTGTGCCATATATGGGGCTGTTCTTTGCGACGTATGAGGCGTTGAGGCCGCCGTTGGCGCAGTATCAGGATTTGCCGTTTGGGTCGGGGGATGCGGCGGCGGGTGTGATTGCCAGTGTGTCGTCGAAGACGGTGATGTTTCCGTTGGATTTGATACGGAAGAGGTTGCAGGTGCAGGGACCGACGAGGCAGTTATATATTCATCGCAATATTCCTGAGTATCAGGGCGTGTTTAATACGATGAGGTTGATTCTGCGGACACAGGGTATCCGCGGACTTTATCGGGGGTTGACGGTCAGCCTGTTCAAGGCTGCCCCTGCCAGTGCGGTGACGATGTGGACCTATGAGACTTCTTTGCGACTTCTCCAGGATATGGAGGTGGCTACGAGCAAGGATGAGTGAGCTTACAGGGTCCCGCGCACTCGCAACACCTGATTGTGTATATTATCTGATAGAATACTAGACTTTTCTCTTTTCCACGTGGAATACACTTGCGTCCTTTCGAAAGACCGATGAATTCGTGTGCTCATATTCCTCCCGCAGCGCATGTATCAGTTCATTATTAGGTAAGAGCAGGGGAATCAATCAACGCTAGGGACGCATAAACAGAATGAAGGGGGTTGTCGCAAGCATTATGGACGGGGCAGACACAATTTGACCGGCAAAGTGAGACAGACACACCAAGAAAAAGCGACCAAAGCAGCACAAGCCAACAGGATGTGAAAGGTATCAGTACTCACCCTCCTCACCCTCCGGCTCCAGACTGTCGTTGGCAACTTCTTCATAGTCCTTCTCCAGCGCAGCCAGGTCCTCGCGAGCTTCTGAGAACTCGCCTTCTTCCATACCCTCACCCACGTACCAGTGAACGAAGGCGCGCTTCGAGTACATGAGGTCGAATTTGTGGTCAAGACGACCCCACGCCTCAGAAATGGAAGTTGTGTTGGAGAGCATGCTGACGGAGCGGTCGACGGGAGCGAGCTCAGTGTCGGGAACGCGAACGGGCTTCTGGTAGTTGATACCCAACTTGAAGCCGGTAGGGCACCATTCCACAAGATTGAACGAGGCCTTGGCCTTGAGGGAGGCGATGGCCTGGGTGCAGTCACGGGGTACAACGTCACCGCGGTACAGCAGAGCCACTGCCATATACTTGCCCTTGCGAGGATCACACACCACCATCTGATTATTCGGCTCAAAGCCTGCAGCCACTGTTAGCAATCCACCCATGCCAATGCCTCGACCAAAAGCCCCGAAGAGAAGTACATACACTGGAAGGTCAGATCCTGCACCTTGAAGCTCTCGTGGGAGCTGCGGCTGCTCGAGACCACGGGTGCATACGAAATCAGCGGATAGTGGATACGAGGGAATGGCACCAAGTTAGTCTGGAACTCAGTCAAGTCGACATTGAGGGCACCATCGAATCGGAGACTTGAGGTGATGGAGCTGACAACCTGTGCGATTAGACGGTTGAGGTGCTCATAGCCGGGACGTGGGATGTCCAAGTTGCGACGGCAGATGTCGTAAACCGCCTCGTTATCCACCAAGAAGGTGCAGTCAGCATTCTCGATAGTGCTGTGGGTGGAGAGAACAGCGTTATATGGCTCAACGACGGCGGTCGACACACGAGGGGAAGGGTACACCGCAAACTCGAGCTTCGACTTCTTTCCATAATCGGTGGAAAGACGCTCAAGCAGCAGGGCACCAAAACCGGAGCCGGTACCACCGCCGAAGGAGTGGAAGACCAAGAATCCCTGCAGAGAGTTGCAGTTATCTAGTGTGTGTAAGCCTAGTCTCGGCAGAGTCAGGTTTCAGAGAAATAGTGGTAAACCTACCGGAGACGCGGCGAATGCGGTCGGCAACTGATTCAACGAGCTCCTTTCCGATGGTGTAATGTCCGCGGGCATCTGACGAGCATTAGCTTACATGTTGAAACCTGACCAGAAGAGACGTACAGTTATTGGCGGCGTCTTCCTTTCCGCTGATCAACATCTCGGGGTGGAAGAGCTGACGGTACTGGCCGGTGCGGATCTCATCGACAGGCTGCATCCATCAGTTTAGCATATACATTATATGAAACCATCCATCTGAAAGGTCGTACCGAGGGATCAAGATCCACGAAAATAGAACGAGGGACATATTTGCCGCTGTGTGTCTCTGTGAAAAAGGTTTCGAACGAACCACCCGAATTGATTGCGTCTTCAGCCTCAGGATTGAGCTGGCCATCGGCCTTGAGACCGTGTTCAAGGAGGTACCTGCCGTGATGGTCACAGTTCAGCATGGGGTCAACGACATCTAGATTGGGGTACCATAAAAAGCGGTGAAGACATACAGCTCCCAAGCACTGTTACCAAGCTGGATACCAGCCTGGCCGATGTGGATGTGGCAGACCTGATGGAAAGCAATAGTTAGAATAGAGCAGTCTTGAGCTTCGATTGGGCTGTTGAACGAGTGTCGGCGCGTGTGGTTGTGAAATTGGATGTTTATGGATAAGGGGAGGGGGTGACGGTGCGGGGGTCCAAAGGTAAATAGAACGGGGGGTATACCTCGCCTCGCATGTTGGAGAATGGGTCCGGTTATCGTTGTAAACAGACGCAAGGGATTCGCTCAGCGGTGTCAAGGTGATGAACTGGGATGACAAGCAGTAGACTTGCAACCCCAGAGGATGATGAAAGAAGAAGAGGGGAAAGCGATGGAGGATGAGGGAGTTTCTTGGATCAATGGGATGGGAGGACGGAAGGAGAGAGCATCAGTCGTTCTTGCCGGTCCAATAAACAAGACAAGGCGCCTTGGACCAATCAGCTGCCCTTCTGCTCCCGACCGATCAGTCGATCAGCACGTGAATTTGACTAACTCGGTCTGCTTCCTCCCAGTATAACGGACACCAAAAGTTTTGGCGCCTCTATACTACAGAGGATCAGAGAACTACACTTTATCGACCACGGAGTTCTTTCCCTTCTATTCCGTCCCTTTTCCGTCATTGCGGAATCCTATATCCTCCACGTGCCTCCTGCCGTGGAATGCGGGGAAGCCATCCTTGGGATTCGTGATGTGTGACAGCGGTTTGACCTGCACAGACCAGGGGTAGCTGCGATACCCTTGCTGGCTTTGCAATACTAAGCTGTATGAGGTACACGGTAGATCTACTCAGAGTGGCGAGTAGGATGCTACGGACATCTGATGGAAAGAGATAGTATGAAAATGTTCAGTGTCGATCTTCCCCGCACTCTGCCCCTACACCATATTTACCATGTACCCATCTACGACTACAGATTTTTTAGTTGCACGGGCTAACAAGAGCCGGAGAACAAGCAGGCAGGCACAATGACTAGTCAAGAATGACCCAATCACATAGTTTGGCTCGTATTACTGGCGGTATGGAACACTTGAAGACTGGCAGGTAGATGGAAATCAATGCGGCCAAGTTGTTGTTGGAACGGCAAACCGTTGTCAATGGATGCCATGTTACGATTTACAGAGTGACTGAGGTGGTCCTTGCGCTTCGATGATTGAGCATTGTAGCATACTCCATAAGCTTCCATTTACGGTTATCATGGCCTTCCCATCTACCGTGCAGATGACCGCGGCGATCTTCAGTGGACATGGCGGGGCAAGACACGTCAACAGCCGGGAGCGGACCTGCCAATGGAATTCGCGTGGTCAACTCAATGATGTCGAGGGCCGATAGCCCAATCGAGATCGACTCTTTGGCAATTGTGATGGGTGAGTAGATGTTGCATATAATGGAGGGTGGAGGCAAGCAGGAGCATAACTATGCACATACAATTATTGATAGCACAAGCCTATCAGGATGGCGCTTTGTAACTCCGAATATCATGCTGGGTAGGTATAATATTTCGGCAGGTTAGCCGCGTCCCTCCTTGTCACCTATCATAAGAGGCGGTCGCGTTCATCCATCTAAGACTGAGATGATGGATTGGTCGGTTGCAAAAACACTAGCGTGTAGAAATCAGGTTTTTTAGACGTCAAGACTCAGATGGTGTCTATGGTGGAATCCTCCAGGCTTAGCGCCATATACTAGTGTTGAAGCTATAGACTGCACTGACTCGCGCCTTGCAAACCATAATATCCCTATTAAGATGAATGGCAGCGAAAGCAATCGTGAAGATTTCTGCTAGGACAGTAACCGGACATGACGTACAAAATTCTGTATAAAAACCAGGCAAAAGACATAAGCATTCTGCGCAGAGGGGGCAAAGGATTTCCGAGGTTGGCCTCCCATGTACGTAAGTGCTGACCCAAGGATCAATGAAGATGATGACTTTGTGCAAGACTTTGTGCACAGTTGGGAGGAGGACAGCCCGGGAGTGCCTGATGTGGCGTTTCTTGGCGGTGGCCACTTTTTGCCCTTTCCACATTTATTGCGTTCAAGACTTCGGAGAATAATCGCTGGAGGAGAGATAACATCATTTTGGTCTCCCTTTCCAGACTTGACATCTGTCTGGAACCCTCCCACGGTCAGTCAGCGGATTTTGCATCTCCGAAGTGAGGTAGGAAGGGAAAAAAAAAAAATCTCCTACATAAAAACCCGAATAATCTCCCTTATCTGTAAGCCCGCTGCAGGACCAAATCCCGCGAAATGCCAAGCTGCCCCCCCTCTCCCTCTCAGGTAACGCAAGTCTCGCTGTGAGACACCAGACTAAGGCTGCAACGAGGAAGGAGCTAACGCAGGTAGTTTGGGTTAGCATGAAGGGTACACTGGGTCCCAGAGTTTTTCTTTGGACCCGTTTGAAGTTTCTAACGTTAGATGACTCGGACCCACTGGGCGCCACTGGGCCAGAACCGATGCTGAGGGCACGCCCACTGAATGGATAGTCTAGGACTGGGATCCATATCGATCGAGGTCTTGGATCGTAGAATGACCGCCACCCGCGGCCACCATCTGATAGTTCCGCCCATTGTTAGGGTGCATGGGCTGAGATAGTTCCCAGGGTAGATGGTTAATCGACAACGGGAATTGCCGATGGTCTTCCCTTGTAAAAGAGACACCACAGGATGGTGTTTATAAAATGGTCTTTTGAGATATACTCAAGTGCATAACCGAAGTCTGACTTGACTAGGAATAGAAATGGTCTGGACTTTGCCAAACCTTCAGCCATTGAATCTCCAGTTGGTTTAACTGTCCCGTGCGATCGGCATCTCGCCCGCATCGATCTCCTCCTCTTTCTGCTCTGCTGCGGTCGAATTGTCGAACCAAGGGCCAGTCTCATTTGGTCTGGTACCTTTCTGTCTTTTCTTTCTGTCTTTTTGTCTTTTTCTTTTCTTTTCACGGGCTCCCCACCTACACTCTGTCCTATTCCTCTCCTCCTCTTGTCATTACTTTCTTTCCTTCTTCCTTCCTGCATCTCCATCTTCACCTGCTTCATTCTGTGCATTTTTCCTTTTCCTCCGTCTGCACAATCCTACTAGTGCCCGCTCATCTCCCGTTCCTCTTTAAGCCCACCGGCCAGAGTCAATGCATCATTAGCTTTGTTGGTTTTCGGAAGGAATTCCCACCAGTGTAGGTCAGTCTTCGCCCTTGCTCGTGCTTTTTCTCGCTTGCACCAGACCCTCTTTTATTATCCCGGATGTTTCTCTTCACTTTGTCTATCCTTTTGATTCTTCCATCCTTCACTATGTGTTTGTAGTTAAGCCTTTTTGCACGGCCTCGCCTTGATCGATATCGGTCTAACTTCCCCAGCATCTAGTCTGTTTCGGATCAGATTGATCTATAACCTCAGTGCTAGTCAGCCTGTAATCTAGCCCTTCGCTGTCGACTCCTGGCCTGGTGCCAACATGTCGACCTCCATGGGAGATCATCTTGCTCCGGATCATCTGGAAGAGAAGAGCAAGCACAGATCGGACGATGGAACTCCTGACTCGGACGAAGGCACTTACGTCTATGACAGCGCCAGTAACGGAAACCACTTGAGGGTGGACACTTCTTACAATGACTTGGATAGGACCGCCCTGGCCTCTCCGGTCACTGCGAGAGAAGCATCTACGCGTCTCGAAGACGACCTGGCAGTTATGGAAGCAGAACGGATGGTTTCGCGCTCCACGCAAGAGGCAGAGTCGAAAAAGAGTGTTCACGACGGCCGTCCATCCACCTCTCGCTCTCGTTCACGTTCTCGCTCGCGCCCTAACGAACATGTCGACGAGTTTGACGAGGCCACCAATCCGCTGCATGAGAAAGCTGCAGTTTACAATCCACCCGAGAATCCCAATACCAACATTGCCAGATTTGTCAAGAAACTCCATGAATCGAGTTTCATCATCCGTTACCTTACCTACATCCTGCCACTTGTGATCATCCTACTTATTCCGTTGTTGGTTGGCGCGCTGGCCTATCCAAATGCCAGTGTCGGAGGTGTCCGGCTGGTTTGGTTTTCGGTCTGGCTGGAAATCGTCTGGTTGACCTTGTGGGCTGGAAGAGTGAGTACCTGTGGTATCGTTGTCTGTTTACCCATCGCCTCATCGCTAATTCGATTCTGGACAGATCGTCTCCAAGCTGATCCCTATACCTGTGAACGCGCTCGCTAGTATCTTCACCAACAATGCGAAGAAATGGCGTGATCTTGCCAAGCAATTGGAGCTGCATGCAACTCTTTTCTTCTGGTGGTTGGGTGTCGAAATTTCTTTTCTGCCCACAATGAAGAACCATCACGTGGACGGAAACCATACTACGCGCTCCTGGGAAAATACGCTCAACAAGATTATCATTTCCGTCTTCGTCTGGACGATCCTCAACCTGGTGGAGAAATTCATCATTCAGCTTATTGCCATCAGCTTCCACACGCGTACTTATGCCGACCGGATTGAGATCAACAAGTTTCAAATTGGAAGCTTGACCAAATTATACGAATTTTCGCGGAGGAAAATCACTGCCAAGGACAAGGAATTCGAGGAGCAAAAACAGCCCAGTTCTAATAACGGCCTCAAGATCCCGTTCCATTACGCTGGTAAAGCGGGACGTCTTGCTAAGGGTGCCTTTACCAAGGTTGGTGATGTGGCCGGTGCAGTTGCAGCGGACTTCACTGGTCGCACAGCCACCAACAGCAACCACCCTTACCAGGTTGTGCTGGCTTTGCTGCGAACCACCAGCGGTTGCCAGGTTTTGGCTCGGCGACTCTACCGGACCCTCGTGCGGGATGGCTTTGAGACCGTTTTCTCTGGCGATCTGAAGGAAGCGTTTGATAACAATGACGAAGCTGAAGCTGCCTTTACCATGTTCGACAAAGACATGAATGGAGATATCTCCATGGAAGAATTGGAGTCTGTGTGCGTGGAGATTGGACGCGAACGCAAAGCAATCACTGCGTCCTTGAAGGATCTTGACTCTGTTGTTGGAAGACTCGACAACATCCTGGAATTCTTCGTGGTTATCATTACCCTAATTGTGTTCTTGACCCTGATTTCCACCTCGGCTGCTGGTGTACTCACGTCTGCAGGCTCCAGTATTCTTGCGCTGTCGTGGCTCTTCTCTGCCACTGCACAGGAGTTCCTTCAGTCGGTCATTTTCGTCTTCATCAAGCATCCGTTTGATGTTGGTGACCGTGTCACAGTATATGGTAACTCTGGTGATGCGGGTCTGGGTGATGACTACTTCGTCAAGCAGATTTCTCTCTTGTATACCGAGTTCAAGAAGATGCAGGGTCACGTTGTGCAAGCCCCGAACAGCTATTTGAACGGTCTCTTCATCCTCAACCAACGCAGATCAGGCGCCCTTGCCGAGGCTGTGCCTATTGTCATCAAGTACGGCACGACACTCGAGCAAATTGATGGCCTTCGCCAACGCTTGTTGGAATTTGTCCGCAGCGAACGCCGGGAATTCCAGACCAATATCCTTACTGAGATGCGTGAGGTGACCGAAAACTTCTCCGTCACCCTCAATGTTGTTTTCTTCTACAAGTCAAACTGGCAAAATGAGGGCCTGCGTTTGCAACGTCGCAACAAGTTCATCTGCATGCTCATGCTTGCCTTGCAAGAGATTGGCATCGAGGGCCCACGCATGAACCTCCAGGGTGCCCGTGTCGACATTCCTTTCCATGTCGCTGGGTTCCCTTCGCATAACATGGGTGCTCCTCCCGGCAGCAGTGATGGCCGGCCTCCTCCCACCCCTGTCTACCAGCATGACTCGATCCCCGAGAATACTGGCTCCAGCAGCTCTGTCCGCCAGCATTCTATCCTTCGTAGGGGCGCTGACGCCGCCGCTGCCCGGGCCCGCGGTGACTCGATGCTCACGCGGAAGCATGTTGACTTCTCTCTGGGAATGCGCGACGTTTCTTCCGGCGACGTCATGGGCGATGTCTTCGAAGACCGCGGCACTCGTGTGGATGACGTTGTTCGGATGGCCAACCGTGAAACCGCAGAGCGTCGTATCCAGGAAGAAGAGGAAGAGCAAGCCGAGCGGCAGAGCCGTGCATCTGGCTCTCACCGCCGAAGCCACTCCAACACCAGCGCCGCCCCGTCTGCAGCGCAATCCGGTCGTCAGTCAATGGAATCCCACGGTGGTCACAGTTTGTCCTCCGTCAGTCGTGGCCGATTCTTCCGTCATCGCAACAGCATCAGCAGCCGCGGCCCAGCCGATCTGGAACAAGGGCCAACCCACGGCCAGCAGTCGCCTCAGATCCGTGCCGTGTCGCCCGCTATGGACGAGAAATGATTTCATTTCAGCTAGTGCGGTGTTCATTCTGGAAATGACTGCCCTTGCACACTTGTTTATCGTCCCTTTACATACTGTTGAGTGATTTGGTTTGATCATATCAGCATAGCTATTTATAGATAATACCTTTCCGTACATATCAAAAGGCGGTATGTTTGTTTCTATTTGCATCATAACTGGTTAGACACGCACCAGTATACATACTGTTACGGCTGATTGGTTGAAATATCCAATTGGCTAGACTCCTAATGTTGTTGTGTGGCTGGTATGATATCAGCTCATCTGGTCAGTGTCAAATCCTTGTTCATTCTCTGTGGCATATTCCATCGATATATAGAATTCAATAATGATCTGCACTGATATCATTGCTTGGTCCATACGCTCATCTACACTGCTAACTTGAACTACGTAGAACACTCCAGCCCTCGAACAAGGTCTATAAATAATCCATACAATCAAAACTATAATAGAATCTACCATTACCACTTACTACTACTACGACCACCTCCACCACCAGTAGTAACTTAGTATCTCATAACATGTCCCCCCCCCTTTTCCCTACTACTCTCTCCGCTTAGTGGTACTTAGTTGTTGTTGTAAACGCTCATATACTAGGATTATTTCTGGGGTTCACACATATGTACAATAGTATCGAATTGAATTTGTAGCTGGGTTTGTATCCGAAGACAGAGAAGGCGAGATGGTACTTGAGTAGCTTTTGTGCTCGTTATGCAATGCAACTAAAGTAAAGTAAGAGGCGGTCTAGATTAAAAGGTCTTATCTTTTCCCGCATTGGTAATTTACCGATTAGGTAATCTGCGAGGAGGGGGTGATCTGAGATTGTTTGAACGGAGATCTGATGCACAGCAGCTAGAAGAGAAAAGCTGGACTCTTTTTTTTTTTGGGAAAATCTGGTACGTATAGGTACACACACACACAATTTTGCTCTCAAGAAGAGGAAAATTTCAGAACAAAGGAAATGGGATATACGCCTGGATGATGAGACAAGAAGAGAGTAAGTGGAATAATGAGCAAGAAAATGAAAGCCAGAACGAGAAATCGACAAATGAGTGGAACTCAGACAGCCTGGTTGAGACGACAAACACTCCCAAACACCCGCTAGCCTTGAAACGCGTGTGGAAAATAAAGCAATAGGAAAAGGCAGCAAAAGAAGAGGAATGTATTTTAACAGGTGCAAAAAGAACAATATGTCGTAAGCATGGAGTGATATAAGTCATATAATCGCACACAATAGCGGACCGTACGTGGACTCTGTCCAACGCATGTCACACTGAATTGCAGTCTTCGCAAGGTCTACCTTGATAGTAAATGGTGTCGGTTCTTTATAGGTCGGGTTGAGAATGGGTGGAACCCAAGTATGGATGGGGAGAAGGTGTATGTAATGGTCGAGGTGTGGCATCAGCATCCAGATACCGGTCAACATCAGCTTCTGAACCATAATCCGGAGTCAAATTGTCCCCGGTAGTCTTGATGTAGGGGGTTTCCGGGTCGTCTCCTGAGGGTTCTGACTCTCCGTCTTTCGTAAAAACGATAGGGGGTGTGATATGCCCAAGTTTAGGTGTTTCGACGCTGGCCTCCATGGCCTGTGTATCTGAAGCTTCTGTCGTGTACGGTG